CGCGCCATCTGGACAGCTGCCTTGCACAGATCGGCGCAACGTCTAACGACAGTATTATGGTAGGAGACGGTGCTTTGGACATGCGCGCCGGGCGCGCTCTGGACATGATATGTATCGGCGTACTCAGTGGCAGCAATGACGCGGCCGCCCTGCAGGCGGCAGGCGCAGACCATGTTTTACCTGATGCGCTACACCTGCCTGCCTATCTGGCTCAGTCGGCCTGAAACCACCCCGTCGGTGATTCAGGACTGGTGTTCGTTACAATAGGTGATGTCTGCGGCTGATACACCCAGCCCGCAGCATTACACAACACCTGTCTGATGTTCGGGTCAGCAAACACCGGATAGGTTTCGTGTCCAGGGCTGAAATAAAACACGCGGCCTTTGCCGCGAAAAAAACAGCAGCCGCTGCGGAACACCTCACCACCCGTGTAAGAACTGATAAATACCAGTTCATCGGGGGCAGGAATATCGAAATATTCGCCGTACATTTCATGGGTGGGCAGTTCGATCGGCTGCGCAACACCCGCCGCAATTGGATGTCCAGGGTTCACCGTCCAGACCAGTTCACGGTCGTCCGCTTCACGCCAGCGCAGATTACAGGTGGTGCCCATGAGCTTGCAGAATATCTTAGACAGATGGGCGGAATGCATCACCACCAGCCCCATCCCCTGCATAACACGTTGATGCACGCGATCAACAACATCGTCTGCTACTTTGTGGTGCGCAAGATGCCCCCACCAGAACAGCACGTCGGTATTGTCCAGCACCTCTTCAGACAAGCCGTGCTGCGGGTCTTTTAAGGTCGCGGTACGGACTTCCGCATCAGTGACGCCCTCACGCAACAGGCTGGCCACAGCGCCATGAATACCGTCCGGGTATATCTCTGCCACTGCAGGGTTATGCCGTTCATGTACATACTCATTCCAAACCGTAATACGCATAGTGGGCTCATCTCAGTCAACCAGTAAGGCTCACAGCATATTCGCTCTGGCGCTTGGCTTCACTTACTTGTACAGGCAGAATGAAACCCGGTTTTGCGAAAGGGTCGTTGAAGATGCACAGAGCCACTACCGCACGCAACAGCATCACACCTCTGCTGGATGAGTTAATCGTGCAGCTGGATGAGGAAGGGTCTGCAACCGCAAAGGCCCATTTCAAACGCATCCGCGGCAGTCTGAACGGTGCCAGCGATGCCTGGGAGCTGACCCAGCCCATCATTGAGCTGTCGACCTGCGTCGCGATAGGGCTGCAATTCTCGCAAACCGCTGATGCGCTGGTGGCCCGCATTCTGCAGAAAACCGCTGACGTTGTCCGCGAACTGGAAGGCAGCGAACCACCTGTACACTGACCTGTTCCGCTCGCCCTTGTGTCGGTGCCATGCAGATAGACACATCAGCAAACCAACGCATCCGCCAACCAATAAGATAGACCACCGACAACAGTTGATAAGCAAATGGATTTCACAAACCTGGGTTACCTGAAAGTTGCAGCTGCATCGCCCGTCGTCAGCATTGGCAACCCCGTTGCCAACACAGACGAAATTGTGCGGCAGAGTCAATTACTCGCCGAGCAGGGTGTCAGCCTGGCCGTGTTTCCAGAGCTGTGTTTGTCCGGCTACTCCGCCGAAGATCTGTTTTTCAGCGATTCGCTGCTGCACAGCGTGGAGCAGGCCCTGATCGACCTCTGTGCGAAAAACCCGCTGCCGATGCTTGTGGTGGGCTTGCCCTGGCGGCTCAATGATGGACGCTTGCTGAATTGCGCTGCCGTCATCAGCAATGGTCAGGTGCTGGGGCTCGTGCCCAAATCAACACATCCGAACTACGCTGAGTTCTACGACTTACGCTGGTTTACCCCTGGTGCTGCTGTCAACGAAACGCTGATCCATAACAAGCTTGGCACAATTCCGATACGCATCGATCAGCTGTTCAGCCTGGGTGGCCACCTTATCGGCATCGAAATCTGTGAGGATCTGTGGACTGCCGAACCACCCGGCGCCAAAGCCAGCCTTGCCGGCGCCTCTATTATACTGAACCTGTCTGCCAGCAACGAACTGATAGCCAAAGCGGACTACCGCCGCGAACTGGTACGCATGGCCAGTGCAGCCCAGCTGTGCGCCTACGTTTACGCCAGTGCCGGCGCCTGGGAGTCGAGTAAAGACATTGTTTTCGGCGGACATTGTCTGATCACCGAGAATGGTCAGTTGCTGGCCCAAAGTGATCGCTTTCGCATGGACAGCCACGCCACGGTGGCTGAAATCGACACCGCGGTGCTGCTTCATGACCGCGCAAAAAACATCAGTTTTGTACACGCCGACAGACCCAGGGCTTACCGCATCAATACCAGCCCGGCTGCATGTTTACCGATGCCGGAACTGTCCCGGCACTACCCCAGGCACCCTTTTGTGCCCACAGATGAAGCCGAGTTTGATGCACGCGCCCAGGAAATTATGGCGATCCAGAGCACCGGGCTTGCCCGGCGCATGCGCGCCGCCCACTGTGATCACCTGGTGCTGGGTTTATCAGGCGGTCTGGATTCAACGCTGGCTTTCCTGGTGTGCCTGGATGCGCTTAAGAAGCTGGACCTGCCGTTTACCCACCTGCACGCGCTGACCTTACCCGGGCCCGGCACAGGCAGCCAGACCCTGAAAAATGCCCGCGAGCTGGCCAGCGAAGCCGGGGTCGACCTGCAGGAAATTTCTATTGAAGCCGCCGTTGCACAACATCTGAAGGACCTTGACCACGGCGGCGAGCACGACATTGTCTTCGAAAACGCCCAGGCACGGGAACGCACGCAGATTCTGTTCAACTACGCCAACAAAGTCAGCGGCCTGGTGGTCGGCACCGGTGATCTGAGCGAACTGGCATTGGGCTGGTGTACCTTTAACGCTGACCATATGGCCAGTTACAACGTCAACGCCAGCGTACCTAAGACGATGATGGCTTATCTGGTTCGCTGGTATGCGGCACACCGCAGCGAGAAAGGTTTATCAACAGTGCTGCAGGAGGTTCTGCAAACACCCATTTCACCGGAGCTGATTCCCTCAGATGACGAGGACATCGGCCAGCAGACCGAAGAAATTGTTGGTCCTTACGAACTGCACGACTTTTTCCTGTTTCATTACCTGCGCAACGGCGCCACACCGACAAAAATCTTTCATCTTGCCACGCTCAGTTTTGCGGACAGCTATGCTCCCGCGACCATCGTGAAGTGGCTGCGTCAGTTCTTCTCTCGATTCTTCAGCCAGCAGTTCAAGCGCACCACTTTGCCCCCGGGCCCCAAAGTCGGCAGCGTGAGTCTTTCGCCAAGAGGCGACTGGCGCATGCCCGATGAAGCGTCAGCGGAACAAATGCTGGCTGAAATAGACCAACTGTTAAACACCTGACCCGATCCCGTACACTTGGGTGAGACACTTTGCCCCGCACCGACCCTGGAGCCTCAGATGAAATTTGTTGTTGTCACGTTAAGCCTCGTTCTTGCCCTGTTCAGCAATGCCAGCCGTGCAGACCAGGTCTGCGGTGATACCGGTGTCTGGATACAGATTCTCGGCGCCGGTGGTCCGGAGATTGACGACGGCGCAGCCGGGCCGAGCTACGTCATCTGGAATGACAACAAAGCACGCATCATTATCGATACCGGGCCAGGGTCGTCCGTTGGCTTTGACCAGTCCGGCGCCAAGTTCGAGGACCTTTACGCCATTGCATTCACACACCTGCATGCAGATCACAGCGTCGACTTTCCCGCCTTCATCAAAGGTTCCTATTTTCTTGACCGCACCGAGCCGCTGATCATTCTCGGACCCGACAGCAACAATGTTAACTATCCGGACACCGAAACTTTTGTAAATCGAATGATCGGCCCGGATGGTGCTTATCCTTACCTGCAGGATTTTCTCACCCATCAATCCAGCGGCGGCTATCGCGTACGTGTGCGCAACGTGCCTTCCCTGGGCAAAAAAAGGTGGTCGGGGTTTGGCAATGATGAGCTTCGCATGAGTGCTATTCCCGTCAACCATGCGGACGTTCCGGCAATCGCCTGGCGGGTGGATATCGGCGAGATGTCTATTGTTGTCACCGGCGATTTCAACAATCTGAAAAACGTCATGCCCGAGTTTGCCAAAGGTGCAGATGCCCTGATCGCCACCCATGCCATCGCTGAAAACGCACGTGGTAATCAGCGCGAGCTGCACGCTTTGCCATCACAACTTGGCCGCATCGCAGACCAGGCTGAAGCACGCATGCTGATCCTCAGTCATCGCATGAACCGCACCCGCGGCCGGGAAAGTCAGTCACGCGCGGAAATCGAAAAATCCTACGACGGATACATTCTGTTTGCTGACGATGGAGAATGCTGGGGCCTGTAAGCTTGGTAGATTTTAAACCCCTGCTGGATTTCTGGTTTGGGCCGCTTGAAAACGGGCTGGCCGCAGCTGAACAGCGAAAAACCTGGTTCACCCCGGACAAAGCGTTTGATGCGCGTTGCAGAGATGAATTTCTGCCGCTTTTGTATCAGGCGAACAGCGGCGATCTGAACCACTGGCTGGACAGTGCCCGCGGTCAACTCGCCTTTATTCTCCTCACCGACCAGCTGCCACGGAACATTTTTCGCGGCACCCGTGAAGCGTTTGATTTTGATCACTTAGCTCTGGCAGCAGCTCGTAAAGGCATCGCTGAAGGATCTGATCGACAACTTGAGCTGGATGAACGATCTTTTTTCTACATGCCTTTTGAACACGCCGAAGACCTTGTCGACCAGCATATGGCGGTGGGCCTGTTTTCTTACCTGCGCGACAGCTCGCCAAAAGGTACCAGAGACATCACCGGCAATGCCTTACGATATGCCCAGCAGCATCGGGATATAATTATCCGGTTCGGGCGTTTCCCACATCGAAATGGGGTGCTAGGGCGTGATTCAACACCTGCGGAACAGGCGTTTATTGAAGCAGGCGACGGCTTTGGCCAGCTTGCAGACAAGTCTTAACAACGACTGCTGCCAGCGAAGCTATTCCAACCGCACCACGTAACGCAGTTCAAACTCAGCATTGCTGCCGCCACTGGGTTGATTCATCGGTCCGGTGGGTCTGACACGCACATAGCGTACGTTGCTGTCAAAACCCTCGCCGTCAGGCATCGGCGTATAGCCGAAGTTCACGCCATCGGTGGAGTATTCAACCTGGGTGGTGTAGTCGAAGGTCAAACCTGTACTGATCGCCGAGCCGCTTTCATCAAAGTGCACAGGGTCCACCTGGCTGCAGCTTGGCCCCACACAGGTACAGGCCGGTGTGACACACAAAGACACTTCGACTGGAATTTCATCAACAATATTAATGGTATTGGCATTAATACCGTCAGGCCCCTGATTTTCCACCCGCACCTGATAGCGAATCCAGGCACCGGGGATCGATTTCGGCCGGGTGGCACTGATCATGTCCTGCAGTGTCAGCAGAGATTTATCAATGGCCACTTCCGCGCCGCGCAGGAGGAACACCTGGTCATCCACATTGTAAAAGTTCGTCTGATTCTGCGGCGTATTGGCTGCGCCTGGAATCATTAACAAACCGTCCAACGTACCGCCCGCCGAAACAGAATTATCTAACGCGTATACACTGACCCGCCAGCCTGAACCAAATGGTCCGGTGGTGAAGCTGTACGTGGGGTCCGCAGGCACGCTGCCATCATTACTCCACACACGATCACCAGCAACCAGGTCGCCATGAGTGCCATCGTCAAACAGTTCAATGGCGCTGGCCACCAGGGTATCAGCTGCATCATAAACGTCTGAGCGCACTGCGCTGACATCCACGTCCACCTGAGCTGTGATGGCCAACACATCGTTGAGGACATATTCAGACTCAGCAGCAGTCGCTGTATCGTTGGGTAGAAAAACATTAACACCAAAGGCTTCCGCAGTACCCAGCGTCGCCGTCTGCAAACTCCAGGTGAAGTCATCCAGCTTCACCCAGGTACGATAAGAGTTGTCTGATGCACTGTGCCGGGTTTGCGCGCGGAAGGTAATAGTTGTACCTGCATAGGGTGACAGATCCAGTTCAGCGCGCCGCCAGCCGTAATCGCGCAGACTACCCGCGTAACCTGGACGTCCAATACGGTCAGTATCAATACGTAACGGCGGTGAGCCGGAATTATCTATGTCGAGATCGCGGTGGTTGACCGTTGCACCGTTAACGCGAAACTCGATCCAGTCAAAATTACTGTTGTTCGTAATGCCGTCAAACGCCTGGAGCTGAAAATAGAACTCCAGCACACCGGCGGCACCACCGGCAGGCACTGTAATTGTCCGGTCGAGACGAATCTGTTCATTGCCGCTGCCGTCTTCGCATTGATCACGATAGCCCAGCAGATGCCAGCGTTGGCCGGTTGCAGAACCGCCTGAAAGGTTAGGACTGACATCGAGTGACGCCACGCCACTGGTTCCACAACCACTGCCAAGACTTAACGTCTGCCCCTGACTGGTGGTCTGCACCTCGTTGTTCTGGTTACCGCCGGCGTTAGCCGCCGAGGTAGTCCAGCGCGTGGGTGTGCCACCGGCAGAAAGTTCAAAGTGACCATTAAGCACCAGGGCCGGGTTGGCTGGCTTTGCACCGTTAGCGGTGATGTCAAAGTACAGAAAGTATTCTGCGCCCGCGGCGGCATCAGCCAACAGAAAGCGGATCTGCCCTCGGTTGTTTGCCGGCGCGTCGAGCACATTGTTGAAGATACGGTCGACAAACTCCTGTTCAGGCACCAGCACGCCGCCATTACCCACCACACGGGGTGAATTCAGATCAAGGGTGACCGAACCCACATCAACGTTCATCGCGCCCAAAAGCGAGACAAAGTCAACATCGAAGCTTACCGTTGAGCCTGGCGCTGCGGCAGCGGGGATATTGATGGGCACACGATAGTGCCAATCGGCCACGCCAGGACCTTCGTCGTACCAGCCAGGCGCACGCAAATCAGCCGATACCGATGCGCACAGCAATAACGCACAACAGAAAACCCAGAAGGCTGCGAAGCGGGTTAGATAGAGTTTGTCGGAAAATAAGGTCACGTGGTGTCCTGTTCACGCAGACCGGCATATTCTAGGCAGCCAGGGCAAACCTAATTGTGATGCACTTCACACCTGGGGGTGCTACGCGACAGAATAGTTACCCGATTACACCCAGCAGGCGTCAATTAGCGGTCGTCTGCTGCTGATACAGGTAATCAATGGCGAGCTGACTCATCACCCGCACGCCAGGCACCAGGGCGGATTCATCAGCGGTAAAAAACGGCGAATGATTGGGTATCGCCTTTTCCGGCAGCACGTCGACAGGTCTGCCGCCGATATAGAAAAAGAATCCCGGCACCTGCTCCTGGAAGAACGAAAAATCTTCTGCGCCGGTCACACGAGCACTGATATAAACCTGATCACGGCCAAATACCTTACGCAGCGTGGGCGCCATCGCAGCGGTCAACTCTGGATCGTTGTACGTCACCGGCACCCCTGGATCTATTTCAACCGCAACGCTGGCACCTTGCGCCTCACCGATCATGGTCGCAATGCGGGTAATTTTTTCATGTATCTGGGCACGCACATCGGCATCAAAGGTGCGGATGGTGCCGGACAGTGATGCCGTTGCAGGCACAATGTTGTTACGGATACCGGCCTCAAAAGTTGCCACTGTGACCACAGCTGGCGCCTGGGTGATATCGATCTGGCGGCTGACAATCGTCTGCAGAGCGTTAACAATCTGCGCACCGATCACCACTGGATCAACGCCCAGCCAGGGTCGCGCGCCATGGGTCTGCCGACCATTGATGGTGATATCAAAACGTTGTGCACTGGCCATCATACCGCGGGCCCGGAAGCTTGCTGACCCTGCCGGCCCCTGCTGACCAATGTGCAAGCCAAAGATTGCATCCACATCAGGATTGGTGAGCACACCCTCAGCGATCATCATCTTGGCGCCACCGTCTTCACCTTTTGGCGGACCTTCCTCAGCGGGCTGAAAAATGAATTTAACCGTACCGGGCAACTCGTCTCGCATCTGCGAAAGCACCACCGCCGCGCCCATAAGAATTGCAACATGGTTGTCGTGCCCGCAGGCATGCATAACACCCACCGCTTTACCTTCATATTCACCTGTGGCGACTGATGCAAAGGGTAGGCCGGTTTTTTCCACCACGGGTAGCGCATCCATGTCTGCGCGCAGAGCAACAACCGCACCGGGTTTACCCCCTTTCAGGACACCAACGACGCCTGTGTGGGCAATACCCGTCTGTACTTCAAGACCCAGGCTGCGCAGATGTTCAGCAACCAGGGCGCTGGTGCGAAACTCACGATTCGACAGTTCCGGATTCTGATGGATGTCTCTGCGCCAGGCGACAACCTGGGCTTCAGTCTGTAGCGCGCGAGAAGCAACTTCATCTTCCAGCGCCGCAGATGCCGGCTGCACGAACAACCCCAACAACGCAAGCAAACCAACAATTTTTGTCATCAGGACCGTCCACAGAGGCAAAGAAACCCAAGCTTAATCGTCTGCTTTGATAGAGTACACTTGGGACGAAATTAATACCGGGGAGAAGATTAATGGATTTTGACATTGCAATGACCGATGAACTGCTGGCCACCACACGCGCGGTACGTAAGCGCCTGGATTTAACCCGGAAAGTACCACGTGAGGTCATCGATGAGTGTCTGGAACTGGCTATCCAGGCGCCCACAGGTTCAAACTCTCAAACCTGGCGCTGGCTGGTTGTTGATGACGCTGATACCCGCGCCAAACTCGCCGCTTTATATCGCAAAGGCGCCGAAGGCTATCTTACCAGCGCTGGGGAACAAGCCAGCGAACAGGGTGACAAGCAGATGGAACGCGTCTTTTCATCGGCTTCGTACCTGATGGAACATCTGCATGAAGTACCCGTCCACCTGATTCCTTGTGTACAGGGCAAACCTGCAGACCCAATCCCGTTGACCATGGCATCTGGTATGTATGGCTCTATCTATCCTGCCGTGTGGAGCTTTCAGCTTGCAGCCAGGGCGAGAGGCCTCGGTTCAGCATTAACCACATTGCACCTGATGCACCAGGAAGAGGCTGCCGAAATCCTCGGCCTGCCAGATGATGTGTTACAGGTTGCCTTGTTACCGGTTGCCTACACCATCGGCACGGACTTCAAGCGCGCCAAGCGTGCTCCGGTTGCTGAAATCACTCATTGGAATCGTTGGTAGCTTCAGCGATCCAGGCGCGAGATCAGCTCGGCTTCAAACTCCGGAAAATATTTATTGATGTCCTGCACATCAAATTCCGGGAGAATAGCTGTGCCTGGCTCGCGCTCTAACAAAAATCTGAACGCTAGAACCAGAACAAATTCATGAGTAACCGTTGCACCACACAGCTTTCGATAATATTCCTGAGACATATGCACGCGGTGGATTGTCTCATTGGCGCCTTCAATGACTACTTCATAGACATTAGCCGCTACCATGTTAACGCTGATCACAACGCTTGCTCTCCTATTCCGCCAGCTAAGAAATTCATAAGATGACTGACCCCACCGCACTATGCCAACACTTACAACAACTCTGGCAATCGGATTTTCCTTTGTCTAATGCCATGCAGATGCGGGCTGAGACTTTCGAAGATCACATTCTAACCACTGCAGCAGCGCTGGCACCTAATACCAACACACACGGTTCAGCCTTCGGTGGCAGCCTGTATGCGATCCAGGCACTCACCGCCTGGAGCACAATTTATCTGGCCCTGACCAGGGAGAACCTGCAGGGCTCAATTATCCACGCATCCGGGCAGATAGAATTCGATCAACCGATCCGCGAAACCATCTTGACTCGCTGCAGCATTGCAGAACATCTCAATGATTTTGAGCAACTGCGCAATACCGGCAAACTCAGACTCAACCTGAGTACCCAGGTGTTTGTCGAGGATACACCTTACAGCAGCTTCACCGGCGACTTCACGATTCGGCTGAACCCACAGGGATAGGGCGGCTTTCAATCTGCCGCAACAGCCATTGTCCACCTTGGTCCCTGCGATTTCGATATCAGTCATGGTTCTTTCCTGAGGCCGCTGAAAATTATTCGGCCTCATCAGGAATCTTGAAATTCCCATTACGGATCTGCCAGCACGTATAAGGGGAATCCCAAAGTGATATCGCGCTGAATTTGCGCAAGCATTACCCTTGGCAGTTCGCAGACAAAAAAATGATCACCGTCAATCCAGCCGACGATTGGGCCATACAGGTAATGTCATGAAAGCCATGCTGCTTAGACAACTCAGCAGAATCACAGCAAACAGTGAGCCCCTGAGTCTTGTAGAGATGCCCATCCCGGAACCGCAAGCCCACGAAATCTTACTCCGGGTGCATTACTGTGGCGTATGCCACACCGAGCTGGACGAGATTGAAGGTCGGCTGCCACCGCCTGAATTGCCTGTTATCCCCGGCCACCAGGTTATCGCGGAAGTAGCAGAATGTGGTGCACAGGCAACCAACTATGCTCTGGGAGATCGCGTTGGTGTCGGCTGGATTCATCAGTCCGACGGCACTGAGTTCGAAAATCTTGCTGATACATTTGTTGCAACCGGCTGCGACACTAACGGCGGATATGCACAGTTCATGACGGTACCAGAGCGTTATGCGGTGCCGATTCCCGAAGTGTATGGTGACGCTGAAGCCGCGCCGCTGTTATGTGCCGGTGCTATCGGTTATCGCGCGCTCAAGCTGACAGGCGTGCAGAACGGCCAGCCACTTGGGCTGTGCGGCTTTGGCGCATCCGCACATATTGTCCTGCAGCTCGCCCAGCACTGCCTGCCCGATTCGCCGATATTCGTTTTCGCCCGCACAGATGCAACGCGGGGTTTTGCCAGGGATATGGGTGCCAGTTGGACAGGTGCACATAACGAGACGCCACCTGTGCCGATGCAGGCAATCATTGATACAACACCGGCGTGGCTACCGATTGTGCAGGCGCTGCAGAATCTGGCTCCGGGCGGACGCCTGGTCATCAATGCCATTCGCAAGGAGAGTCGCGATCAGACCGCGCTGCAACTGTTGTCTTATGCCAGACACCTGTGGATGGAGCGTGAAATCAAATCCGTTGCAAATATTACACGTGCCGACATTGCTGAATTTCTGCCCCTGGCCGCGGCAGCCGATATACGCCCGGAAGTGGTCTGTTACCCGCTGGAACAGGCAAATGAAGCGCTCCGCGCGTTGAAATTCCACCCTACTCTGGGCGCTAAGGTACTACGCTGCGACTGACCAAAATACGTAGAAGACACAGTGTACCCGCTCGCGGTCTAGTGAGAGGTTGGTATTCTGATTGGAGCGGCAGTCTATGTACGTTTTGTTACTGGGGAGCTTGCTGGGCATTGGTTTGTGGTTGATTACCACTGCCCATAAAAGAAAGTTGCGCGTCTGGTTCGGTTCTGTGTTGATCGCAGGCGCGGTCCTGCTGGTTGCACTGATGACCATTTGGGCAGAATACCTCTGGTACGACGCGCTGGGATATGTGCATCGTTTCTGGACGTTTACGCTGACACCTGTTTTTGTAGTGGCCGCTGGTGCAATCCTTGCCGCTATCGCACCGTTCATTCTGTTACGACGTTCTGGTCCGCACTTGCGGCGTTTGGCCATCACACTGGCCGCCGCCGGAGGAATCGTGTGGGGCCTGGCATCCTGGCGACTGGTGCTTCTGTATCTCAATAGTGAACCTGCCGGTGTGGTTGAACCCATGCTGGGTTTCGACGTCAGCTTCTATCTCTTCACATTGCCGTTGCTGGACAGCCTGTTTGGTCTTGGCCTGTTTGTCGCCCTCATTTTACTCGGCGTGGTGCTGTTTCTGCGCGAGGACAGTTTTGGATTAATCAATTTCAAGGCGCCCTATACAGCCCCGGCAACACCTCTACTGATTCCACTGGCGAGCTTGTTACTTGCTGTTGTGTTTGCCTTTGGTGCTGCTCTAAGTGTGTTCCACCTGTTGTATTCACAAATGGGTGTCGTCCTGGGACCTGGCTGGACCGACGTTTATGTACGCTTACCCGGACTGTTGTTGTTAGGTGTGATATTTCTTATCGCCGGCACGCTGCCGTTAAGTCCGCGTTTTCGCAGATTCATGACCCATCTTGTCGAACGACGATTGCCTATAGGGCCGCCAACGCTCATGGCGGTTTTAGGTGCATGGACGGTCATTGGCGGTTTATGGCTGGTTCTGGTTGTGGCAGCGCCACAGCTTGTGCAGTGGCTGGTTGTTAAACCCAATGAAATCACGTTCGAAGTGCCGTATATCAAGCGCAACATTGAGTTCACGCGCAAGGCTTTCAAACTGGATGAGATCGAAGAACGACAGTTTGCAGCGGAAGCCAGGCTGACGGAGGCTTCAGCCGCGGACAACCAGCACCTGCTGTCCGAGGTGCGTTTGTGGGATTGGCGAGCGCTGGATGCCGTGTATAAACAGTTTCAGGAAATCCGGCTGTATTACGAGTTTGTTGACGTGGATATCGACCGTTACCAGATTGGCGATCGTTACCGACAGGTCATGGTTGCCGCTAGAGAACTCGCGCAACGTAACCTTCCCGAGCGCAGCCAGACGTTCGTGAACCAACGCTTCAAGTACACCCATGGCTACGGTTATACGCTCGCTCCAGTGAGCGACTTCACACCCGAAGGGTTACCAAATCTGTTAGTCAAAGACATACCACCTGTCACCAGCGACGAGGCACTGCGCGTTAAGCGCCCGGGTATCTACTATGGTGAGCTCACGTCGGAGCCTGCGGTGGTCAACACGTCTGAACCGGAGTTCGACTATCCGAGTGGCGAAACAAACGTATACACGCACTATTCCGGCACAGGCGGCGTAGTCCTCGACAGTTTCTGGCGAAGGTTCCTGTTTGGCTGGAAATTCGACGGTACTGTACTTTTGCTGTCCAGCTACCCACACGAGCAAAGTCGGATTTTGTATAACCGTCAGATCCAGCAACGTGTGCGCAAGATCGCGCCGTTCCTGGTCTTTGATCAGGATCCGTATATTGCCGCGGTCGATGGTCGGCTGGTATGGATTGTCGACGCTTTTACCAGCTCCAGTTATTTTCCCTACAGCCAGCCCTTTGAATCCCATGAACAGATTGAATTCCGTGGTCCGGAAATCGGTGAACGCACAGTGCGGCGTCTGCACGGTGAAAACTATGTCAGAAATTCGGTCAAAGCTGTCGTCGATGCTTATGACGGTAGTGTTGATCTATATGTTTTTGAACCGGATGATCCAATAATTAACGCCTGGCAACGTGCCCTTCCCGGGCTTTTCAAACCCAGGCAGGCAATGCCAGAGAGCGTGCGCGCACATGTGCGTTATCCCCAGGACCTGCTGCTGGTTCAAGGTCTCATTTTCGCCCGCTATCACATGACCGATCCAGAGGTGTTCTACAACCAGGAGGATGTCTGGGTTCGTGCAACCGAAAAGCATTATCAGGATGTCAAACCCGTGGAACCCTACTATGTCATGTGGGAGCAGCCGGGATCGGATCAGGCCGAATTTGTATTGATCCTGCCGTTCACACCAAAGAACAGACAGGTGCTGATCGGATGGATTGCGGCCCTATCGGACGGCGACAATTACGGCCGTTTTATCGCATACAAGTTCCCCAAGGAGAAAAGGGTGCTTGGACCGCAACAGGTGGAAACCAAGATCGATCAGGATGCCTTTCTTTCTGGACAGTTGACGCTTTGGAACCAGCAGGGCTCAGAAGTGATCCGCGGCAATGTATTGGCCATTCCTGTTGACGACTCGCTGTTGTACGTCGAGCCCATCTATTTGCGTGCCGATACGGCTGCCTACCCGGAGTTGCGTCTCGTTGCAGTCATGCAGGGCGATACCCTGAGTTATGCGGAGACCTTTGAAGAAGCACTGCTCGGCTTGTTTGCTGATGAGCCGATTGCCATGCAAGCCAAACCTTCAAACGATGGGTCTATGGCAGAACTTGCAAGCGCGGCCAGGGGCGCTTTTGATGCCTACCTGGCTGCACTTGGCGAGCAGCGCTTTCTGGATGCGGCTAAGCAGCTGCAGGTTTTGAGCGAAGTACTGTCGCAAATGAATACGCCACAGGTCGAGCAGCCGACAACCGAAAGGCCCTGATCAGGTCGGTGACAGGCTCGAAACTGAAGAGGAATAACCCATGGCCCGTATAACCGGTTCGGATTCATCGCCCCGCGTTGCTGCTGAATTGTGTGATCCGTTGATCAATAGAGGCACTGGTTTTTCGGCGGATGATCGTCGTACCCGGCAACTTGAAGGATTGCTGCCACCGCGTGTGGAGTCGCTTGTTGAACAGGCAGCACGCGTGCTCAGCAACCTCCGCGATCAGCACAACCCCCTCGATAAGTATAGTTATCTCAGCGCGCTGCGGGATGAAAACGAGACGCTCTTCTATCACGTTGTGCTCGACAACCTGGAGGAGATGCTGCCGATCATCTATACACCTACAGTGGGCGAGGCCTGCACTCAGTGGAGTCGTATCTATGAACGGCCACGGGGACTCTACATCTCGGCATTTGCGCACCGCGGGCGCGTAGCTGAGGTGCTCGAAAATTGGCCTCGCCCGCAGGCGAGCGTCATTGTAGTCACCGATGGGGGGCGCATCCTCGGTCTCGGTGATCTTGGGGCAAACGGTATGGGTATACCGATCGGCAAACTGTCGCTGTATACGGCGTGTGCCGGCATTGCGCCGGAAATCTGCCTGCCGATTGCTCTTGATGTTGGTACCGACAATGCTTCGCTGCGAAATGATCCGCTGTATCTGGGTGAACGCCAGGCGCGCCTGACAGGCGCACCCTACGATGAATTCATCGAGGAATTTGTGTCTGCTGTGCAGACTGTATTCCCAGAGACTATCCTGCAATTTGAGGATTTCAACAACGCAAGCGCGTTCCGACTGCTGGATCGTTACAGCAACACGCTGTGCTGTTTTAACGACGATGTGCAAGGCACCGGCGCGATGGGACTTGCTGGCTTATACTCTGCGGGACGCATTACAGGGCAGGGCCTGGCTGAACAACGAATACTGTTTGTTGGCGCCGGCGAGGCCAACCTTGGCTTTGCAAGGACCGTTGTAGCAGCCATGCAGCATGAAGGCCTTTCGGCAGCGCAGAGCAAGGCACGATGTTTATTCATGGACTCGCGTGGCCTCGTCGTAACAAGCCGTACTGATCTGCCGGCGTGGAAGTCTGTTTTTGCACAGGACCGCGCACACACGACTGACACCAGAACCGTCATCGAAGATTTTGCCCCCACGGCCATCATCGGTGCTAGCGGGGTGGGCGCAAGGTTCGATGAGGACATGCTGTCTGCGATGGCGCGCATCAACCATCGACCTATTGTCTTTGCGCTGTCGAACCCGACCTCTAAGGCCGAGTGCACCGCCGAGCAGGCGTTTGCCTGGACCCAGGGGCGAGTGGTGTTTGCCAGCGGCAGTCCGTTTCCTCCGGTCACCTATGAGACGCAAACCTATTCGCCCGGGCAGGGTAATAACTTTTATGTATTTCCAGGCGTCGGCCTTGGCCTGCTGCTCGCCGGTGCAACACAGGTCAGCGACGAGATGTTTCTGGCCGCTGCCCACGCACTGGCAGATTGTGTATCTGCAGCTGATCTGGAACAGGGCAGATTGTTCCCTCCCGCTGCTGGTATGCGTGACGTCGCCGTTGCTGTTGCGGCGGCAGTTGCAGACGTGGCACACGCGCAAGGGTACGCCACACGCCAGCCAGAACAGGACCTTTGCGCTGCGGCTGCGAGTTACATGTATGTGCCGCATTACAGCTGAGTGGGAACTGAGTTTCGATCAACTCACGACGTGGGAGATAGCGCTGTAAGAAAAGGTGGGTTAATTTTGCTGGAGACCGCTGATCTGCGTCCCCGCCTTACCTTCGAACGCGGCAATTATGTCCTCAACTGCACAGATACAGGCGCGTTTTGCTGTTGCTTCTACAAATTCGAGCGCGCTTGCAAGCTTTGGCGCAATAGATCCCGCATCCAGCGACCCCGACGCAAGCAGCTTCCTGCAAGCCGGACTGTCGAGTTCAGGCAGGGCTTTGGCTTGTACCGCGCCATAGTCTGCGTAGACGTAATCAACATCAGTGGCAAACACCAGAAGTTCCGCCTGCAGGGCGATAGCTAACTGCGCCGCCACCCAATCTTTGTCTATGACGGCATTGAGGGGCTCACCCGCGATAGTAACAGGCACGCCGCCACCGCCCGCTGCAACAACGTGGTGGCTGCGCAACAGACGCCTGATGGCATCCAACTCGACAACTTCTTGCGGCTTTGGTGACGGCACTAACAAGCGCCATCCTCCTGCAACCTGCACACAGTGCTGATCAGCCGGGTAGAACGGCAAAATGGCGCCAATGGGTTTGATGGGGGGGCCTGGTTCATTCGCAACCGTCACACGTGTCACGATGGCAACAGTGGGTTTCGGCATTGCCTGGGCAAGGAGATAACCCAGCTCGCCTTGAGTCTGTGCTGTGTGAATATCCAGATCGGCAATATCGCCGTCGTCCCGCAGCAGACGACCTACCTGCGGGCCATTGCCATGTACAACAAGCAATCGCACGCCCTGAAATGCCTGCGCGTGCAGCGTCTGCTTAAGTTGATTGATACGCCCACGCTCGACACCGTAACCGGCCTCACCGGGATGGCTCAACCCATGTCCACCGATGGCCAGAACAATGAGCGGTGCCTGGTCAGCTGCAGGCGGCAAGATAGGTCTCCACGAAGTCCATCAGGGCGGGTTTGCCCGTATCCTGATATTCGTAGTGGACGCGAACAACCGGGACCTCAAGCGCCAGCGCATGGGCCAGATCGATGGGTGAGCCGGACACTACCGCATCTACCTTAGACCGCTTTATGGTTTCCGCCATCGCCTCGCGTTGCGCACGACTGTAGCCCATTGCCGGTAACACCGGACCGATATGAGGATACTGCGCAAAAACCGCGGCGATTTCCGGGGTAGCAAATTCTCGCGGATCAACAATCTGGCCGATGTTGAGATTACGCACTGCTTGAAAACCAGCCCCGTGGGGCATACCCCCATGTGTAATCGTCGGGCCATCTTCGATGATCATAATTCGCGCGCCAACCAGACGTTCCGGCGTATCGATGCGCACCGGCGAAGCCGCGAAAATCCTGTCTGCACGAGGCACAATCCTGTCCAGTTCGCGTTGCAGCGTGGCCACTTGTTGTTGCGATGCGGCATCCACTTTATTGACAACGATAAGGTCTGCACGTAACAGCACTGAATCACCCGGATAGTGGGTGGTCAGCTGCGTCGGCCGGAGCGCATCCACGACAACAATGTTGTAGCCAGGCTCAATAAACGGATGGTCATTATTGCCCCCATCCCACAAAACAACGTCTGCTTCTACCTCCGCCGCGTGCAGAATTTTTTTGTAATCCACGCCGGCAAAAACGACACCGCCGCTGGCGATGTGAGGCTCGTATTCTTCCCGTTCTTCGACCGTACAATTGGCCTCGTCAAGGTCCGCAAAGCTCTGAAACCGTTGCACGGTTTGTTTGGCAAGCTCACCGTAGGGCATTGGGTGACGAAGGACCGCGACGTTTTTACCTGCATCAGTCAATTGCCGGGCTATGTAGCGGGCAATCTGCGACTTACCACAACCGGTGCGGACGGCGCACACTGCAATCGTCGGCTTGTGTGTTTCGAGCATAGTGGCTTTCGGGCCAAGCAACGCAAAGTTTGCGCCCGCAGCAAACGCTGCTGCTGCAATGTCCATGACATGGTCGCGTGTCACGTCACTGTAAGCGAATACCACCTCATCCACCTGATGTTGCAGACACAGCTGTTGTAACTGCGCTTCCGGCCATATGGGAATACCAGCCGGATACTGCGGCCCGGCGATACTTGCTGGAAATTGTCGTTCCGCAATCCCCGGGATCTGCGCTGCCGTAAAGGCGACAACTTCAACCGTGGCATCGTCTCGATAGACCACATTAAAATTGTGGAAGTCCCTGCCGGCTGCGCCACAAATGACTATCTTTCTACGTTGCATTGTCACAAGACGAGGTTCGCCTACCTGCTGAGGTACGCGAGCGCACGATTAATGGTAACAATCTGTTCCACATCGCTTTCCGGAATGTCGATGTTAAGACGGGCATGCAGGCCGGCAACAATGTTGAGTAAATCCATGGAATCCAGGTCCATTTGCTCGCGAATATCCTCGTCATCGTCGATCACGTCAGGCAGGCAACCCGGGGCAACCTCATCCATGACGTCCAGCAACACCTTGCGCAGATCTTCTTTCGACATCTGAACCTCCATTAAAGTTGTTGGGGATTGTTGAGCAGCTCAGCAATTGTGTTCAGCAACAGCGCCCCCCGACGCCCGTCGCTGACCCGATGATCTGCTGACAGGCTGATACCGACAGTGTGCCGGGAGACAATTGAACGGTCAGACATCGACCAGGGCCGGTCAACCACTTTGCCAAATCCAATACAGGCCACCTGGGGTGGATAGATGATGCCAAACACCGACTCAACACCACGGTCGCCGAGACTGGTGACGGTCACCGTGGGGTCGCGAAATTCTGACGCCCGGTAGCGTCCGGCGCGCACCCGTTGTGTCAGGTCGCGCAGTCCCGCCATCACCTGTTCAAGGGAAAGTTCATTTGTATCGTGGATAGCAGGTGCAACCAGCCCGCCACCGCGGATAGCAATGGCAACACCCACGTTGATGCGCGGGCTTGCAGTGTAGGTGTCATCCACATAAGCGCCGTTGAATTCCTGATACCTGGACAGCGCAACTGCAGTGGCCTTAATAAACAGCGCAGGCGCCAGTATGCGCTCCGCGGGCGGTTTCTCTTCGTTGGTCTGAGCCAGCCACTGCATGGCCACCTCCACATCCACTGTTGTACTCAGGTAATAATGGGGTATTTCGCGTTTGCCACGGGCCATGGCGGCGGCGATGGCGCGGCGCATCTTGGCAGCCGGGTCGTCTTCAGCTGCTGCCTCTTTTGCGGTGGCAGTCTGCCCCGGTTCAACCGCTGCCTGCACGTCTGCATAGACCACGGCACCTGCAGGCCCTGATCCATGCAGCGTGCTGATGTCGACACCCTGTTCCGCAGCCAGGCGTCGCGCGGCGGGAGAAACGCGCTGCCCGCCTTGTGGTGGTGGCGGTGCGGGTACCGCCGGAGCCGGGACATCGCCAGATTCGTGTACGGGGGTTTCTGTGGCAACTTCCGTCTGCGCGACGTCGTCCATTTCCATCGCGCCGGTGCGAATTTCTGCCAGCGGCTCACCCACCGCAACCTCACTGTCGAGCTCTACCAGGTAGCGCTCTAACACACCATCCTCAAACACTTCGATTTCGATGGCACCTTTGTCGGTTTCCACCACGGCAATAAGATCACCTCGCTTGACCTGATCACCTGGGGCCGCAAGCCATTCAATCAAGGTTGCCGATTCCATGTCAGATCCGAGACTCGGCATGCGAAACAGGCTCATGCGGACATACACATCGCACGAGCTTTTGCGACGATGGTCTCAACCTGGGGAATGCTGGCCGCTTCCATATGTTTGGCGTAAGGAATAGGCACCTCTGCACTGCACACACGCTCTACCGGCGCGTCCAGAGACCAGAATGCCTGCTCCATGATGCGCGCCGAAACTTCCGCAGCCAGACTGCCCGAACGCCAGCCTTCATCAACAATCAGGGCACGCCGGGTTTTACTCACCGACGCCATGATGGTTGCATCATCCAGCGGGCGCAGACAGCGCAGATCGATCACTTCCACATCCAGTCCCTGCCCGGACAGTTGCTCCGCTGCAGCCAGAGCCTTGAACAGCGAGCCGCCGTAGGTCAGCAAGCTGAGGTCGGCGCCAGGACGACGAACTGCCGCTCCTTCCAGCTGTACAGCCGACGGATCACCTACCTCACCTTTTGTGTTGTACAACATGACATTTTCAAAAATCAGCACCGGATCGGGATCATCCAGGGCTGCCTGCAGCATACCCTGCGCATCTTCAACGGTGGCAGGCGCAACCACTTTCAGACCCGGGATGTGTGCATACCAACCTTCCAGGCTATGGGAATGTTGAGCCGCCAGTTGTTTACCCGCACCGGTGGCCATGCGAATAACGATGGGCACACCAAACTGCCCGCCGGACATGTGCCGCACGGTCGCCGCCGTGTTCATGATCTGATCCAGAGCTAACAGACTGAAGTTAACCGTCATCAGCTCAACAATGGGGCGCATGCCGCCCATGGCGGCACCGATGCCGGCACCGGTGAAACCAGACTCCGCCAGCGGGGTATCGCGTACCCGCTCATCTCCAAACTCCTCCAACATGCCTGCGCTGACGCCATAACATCCGCCGTAGCGGCCGACGTCTTCACCCATGAGAAACACGCGCTCATCAGCCCGCATAGCAGCACACATACCTTCTCGTACGGCTTCCCGATAAGTGAGCTCAGACGACATCACTGCCAACCCCGTAAACGTGTTCATACAATTGATCAACCGACTCGAACGGGGCCTCTTCCGCAGCGGCTGTTGCGCTGTCAATCTCTGCCATCACGCGCGCCTCAATCTCATCGATGTCGCTTTGATGGATAACATGTGAATCCATCAGCCAGTTCTGAAAACGCACTATCGGGCCCCGCTGGCGCCACTCTTCCACCTCGGCTTTGTCACGATACTTTTGTGCATCAAACATGGAATGGGCGCGGAAACGGTAGGTTTTGCACTCTAAAAACACCGGCCCCTGACCTGCTCGTACTTGAGCCACAGCGGCACGTGCAGCCAACGTCACGGCAATGACATCCATGCCATCCACACTCTGGGCAGACACGTCGTAACTCTCGGCCTTCTTCACCAGGTCAATCTCAGATTCAGACCGTGATAACGCCGTGCCCATGGCGTAACCATTGTTTTCGCAGACAAACAACACCGGCAGCTGCCACAGTTGTGCCAGGTTGAGGCTTTCGTGAAACTCTCCTTCTGCAACCGCACCTTCGCCGAAGAAACACACCACCACCTCGTCACGCCCGGCCATCTTTGCGGCCAGCGCGAGACCCACGGCCATGGGCAGGCCACCGCCTACAATGGCATTGCCACCATAGAACCGCGTGGCGCGATCAAACAAATGCATTGAGCCGCCGCGACCGCGGCTGCAGCCGGTTTGTTTGCCGAGCATTTCAGCCAGAATCGAAGTCATCGACACACCGCGTACCAGGGCATGTCCGTGTTCGCGATAGGTTGCGACAACCGCGTCGCGTGCTTCGAGATTCGGGATGATGCCAACCGCCACCGCTTCCTCACCATCGTATAAATGGAGAAAGCCGCGAATCTTTTCCTGGCTATAGAGTTCTGCGCACTTATCTTCAAACCTGCGGATGCGCACCATTTGAGCTAACAGCTCAAGTGATAGTTCGCGACCGATGCGTAATGCGTCCGGGTTAGTCATTTTCAACAGTTTCCAAAGTCGAGGTATCGCCTTCTTCCAAACCCAGGACCCGCGCTTTCACCAGACGGCGCATGATCTTGCCGCTACGGGTGCGCGGCAGCTCGGGTAAACACTCGATGCTGCGCGGTGCCACTGATGGACCCAGGCGTTTACGCGCGTGGGCCATGACTTCTCGCTGCAGGGTTTCATCCCACTGGTAACCGGGATTGACCGCCACGAATGCCGCCACCGCCTCACCCATGGTTTCGTCCGGCAATCCGATCACCGCAGCTTCCGCTATCGCAGCATGGGCCAGCAATGTGCTTTCCACTTCAAACGGGCTGATCAAATGACCGGCGGACTGAATGACGTCGTCAGCGCGACTGATGAACCAGAAATACCCGTCCACGTCACGTTTAACCAGATCCCCGGTTTGATACCAATCACCCGAGAAACAGCGTTCGTAACGCTGCATCTCATTTATGTAACCGCGCATCATTGACGGCCAGCCTTTGCGCAGCACAAGTTCTCCAACTTGATCGGTGCCCAGCTGTTCGCTCGGAGCGTTTTGCGCGACAACCGCAGCTTCCACACCCGGCAGCACCTTACCCATTGCGCCCGGTTTTACTTCTTCCCCCGGGCAGTTAGCAATCATGATGCAGCCGGTTTCCGTCTGCCACCAGTTGTCGTGAAACGGCTGGCCGAACGCTTCCTGCCCCCAGAGTACTGCGGAAGGATTAAGCGGCTCACCGACACTGGCCATAAAACGGAGATCCGGAAATTGGTGTTCACGGGTCAGCTCCAGACCTGCTTTCATCAGCATGCGGATCGCGGTGGGTGCTGTGTACCAGACATTCACCCGCTCCTCAGCGAGTATCTGATACCAGCGCCGTGGATCAAATTCCGCTTCATCAACAAGCAGATGCACGCCATGGGTCAGTGGCGCAATGATGCCGTAGGACGTACCTGTTACCCAACCCGGATCTGCCGTACACCAGTACCTGTCACCCTGATGCATATCTAAGGCCGCAGCCGCTGAGACATGGTGCCCGACAACCGCTTCATGCACATGCATAACACCTTTGGGTCTGCCTGTGGTGCCGCTGGTGAAATGAATCAGAGCCAGGTCATCTGGCGCAGTGGCCACTGCCGGATAGTCCAGCACGCCGGCATCCATGAAGGTGCTGTAATGCAGGGTACCAGCGGGGGCATCATCAGGTTCGCCATCAATAATGATGACGTGTTTCAAGCTGTCGAGCTGCTTAAACCACGACGCGACTTTGCGGCGAAACAATGATGCGGTGGTCACCAGCACGTCAGCGCTGCCAATTTCCATTCGGGTGCGAATCGGCTCCGGACCAAACGCGGAAAACAAAGGGGTAAACACAGCACCGCGGCGCAGCGTGCCGAGTGCGGTCACATACAGTTCCGGAACTCGCCCCAGCAAGCTGAACACCCGACCACCACGCGCAACGTCATGCGCATCCAGCGCACTGGCGAAGCACGCCGTCGCGGCTGTCAATTCAGCATAAGAGATAGATTCGGCGCTGCCATTTTTACGCAGAAATTTGATCGCCACATCGTTGCCATGTCCTGCAGCGATTTGCCGGTCTAACGCCACCTCAGCGATGTTGAGCGAGCCGTCCCGGGTGAACGTCGCCGACACTGCCTGCCACGCATTGTCTACCAATATGTATACCCGCTTGCAAACCTGCACTTGACGTTAACACTACCGACCAAGCGGGCAATACGTGAATCCCACAGCCAGTCAGGCTCGCCGCATCAGCCACCGCCGCAGGCCTTTTTCCAACTCGACAATTAAAAACAGCGCCACCCCGGCAAGCCCGATAAGGGCCCAGGTCTGCACATCCAGCGTTCTGGATTCAAACAGGAGTTGAAAGGGTGCCGTGAAGGTAAACAACAACTGCAGAAATATCACCACGCCAATGACGCCAAACAATACCGGGTTGCCCAGCAAGCCGGACATACTCATCGACGAGTACTGCAGGTGCCTTACATTCAGAAGGTAGACGATCTCAAACAGTACCAGGGTGTTCACGCTAACCGTGCGCGCGTATTCCACAGAGTGGTCAGTAGATACCAGGGTGAACACAAGCATGATGCCTGAAAACATCAACAGGCTGACAAACGCAGTACGCCACAACACCATCGGACTCATCAGCGATTCACGCGAGGGAACCGGCGGGCGCTGCATGACAGATCCCTCACCAGGCTCGAAAGCCAGCGCAACACCCAACGTGACCGCAGTGATCATGTTAATCCATAAGATCTGCGCCGGGGTCATGGGCAGCTGCAAACCAAATATCAGCGCGATAGCAATGACCAGCGCTTCGGCAACGCTGGTCGGCAACAGGAACACCACACTTTTGCGTATGTTGTCGTAAATAATGCGGCCGGCCTCAACGGCACCGACAATGGAGGCAAAATTGTCATCCGCCAGCACCATATGTGCCGCATCGCGCGCGGCCTGGGTACCTTTACGCCCCATCGCCACACCCACATTGGCACGTTTAAGCGCCGGAGCATCGTTTACCCCATCACCCGTCATGGCCACGATGTGCCCTTGTTTCTGCAGGCTCTGTACCAGCAACAGCTTGTGCATCGGACTGGTGCGCGCAAAGATGTGGTTGTCCACCGCCGCCTGATCCAGAGCGGACGGACTCATGCCATCAAGCGCATCGCCACTGATCACCGTCAGGTTCTCCGCCAGTTGCAAATCGCCGCCGATGGCCAAGGCGGTTTCTACATGATCACCAGTAATCATCTTGACTTCGATACCAGCACCCCGGCAGCGGATTAAAGCCTCAGCAACCTCCGCACGTGGCGGGTCAACGACGCCGATCACACCCAGCAGCTGCAACTTACCCTGCCAGCCCAGATCTTCAATACTGGTGGATGCTTGGGCCAACTCGTACCGCGCCAGCGCAAGCACCCGATGGCCACTGCAGGCCAGATCAGAAACACCCGTGTGCCAACGCTCCATCGAGATGGGCTGGGACCCATCAACAGTTAACTCGGACACACAGAATGTAAGCACCGTTTCCGGTGCGCCTTTGACATACAGCACACCGCCATCATCAGCAGTGCGGTGCAGGGTCGCCATGAAGCGCTGTTCAGATTCAAACGGTATCAAGTCGATGCGGGGCAGAGCATCCTGGGTTGCTTCGCTGTCGATCCCTGCTTTACGCGCCAACACAATCAGTGCCGCTTCCATGGGATCACCCACTACGCTGTCGTCGTGGGCATCAACATCCACGCGAGCGTCATTGCAGCAGACCCCGGCGGTTGCTAATTCCGCAATCAGGGCAGACGCGCGCTCACCATTGTCCGCGCTGATCTCTCCTGGCTCGCTATAGCCGACTCCGCTGACGATATGTTTCCCTGCTGCCGTGAGTACCACACGTACGGTCATTTCGTTGGCTGTCAGCGTACCGGTCTTGTCAGTACAGATGACATCGACCTCCCCCAGGGTTTCCACCGCTGGCAGGCGGCGCACGATGGCATTACACCGCGCCATCTTACGCACACCGATGGCAAGCGTGATGGTAATGACTGCCGGCAGCCCCTCAGGAATTGCAGCAACCGCAATGCTTACCGCTGCGATGAGCATCTCCGCCAGGGCATAGCCGTGCATGTACGCGCCGAACAACGCAACGCCACCAGAGATAACCAGAATTAACAGCGACATCCGCCGCGAAAACAGCGAAATTTTATCGAGCAATGGCGTCGAGAGAGACTCGATGGTTTGTAACGCTCCGGAAATAAGGCCCATTTCAGTTTCGGCCCCGGTGGCAAGCACCAGAGCGTTTGTCGAACCACGCGTCATCAATGTGCCGGCATAAACCATGTTGCTACGGTCCTGCATGTCCACCTGCGTCGCCAGATCGGCGTCATGTTTGTCCACGGCTACCGATTCACCCGTCAGCACTGACTGGTCAACCTCCACATTTCGGCTATCGAAAATCCGCGCATCAGCCGGCACACGGTCGCCCGCCTGCAGGGTAATGACATCTCCGGGAACCAGCTTTTGAGCATCGATTTCGACAAAACTGCCAGCCCGTTTAACGGAAACCTTTGTGCTCAGCATCTGGCGAATGGCACGAATGGCTTGCTCCGCCCTGCCCTCCTGTACAAAACCGACGATGGCATTGACGAACACCGCCGCGACAATCACCGCGGTATCGAGCCAATGATCCAGCAGGGCTGTGAGCAGCGCAGCCACGATCAGCACATAAAGCAGAACATTGTTGAACTGTCGGAAAAAGCGTCTAACCGGACTGGGCTGGCGCTCTGCCTGTACAAGGTTTGGTCCATGCGCTTCTAGACGCGCTGCAGCTTCCAATACCGTCAGCCCTTCAGTGGATGCACCAATCTCGGCAAAACAGCCGTCCAACGGCAGACTGTGCCAAGGTCTACGGTTCTGTTTAGCCTTTTCGGTCATATCAGCAGAATATTAGAAAATCGCACCGATAGGCGACTAGGGGAAGTCCCTAAGTCGCAAATGCGCAGTGGCGTGTTCCAATCAGCCCAGAAACTGAACAGCGAGCACTTACATGTTAATTGGCGTACCCAGGGAGATTAAAGCAGACGAGTATCGGGTTGGCCTCACACCAGCCAGCGTTAGAGAGCTTGTCACTCATGGTCATAAAGTACTGGTCGAACATCTCGCCGGTGACGTGATTGGCTTACACGACGAGGACTATACCCGCGCCGGTGGGCAGATCTGCGCAACCGCTGAGGAAATTTTTGCCCAGGCCGAACTCATTGTAAAAGTCAAAGAACCACAGCCAGCCGAAGTGGCCATGCTGCGTGAAGGACAGGTGTTGTTCACTTACCTGCACCTGGCAGCCGACGCAGAGCTGACCCGCAATTTGGCGGCGACAGGCTGCACCGCCATCGCTTATGAAACGGTTACCGACCGGTTTGGCGCACTACCCCTGCTGGCACCCATGAGCGAAGTTGCCGGACGCATGTCAGTACAAGCGGGCGCCCACTGCCTGGAAATAGAGCAAGGCGGGCGCGGCATATTGATGGGCGGCGTGTCTGGCACCCCAGCGGCCAAAGTGACCATTTTAGGTGGTGGCGTGGTTGGCGCCAATGCAGCCCGAGTGGCTCTGGGTATGGAAGCTGATGTCAACATCCTGGATATTTCCCTGCATACCCTGACCCAGCTGGATACCCATTTTGGCGGTGGTCTTAACACGGTGTTCTCAACTGTGGACGCTTTACAACAGTGCGTTGCAGAGGCGGATCTGGTGATTGGCGCGGTTCTGGTACCTGGCGCGTCTACGCCTAAACTGGTAACCGAAGATATGGTGCGGGACATGAAAAAGAGCGCGGTGCTGGTGGATGTTGCCGTGGACCAGGGCGGTTGTGCAGCCACCTCGAAACCAACCACCCACTCCAATCCCACCTACAGAGTCCACGATGTGGTGCACTATTGCGTCGCCAACATGCCGGGTGCTGTGGCACGCACTTCTGCCTTTGCTCTGAATAATGCAACGTTGCCATTCGTGCTGGCATTGGCCAACCAGGGTGCGCACCAGGCGATGGCTGCAGATATCCACCTGCGCCATGGGTTGAATCTGCACGCCGGACATGTGACCTACGCGTCGGTGGCCGCCGCCACCGGTCTGATGCATAAACCTGCCGAGGAGGCATTAGGGCTGTAACGATTGTGGTGATCTATCAAAGAGCCCCTGCGCCAAATTCAAACCGCAACAGACAGCGTGACAAGGCCCGCCACGTAAAGGACCAATATAACCAGACTCTCAATCCCAATATTTGCCGGCCCATGGCGTTCCCGGTAGATAAGCCCGAGTAACAGCACACCTGCCATCAACAGCGAATTGGCGAGCCAGAACATCTCGTCTTGAGAGAACGCACTGTATATGGAGCCCTCTCTGTAGGCGGCGTCTGAAGCAGCAATGAACAGAGTATCAAACGCATTACCGCCAACGATGTCGCCCAACGCCAGATTTAAAGCGCCCAACCTTACCGCCGACACAGCAACCACCAATTCCGGAATCGATGTAGCAACTGCGGTGAATACACCGCCAACAACCCCCTGGGACAGACCGGTGTGTTCTGCTAAAGGCACAGCCAACTGCGCAAGCGACCAACCCGCTGCAGCTACAACTAGAGCGCAGGCGGCAAACTTAAGCCACATCAATGGCAGACTTTTCTGCAAGTTGCCTGATTGGGATTGCTGCTCCGTATTCGTATCACTGGTGCGTCTAGGTAGCCACATCGGCGTTTCGTGAGTTTGCGCAAGCAAACGGAGACCAAATATGTAAACCACCAGCAGCAATAGTGAAGCCGGATGTATCCAGAACACCTCCAGCTCCGGAACCGCAACCCCTAACAGATGAACGCTAAGTAAAGTGATCAGCAATCCCGTCATAAACAGATTTTCAGCGGACGCGGCGGCATGTTCCAGATTGGCACGACGATAAACAATGTCGGCTATGGCTAAAAAAGTAGTTTGTGCAGCGATGCCACCCAAAGCGTTGCTGATGGCCAGTTCAGGGAATCCTTCGCTTGCGGCCACAACCGATGTTGTAATGCCTGAAAGTGAGGTCGCCGCTCCTATGAACAGCGCCCCCATAACTGCCTCACCAATACCGCTGGCGTGGGCCAGATCACGAGCCACTTCTGTCATCTGCACGCCAAACCAACCGATCACAACGGCGGTGCAGATGAACAAACCAACTATCAGCCATAAAGGCCAAAGAGAGATAATCGTGTGCATACAGGGATAACTTTCGGACAACCCGAACTTTCACTGTAAACGATGCAGCCCGCTGTATCATCCAGCGCGTGCAACTCGGAGGGTTAGCTTTGGATCAGGTCAGCAAAAAGATTCGTCGCTGGTATCGCAAGCGTCTAGTCGCGAGGCACGCCATCGACCCGACAATGTGGACCTGTGTCATCGACAAACTCGACTTGTTGGCAGGTCTTGCGCCTGCTGAGCTTGAGCGCCTGCGCGAGATTTCCACCCTGTTTATGCAAAGAAAACAGTTCTTTGGTATCTACGAGATGGAAATTAGCAATGAGGTCCGTGTCGCAATTGCTGCTCAAGCCTGCCTGCTGATCCTGAATCGAACAGCGTCGCATGAGACACATCCCTATCCAGGCTGGTCATCCATCATTCTTTACCCGGGACCTTTTGTTACCCGGCATAACTTTCGAGACGCCATAGGCGTGGTGCATGAACAGATTGCTGCACTGGAAGGGGAAACGAGTCGCAGCGGCCCCATTGTGCTCTCCTGGGAAGATGCCCGTCGGAGCGCCACCGCGCCTGGAGAGGGAAGAAACGTGGTACTTCACGAATTTGCCCACAAACTCGACTTCATGAATGGCGTGAGCAACGGATTCCCGCCTCTGCCCGCCGGCATGTCGGTTGAAGACTGGTCGCGGTCGTTCACTCACGCCTTCGAGCACTTACGCCATCGCGTTGATCACCATCATCCGACGCCGTTCAATTCCTATGCCGCAACCAATCCAGCTGAGTTTTTTGCGGTCATGACCGAAGCGTTCTTCCAGATCCCTCATCATTTAAGGGAGATCTATCCGCACGTCTACGAGCAGCTTCAGCGATACTACAAGCAGGATCCGATTCAACGACGGCCGCCAGTTGCGCATTTGCACAAACGTTTCCGAACCTGAATTGAGCAAACATCTTGCGTGGCAGACCTCCTGAGGTGGCGTGATACTCGAGTTCTGACCGGTAATAGGTGGTGATATTTGATGGAGCATTTTTTATGAGTCATGACGAAAAGCATCGCGCACATCGTGTGGGTTGGCTGCGTGCCGCGGTACTGGGCGCCAACGATGGCATTGTGTCTACAGCGAGTCTGATTATTGGCGTAGCTGCAGCGGGCACCACACAGGAAAACATTCTGCTCGCGGGGGTTGCCGGGTTGGTTGCGGGCGCCATGTCCATGGCTGCTGGAGAATACGTGTCGGTGAGTTCTCAGTCAGATACTGAAAATGCAGATCTGGCGCTGGAAAGAAAATCACTAGAGCAGAACCCCATGTTCGAAAAGAAGGAGCTGGCAAAGATATATGAAGAAAGAGGGGTTGAGCCTGAGCTGGCAATACAGGTTGCACATCAACTGATGAGGCATGACGCTCTCGGGGCTCACGCGCGTGATGAAATTGGTATTTCGCCGAATGGCGCCGCTCAACCCGTTCAAGCCGCGTTCTCTTCAGCCGGGACGTTTACCGTTGGGGCGGCGTTGCCGCTGTGTGTAGCATGGGTAATGCCCGCCGCTTCGCAGATACTTGCGATTGCAATATCGTCACTTTTCTTCCTGGCACTGCTTGGTGTTATTGCCGCGCGTGCGGGTGGCGCACCGATGATAACCGGCGCGGTCAGGGTTACTTTCTGGGGTGCCCTGGCGATGGCTTTGACCGCAGGTGTAGGGCAATTATTCGGCGTGGTGAGTTGAAAAATTCATTGTTCGCCATCCAACCTGTGGATCAGCTGCTTTTTTAGTGATCATTGTGCCGCTGTTGGCGGCCACCTTGGTGCGCAGTGTATGCGGTGCCAGCAATTCCACGAACGTGGTTTAGATGTTTGAGCGCTGTTTAAACTCATCTATCAGCCTGACGCGAAGCGTCATCTGCGAGCCAGGGCATCAAGCTGAAAGCTCTTGATGTTGCCATCAGGAGCTTTGCTTTGGAGAGAGGCTATTCCCCTGGGGCAGGTGTTATAACTTGTTGGGATGTCCACATGGCCAGATTGCAGTCTCCCATCATATTGAAATGTCGACCCAGCCTTTGCCCCTCAGGGTCTGCCCCGATAGCACCCATAAAGTTGCCATAACTGGTGAGGCTTTCGTTCACGGTAAAAAGCACAAAGTCAGGCGTATTCTGTCCGCCTGTCATGGATGCCATGGCATATACAGCACTGGGCGTATTGTCTCCCATAGCACTCAGCACACCATTGATGTGTGATGCCAGGTCGCGAATCTCAGCAGCACCAACACCGGGCATCAGTTGACAGGCATTGGTAGAAATGACATTAGCTTCAGCACCGCCATCTGCAGCACCTTCACGTTGAAACATGGGCATGATTGTACTCAGTCTCGGTTTACATTTAATGACCGCGTCAAAACGCGCCTGGACATCGGCAATCTCAGTTGCCGCCGCTTCAGCATCTGCGGAGGCCGCAAACGCCATGAAGTTTTCATGAGGGGCAAGCCATAAAAGGTCGAAATCGACATCACCTTTCAATAGTGTCCACATATAGGCCGGCCCGAGTGTTAAGCCTGCTTTATCGGCTTGTTTGAGGTAGTAATCTCGCGCGGTCATCACGTCTTTAGCACTTTTTCCAGGCTCATAGGAACAAGCCCAGGTTTCAACAACGGCGGGTGGCGCAGCTTCCTGAGCAAAGGTATTGGCACTCAGGGCTCCGAAAAGGGGCAACAACAGCAGTGCAAATATTCTGGTGGGTAAGTAGGTTATTTTCATAACGCATCTCCTTTCTGTATGAATGAAATCATCACGAAGGAGGTTGAAAGGAAGGTAATACAGGTGCGCATTCTGGTCTCAAGAGCGGCCATCGGCGCTCCTTGATCTCAGCCTCTACAGCGCAGATTGCCCGACAAATCGGCCTAAAAAACCAGGCTTTATATTTGATGCCCGTATAGCAGCTGACCTATGCTGTTAGATCAGCTTGCTGATATGCCTCGTTAAATCTGCCTTGCGCACTCATGCAAAGTTCAGCAGTTCTTCAGGTTTACCCCCTTCATTGCCCAGCACGTGTTTCAGATAGTCAGCATAAGACCCCATCCACATGCCGGCGGAGCGCTCACGCCCTGCAGCAGCATCACTCTTGGTGGACTTCATGTACCAGTTGTTACATCGCAGCCACACCTTGCCGTCTGAACTTGCCTCGCAAAGTGACGTCCAGCGTTCTACGGCATCCTGGCTGGGCTCCACCGTAGTGGTTCCGTCAGCAGTCATGCGTGCAACCAGCTGACTGATATACTTTGACTGCTCTTCACAAAGCAGCGTGACATTGGTCACGGGGTTCAGACTTTGTGGCCCGATCATCATGTAAAAGTTGGGCATGTCGTCAACGTGCAGTCCCCACAGAGAATGCGGGCGCGTCATTTGAAATTTATTGGCCTCGTTAGCACCAAACTTGTCCGCCAGCGTGACGCCGTCACGACCTATAATCGGAAACGGAATGAAGTTGCTGTCAAACCCGGTGGCATAGATGATCACATCAACATCATAGGTTTCCCCGCGAGCGATCTGCACGCCGCTTTCGGTAACGCGCACAACACCACCGGGGTCGTCCACCAGAGTGACATTGGGTTTGTTGTAGGTGGTGTAGTAATCATCGATGAACAACGCACGCTTACAGAAAAAGGGATAGTCCGGGGTCAGCTTTTCAGCGAGTTCGGGATCATCCACCTCCTGTTTGATCCGTTCAGCGATGCCCGCACAAATCGCAGCGTTGCGCTGTTCATCGTGCAGGTCATCAAAAGAGAAAGCGACCTCTGCTGGCGGCAGTTCTCCCTTCCAATCAACATAGCGCAACTCTTCACTGTAACCACCCGCTTTGAATCTTTCGATCATTTCCGGGGGGGTGGGCTCATCATCCCGTGGCAGACACCAGGTGGGGGTGCGCTGAAATACGGTGAGGTGTTCAACATCATCACAGATGGCGGTAATCACCTGGGCTGCAGAGGCGCCAGTGCCAATCACACCCACACGTTTGCCTTTCAGGTCAGCACTGGCATCCCACTGAGCGGTATGAAAACTCTCGCCACAAAAATCTGCCATGCCAGCAACTTCCGGCAGGCGCGGACTGGACAGCGGGCCATTGGCGGTAACTACGTGCTGGCAGGTAACAATCTCAGCGGGCGCACCGGTGATTGCATCTTCAGTGGTCACCTGCCAGACGCGCTCGCCGTCGTTGATGCAGCGCAGCTCAATGACCTTACGATTAAAATGCACCTTGTCGCGAATGCCGCAATGGTCGGTCAACAGTTCTGCATAGCTGGCAATCTCCTGCTGGCTGACATATTTCTTGGACGGAATGAAACCAGTTCGATCAAGGAACGGCAGGTAAGTGTAGGCTGGTACATCGCAAGCTGCGCCGGGATAAGCGCCCACACCGCCGTAACTCCAGACCCCACCTACAGACGTGTTCTTTTCAAAAAGGCAAACGTCCTCGATCCCCGCCTCTTTCAGGTAGCTGGTGCAGAGCAGGCCAGAGAAACCCGCTCCGATGACAACCACTTTGTGGTGGGGATATTGATCTGCAGCGGACATTGGCGCTCCTTGTTAGCAAGAAAGTCGGAAATTGTACTCGAAAAATCAGCCAGGCCGCTGCATCTAAGTAGCTCCCCCAATAGAACAATCATTGAAATACAGGACAATCGGAGGAACTTGAACAAAGGAATGTGGTGGCATGTCCGAAGTTGCAGCCCAACCTTCGGCAGGGCAAATCACACTGCAGGCACGGGACCTGGTCAAAGTTTACCAGGCCGGAGCAACAGAAATTCGCGCCCTCGATGGTGTGGACCTGGACCTTTTTACCGGCGAGTTAGTTGTGCTGGTGGGCGCTTCGGGAAGCGGCAAATCAACATTGCTCAACATTCTGGGTGGATTAGATACACCGACATCTGGAACGCTGCAATTCAGAAACGATCGGCTGGATACAGGCAACGACCTGATCATGACCCAATATCGGCGCCGTCACGTTGGTTTCGTTTTTCAATTCTACAACCTCATCGCCAGCCTGACTGCCGAGGAAAACGTCGCTCTTGTGACGGAAATCGCCGATGCACCACTGACACCGGCTGACGCTTTAGCACTGGTAGGCCTGGGTGATCGTCTGCGCGCATTTCCGGCAGAGCTGTCAGGCGGTGAACAGCAACGTGTGGCCATTGCGCGTGCCATTGCCAAGCAGCCGGACCTGCTTTTGTGTGATGAGCCGACCGGCGCACTGGACAGTAAAACCGGCGTGCTGGTACTGGCCGCGATTGAACAGGTGAACCGCGAACTGGGCACCACAACCGCACTCATCACGCACAACCGTTCAATCTCCGGCATGGCTGATCGCGTCTTGCGCTTTGCCGATGGCCGTATCGTGGAAACGTCCACTAACCACACACGTACGCCAGTCGCTGAGCTGGAGTGGTAGCCCGTGCACCCGCTGAATCGAAAAATACAGCGAGATCTGCTGCGTTTGCGCGGGCAGAGCCTGGCCATAGCGCTGATTGTCGCGAGCGGCGTTGGTGTACTTGTCATGTCGCTGGCGGCAATGCAGGCGCTCACCGATACTGCAGCTGCCTATTATGAACGGTATCAGTTTGCCGATGTCTTTGCCGATGCCACGCGGGCACCGCGAAAGGTCCTGCGCGAGATAGAAGCGTTACCTGGCGTCAGAATTGCCGAAGGTCGTATCGTTAAGTACGCCACCATAGATGTTGAGTCCTTTGCCGAACCCATTGCAGGGGTTTTCACCTCGCTACCAGAACATTCTCTGCCAAGGCTCAACCAGCTTGCCCTTAGAGCCGGGCGCATGCCGGTGGCGATCCAGAGCAACGAGGTGTTAGTCAGCGAACCATTTGCGCAGGCGCACAGCCTGCAACCCGGAGATAGGTTCAAGGCATTGTTGAATGGCCGCAAACGCAGCCTGAAAATTGTTGGCATCGCCTTGTCACCTGAGTTTGTTTACGCCATCGGACCCGGCACACTTATGCCGGATGCAGCACGCTACGGCGTGGTATGGATGGGTGAAGAGGCGCTCGCTGCCGCGTTTGATCTTGAGCATGCATTTAATAATGTGGCTGTGAGTCTTTGGCCTGATGCCTCACTGTCGCAAACGCTGAGCAGCATCGACTTATTGTTAGAAAACTACGGTGGTACCGGCGCTATTGCACGGGATGACCAGGTTTCCAACTGGTTTGTAATGAACGAAATTGCACAGCTGCGCAGCATTGCAGGCGTTTTACCTCCCATTTTCCTGGCAGTGGCCGCATTTCTGACAAACATGGTGCTGGCACGCCTGGTCTATATTGAGCGCGCCGAAATTGGCCTGCTTAAAGCCTTTGGGTACAGCAACGCCACGATGGCCTGGCACTATACAAAATTTGTCATTGTCATCAGTGGCCTGGGCGTGCTGCTTGGCTGGCTGCTGGGTTTCTGGTTGGGCCACCTGATGACCAGCATGTATGCAGACTTCTTTCGCTTTCCTCTGCTGGTTTATGCGCCGAACGTGAACATTTATCTTCTTTCCGGCTTTATCAGCATCACGACAGCTTTGTTTGGCGCCGTCGGCGCCGCCCGGTACGCTGCTCTGTTACCGCCTGCAGAAGCTATGCGGCCCTCATCGCCACCACCTTTCCGTCATCACACGCTTGGATTGTCTCAGCTGCTGAAACTTATTGACCAACCCACTCGGATTATTTTCCGGCAGGTGCTACGTCGGCCGTTGCGTACCCTACTGACCAGCCTTGGCGTAGCCGCCTCTGTGGCGGTTCTGGTCACCAGCCTGCAATGGCTGGATGCCATCGAATACATCGTTGCAGATTACTTCAATACGCAGCAACGTCAGGACCTGACCGTTGCCCTGGTTGAATCCAAAAAGTTCGAGGTAGGCAACAATTTGATGCGGCTACCCGGTGTACAAGCTGTTGAAGCCCATCGCGCGATAGCGACACGGCTGCACTTTGGTGCGCGTCAGCGCCGCGAAGCGCTGCTGGGATTACCGCTAAACAGCGAGCTAGAAGTGCTGCACGACGTCGATGGCAGTCGTGTTGCATTACCGCCAGCGGGTTTGCTGATGTCTACCGCGATGGCCGACCTCCTGGGTGTGCAGGTGGGAGACACGGTGATTGTCGAAGTCCTGCAGGGGCGACGTCCAACGCTCAGCATTCCTGTAGCTGCAGTATTTGAGACCCTGGTAGGCACCCCGGTTTATATGAACATAGAGCCCTTAAACCGAGCGCTGCACGAACCTGAACAAACCAATCTTCTGCTGGCTCTTTTTGACCAGAGTCAGCAACCCCTGCTGCTGAACAAATTAAAAGATATTCCGGCTGTTGCCGGTGTCGTACTTAAACGCGCGGCGATTAAATTATTTAATCAGACCATTGGCGAAACCATGCTGATCATGATCTTTTTCTATGTCGCGTTTGCTGCCACGCTGGCATTCGGCGTGCTCTACAACAACATGCGCATCTCTTTGTCTGAGAGAGGTCGGGAGCTGGCGACCCTGCGTGTGCTGGGATTCACCAAAGCGGAAATTGCTTACATGTTGTTTGGTGAAGCGGCTGTGTTGACGCTGTTAGGGCTTCCCATCGGCTGTCTGCTGGGTTGGCTGCTGGCAGAGTATATGGCGCAGGGTTTCAACAATGAACTGTTTCGCTTGCCGGTGGTTATCGCACCAGCAACCTACGGTTACAGCATGCTGGTTGTGATCGGATCAGCAATCGCATCAGCGTTTTTTATCGAGCGTCGCCTTGCGCGGCTCAACCTGATTAGCGTATTAAAGACCAGGGAATAACAAATGTCAGAACTGAACAAGAAAGCAAACACCACCACGGTCAACACGAAACGTGTGTTGATCTGGTTAGTACCCGGCCTTGTGCTGGTGCTGTCGATGTTCATGCTGTTCCGCCCTCGCGCCGAGCTGGTTGACATCGTTGAAGTCAAACTACGGCCGATGAGAGTCACCATTGATGAAGAGGGCAAAACGCGAGCCAGAGAGATTTTCACCATCTCTGCGCCGGTGCAGGGCCGCCTGCTGCGCACCAGATTAAAAGAAGGGGATCAGGTTGTTGCTAACCAGACCGTGGTTGCAGAAATCGAGCCCAGCGATGCTGAATTCCTGGACCCTCGTGCTCAGGCAGAAAGCGAAGCGTTGCGGGATGCGGCAGCTGCCGCTCGCGAGGTTGCCCTGGCTGAGCTGAAACAGGCAAAAGCAGAACGGGACTTCGCCTCTGCTGAAGTTAAACGCGCCCATGACCTCTTTGCAAAAGGTACCATCGCCCGGCAGAAAGTAGATGATGCTGAGCGAGGCGCCCAGGCAACCCAGGCAGCGGTTGAAGCAGCTATGGGTAACCTCAAGGTACGGGACTATGAACTCAATCGTGCCCGCGCGCGGCTCGTGCCGCCCACGGGCTCGGCCTCCAGTCAATCACCCTGCGCATGTGTCACCCTGCGCTCACCCATAGATGGGCGGGTTTTACGCATCCTGCAGAAAAGCGAAACCATCGTTACCCCTGGTGCGCCGCTGATGGAAGTCGGTGATCCTCGAGATCTGGAGATTGTTGCCGACATGCTGTCCTACGATGCCGTGAAAATCCGACCTGGTCAGCAGGTGATTATCGACGGCTGGGGAGGCAATGAAGTGCTACTTGCGCTGGTGAGAATGGTTGAACCATTTGCCTTTACCAAGACGTCAGCACTGGGCATCGAAGAGCAGCGCGTCAATGTAGTCATGGACCTTCTCGACGCGCCGTCAGATGATGTGTCGCTGGGACATGCCTTTCGTGTGAATGTCCGGGTCGTGATGTGGCAATCTGAGGCTGTCAAAACAATTCCGTTGACCGCTTTATTCAGACATGACAACGGCTGGGCTGTATATCTCGACAACGACGGCGTCGCGAGCACAACCCCAGTAACCATAGGGCACAGTTCAAATCTTGACGTCGAAGTCATCAGCGGTTTGCAGGTCGGTGATCGGATAGTTCAACATCCCAACGACCGTTTAAGTGATGGCACACGAATCTCTCGCCGTTGAAGCAACCTGGGGCAAGATGACCTTTTACACGCGCAACTTCGGGGATATTAGTCGGTGTAGTTTTGCTCAAGGCCGCTTTAGTTCATGGATTCACTTCAAGCGCATTTCCTGCACCGCACAGTACAGAACCGGTACCAGCAGCGTGGTGATGATGGCAACCAGCATGCCGCCAAAAGACGGAATAGCCATCGGCACCATAATATCCGAACCGCGGCCGTCTGAGGTTAAAACCGGTATCAGCGCAATCAGCGTTGTTGCGGTTGTCATCAATGCCGGGCGTATACGACGCGTTGCGCCTTTCACCACCAGCGACCTGATGTCGTCGATTTTATTAGCCTCCGCTTTAGCGAGCGTTTGATCCAGATAGGTTGCTGTCACCACACCGTTATCCGTGGCAATACCAAACAGGGCCAGGAACCCAACCCAGATTGCGACGCTCATGTTTATCGGAGTGACCTGAAAGAGCTCACTCATATTTGCGCCAAGCACTGAGAAATGCAGAAAGCCGCTGGTGCCGTATAACCAGATCACCAGAAAACCCCCTGACCAGGCCACGGCTATACCGCTGAACACAATCAGGGTGGTGGTCACCGAAGAGAACTGCAGGTAAAGAATCAGAAAAATCACTAACAGGGCTACCGGCAATACAACAGATAAAGTCTGCTGTGCGCGCAGCTGATTTTCGTAATTACCTGCAAACGTGTAACTTACCCCCGCCGGCAGAATGAACTCTCCGCTGTCGATTTTTGTCTTGAGATACGCCTGGGCGTCTTCGACCACATCCACTTCTGCAGCTTCAGCGCGTTTATCGAACACAACGTAACCCACCAGAAACGTGTCTTCACTCTTGATGGCCTGTGGGCCACGCACGTAACGAATTTCTGCCAGCTGTCCAAGGGGTATCTGGGCGCCGGTAGAGGTGGGTACCAGAATTTCTTCCAGGCCTTCGGGTGTATCGCGCAATTCACGGAAGTACCGCACCCGCACCGGGTAACGTTCGCGCCCCTCAATTGTACTGGTGATGCGCTTACCCCCCACAGCGACCTCAATAACCTGCTGCGCTTCTTCGATGTGCAGTCCGTAGCGCGCCAGCGCATTGCGATCTAAATCGATCTCCAGATACGGCTTACCCACCAGCCGGTCAGCCGTCACGGTATCGGATTCAATACTGGACACTTCTTTCAGCAGAGACTCAAGCTGCAGGGCGACACGTTCGATTGTCTCAAGATCCGGTCCTTTGACTTTGATACCCATCGGCGCGCGCATTCCGCTTTGCAGCATCACAATACGTGCTGCAATGGGCTGCAGTTTCGGCGCGGAAGTTGTTCCGGGCAGATCCGTGGCCTGGATGATTTCCTGCCAGATATCGTCCGTGGAGTGGATGTGTTCGCGCCAGTTGCGGAACGGCTGGCCACTATCGTCAACAATCAGGCCGCCGGCTGCATCGCGTTCAAAGGCGTTTGCCTGCTTGTCGTATGCAAATCGCAGAATGCGGCCGTTGTCGTCTGTGCGGAATTCCGGATGATAGTTAATGATGGTTTCGAACATGGAGATAGGTGCGGGATCCAGGGGTGTATCAGCCCGGCCGAGCTTGCCCACCACAGATTTGATCTCGGGGATGGAGGCAATCGCCTCGTCGAGAATCTGCAGCGTATCCTGGGCTTCACCAATTGAAGCATGGGGCATGATTGTAGGCATGTAGAGAAAGGATCCTTCATCCAGGTCAGGCATGAACTCTTTGCCAAACCCTGGAAAGGTGTTGTCAATCCCTTGCCACAATGCTGTCTGGCGCAGCCCATCCGGTGCAAACCGGAACATATTGTCGAAGCCTGACCAGGCCATGACCCCAATCAGCGTGACAAGCACCGGCACACTGAGAAAGCCCAATTTGCGTTTCAAACAGAAAGCCAGCACGCGAGGGTAGACCCGTTGATAAGCCAGGAAGCACAACAGCAGTCCACCGATCAACAGCACAACAAAGATCAGATTCACAATCAGCCCGCGCCCTGGTCCTAGAGGCAGCCACTCCTCGGCCAGAAGAATGGCTACCAGCCCCGCCACAACCAGACTCGCAGCAGCCGGGCCGGAGCGCCTCAGCCATACGGGCAGGTGCTTGGCCAGTAACTGCAGCAACCCAAAGGCGCTGAGCAGGAGCCCGGCCAGGGGGCTGAAGAAAAATGCGATTAGCAAACCGGCAAGGACAAGGCTTGCATGAAAAGCCGCTTTCAATTTGGAGGAGTCGATTTTCGCGGAAAACAGTATCTGCGCCGCAGGCGGAATAACCGTAAGCGCCACGATCACGGCGGCGACAAGTGCAAACGTTTTGGTGAAAGCCAGGGGGGTGAAGAGTTTGCCTTCAGCCCCGGTCATGGTGAAGACCGGCAGGAAGCTGACAACGGTTGTTGCAACAGATGTCAGCACCGCACTGGCAACCTCACGGGTAGCCCGGAACACAACTTCCAGCGGCGGTTCACTATCGTCTGCTTCATCCATATGCCTGAGAATGTTCTCGCAGACAATCACGCCCATATCGACCATGGTGCCAATGGCGATGGCGATACCCGACAACGCAACAATGTTTGCTGACACGCCGAACTGCTTCATGGCGATGAAGGTCATGAGAACGGCAACGGGTAACAGCGCACTGATCAATATCGAGCTGCGCAGATGCAGCACCATGATCAGGATGACAATCATCGTGATAAAAATCTCTTCGGTCAGCGCATCGTTCAACGTACCTAAAGTTTCGTGGATCAGGTCTGTACGGTCGTAGAATGGAACAATGGCGACCTGCGATAGCGTGACGCCAACAGGCCAGGTCGCTTGCGAATTGGCGCGAAGCCAGGCGACCCAGGCGTCCTGGTTGAGCTGGTTGTCAATAAACCCGGCGATGCCGGCCGTGGCTGCAAACTGGCCGAGTTGTGCTTTGCTTGTTTTCCTGTAATCGACAATCGCCTTTGCCGGCAGGCCAGGAGAAATCTCGGCAATTTTATCTTTGGTATTGCTGATGGCGGCCAGCGGATTAAAGCCGTAGCGCACAACCACCACGCCGCCCACTGCCTCGGCACCACCTTTATCCAGCGCGCCGCGTCGCAGCGCCGGCCCTTTGGCCACATTAGCCACGTCCCGAATGTGGATCGGCACGTTGTCGCGGACGCCAACGGCAATTTCTTCCACATCCTCAATGCTCTCGATAAAACCCAGGCCTCGAATGACATATTCCGCGCCATTGACCTCAATTGTTCGGGCACCTACATCCAGATTGGAAGCACGGGTGGCTTTGATGACCTGTTCAAGTGTGACCCCATAGGCGCGCATGGCGTCCGGGTCCACATCGATCTGATATTCCTCGACATAGCCACCAATGGAACCCACCTCGCTGATCCCCTCGGCGCCCAACAGGGCATAGCGCACGTACCAGTCCTGAATTGAGCGCAGCTCTTCCAGGCCCCAGCCGCCTGTTGGATTCCCCTCCGGATCCAGGCCTTCCAGGGTGTACCAGTAGACCTGGCCCAACGCAGTTGCGTCCGGACCAAGTGCCGGCTGAACATCATCCGGTACCGTGCCCTGCGGTAACGAGTTGAGTTTCTCCAGGACACGGCTACGTGACCAGTAGAACTCTACGTCTTCTTTGAAGATGATATAGATGGTTGAAAATCCGAAAAATGAATAGCTGCGAACGGTTTTCACGCCGGGAACACCCAGTAGTGCCACTGTCAACGGATAGGTGATCTGGTCTTCCACGTCTTGGGGCGAGCGCCCCATCCATTCGGTAAAGACAATCTGCTGGTTTTCACCAATGTCCGGGATGGCATCAACTGGAACAGGGCTGCGCGGCAGATTGCCGGTATCCCAGGAGAAAGGGGCAACGGCGATACCCCAGCCAATGACACCAATCAGCAGCAGACCGATGATCAGTTTCCTCTCCAGGCAGAATCGCAACAGCCTGTCGAGCAACGAATATGACTCACTCATGGCGATCACCCGCCCCCGTGGTTGTGGCTGCCGCCACCACCGCCGCCTGCAGGATTCATCATGCTGGGTTTGGCCTGGATCTGAAGCGCGCTATCAATCTTGAAGTTGCCGGAGACCACAACCAGATCACCTTCAGCAAGCCCGCTTTCCACAACATAATCAGGGCCCGCACGTGGCCCCAGCACCACTTCGCGACCAACGTAGGTTGGTCGATCTGTGTCAGGCACTTCGACGTACACCACTGCACGCTTGCCGGTCAGCAACGCGGCCGTTGCGGGAATCACAAGTGGGGCGACGGCATCGGAGGGTGCTGCATTTGCGTAGCCGAGAGATTCCGCCGGGACCAGGTCCATGCCGCAGATCGGACATTTGCCGGGTGCGTCTTTGATGACCTCGGGATGCATCGGCGACACCCATTTACCGATCATATCTTTGTCCAGCATGCGGCCGCTGCCGGCAAACTGCGCAGACACATTAGCACGCACAAACATTTCAGGCTTAAGGCGCCCATCTCTGTTATCCACGTTAACGCGGACTTTCACGGTACGGGTTGTGGGGTTCAAAACCGGATCGATGAACGATACAACACCGTTGAATGTTTCTCCGGGGTAGGCCTCGGTGGTGAAGTCGACGTGCTGACCGTAGCGTAACCAACGCAGGTCTGATTCATATGCGTCCAGCTGAACCCAGACTGCATCGAGGTCCGCAATGGTGAAGATCCGGGTACCGGTTTCGACGTACATGCCTTCCTGAGCGTTGCGATGGATGACCACACCACTGGCCGGGGAGTTAATGGTGACGTGCTCCGAAGCCTTGCCGCTGTCTTCAATCTCCTTGATCTGATCAGCGCCGAGCCCCCATAGACGCAACCTGTCCCGCGCTGCGTCCACGGTGCCGCTGGCCGAGTTCCGCAAAGAACTCATGCTGCTTTTCGACAGATCTGCCAGCCCTTGGAGAGCCTGCAGCAGTTCTTCCTGCGCAGACAGCAGTTCAGGGCTGTAGAGCTGCACCATATGGTCACCCTCCCGCACGGTAACGCCGGTGTAATCCACCAGCAGATCATCTATCCGTCCGGGTACCCACGCCGTTATATAAGCCAGGCGGGTTTCGTCATAAGCCACCTTGCCAACCAGGCGTAATTCGGCAACCGGAAACCGGCGTTCAACCGGGACTGTCTCGATTCTCATCAGCGCGCGCTGGGCTGAAGATACCGTTAACTGGCGAGGCTCTTCGTCTGTTGCTGAATGGTTCTGACGAACGGGGATCAGGTCCATGCCGCAGATCGGACATTTTCCTGGCGCGTCGCGCATGATGTGGGGATGCATGGAACAGCTCCAGGTTTCCACTTGCGGCGCTAACGGATCCCGATGACCGGCATGCAGGTCCGGGCTTTGCATCGTGGCGTGCCCTTCGTGTCCAGCCATGGTCTCGACCCCAGGGGTAGTTGTGGGTTCGGGCCACAAGGCCAGGGTCAGGACAACGACGACGGATACAGCGATTGTGACAATGACGCTGCGGTTGCGGAATAATTCGGCTACGCGTGCCCTAAAGTCCATCATGTTGCTCCCTTTTGGTGTCGGCGGCGTCGAAGGGTGCGCCCATCAGCTGTTCCAACGTTGTCCGGGCCAGGTTGTGGTCGGTAATCGCGCGCACTTCGGCCAGCTCAAACACCAGCAACACCCGCTGTGCGTCGATCAGATCCGAAAAGGTAGAGCCGCCCGAGCTATAGGCGCGTTGCGTGGCAACTAACGATTCATTGGCTTTGGGCAGGAGTGTGTTTTGATACAGATCTATCTGGCGCTCGGCGTCCCGCAGCCTGAAAAGGGCGTTGACCGTCGATGCTTCCAGACTGTTCAGGTGTTGATCCCGCCGGGCTTGTTCGCCAACGATACGCGCTTGTGCCGCTTGAACCCCGGCGCGGTACTTGCCGCGTTGAATGGGCAGCGTCATCGTAAATGCGGCTGAAACAGGATCATCACCACTTCCCGCGACGTTCGGAGCGCGCGCGTTGCCTGTCGCGATGTAATCTATGCCGAAGGAAAAGTCAGGCAGAAAATCTTTGTTTGCCCGTTCTTTTGCTGCCGTTGCGCTTGCGATATCGAAGGCGAGCGCGTGCAGCTCAGGATTGTTGTTGGCAACACCAGCGATAATCTGAGTATCCTGGCGTGGCATCCGCACCACGGGTGCATCTTTTGGCATTTCAATGGAGCTGTGGCTAGGACGGTTAAGCGCCGCATTCAGACGGGCTAACAGCGGTCTTTTACGATCAGACAGACTGGCCAGGTCATTCTCAATTTTCCCCAGCTCGACCTGGGCACGAATAACATCCGGATGACCAGCCGCGCCGGTGCTGTAGCGCGTACGCGCCACACGTTCCAGATGCACTACCAGGTCTCGGTTGCCTTGCATGATTTGCAGGGCGCGATTGAAGTAATACAGTTCATACCAGGCGCTGGCAACTTCGGCGATGACTTCGTTCTGGATAGTTGATATGCGCGCGGCGGCGGCGTGTGCCTGCTGTGAGGCAACCTCACCCTGCAGACGCAGCTTTCCCAGCCAGGGTAGTGATTGTGAGATGCCAATCGCGTATTGCTGCGGCCCCACCCGGGTTTCTACTTCTTCCAGGAAATGTCGATAGCTCAACTTTGGATCCGGCAGGGCGGTGACTTGCGTTACCTGGGTTTTGGCCGCTTCATATTGCGCAATGGCTGAAGTAATGCGGGGATTATTCTGCAGCGCATAGGTGACCAAACCCGGCAGATCATTGCCGCTTATCTCTGCGACGGAAGAATCTTCGGTTCGGGGCACCACAACCCGTTCACTGAGGGTTGCATAGGGTGGAGGAACCGTGGGGTCGTAGGTTCGAGCCGACATCACCCCAGCACAGCCCGGTAACCCGAAGCCGGCAAGCAGCAAAAAGACGATGCCCAAGCGGTTGCAAATAACCGCGGAAACAAGATGAGTAACCGATATATCCGGGAGCTGAGGTGTCATTGGCCTATCCTTTCCGTTTGGCTGTTTGTTACAGGTGTGTTGTGAACACACGGCAGGCTTTACCTGCCTAACGAAAAGGGGCTATTCGGTGAGTTGATCCTTGCGCTGGATCGGCGTATCGGCGACACGGGGGTTAATTGTTAACGGTGACGTCCAACTGATTTGCCCAGGCAACGATCGCCATGCCGGGCCCGTATCTAAGAAAGCTATATCCAGGTCGGGGCCGCCTGGATCGGGCTCGTCCGGATCGGGTTTCTGCGGCGGCAGTATGCGGGCGTCTCGATCAACAGTGGTAAGACTGTCATCGGCCGTTGTACAGCTTTCGCGCAGATCACCGCACCCTTCACAGTCCTGGTGTGGGCATGGCGTGTTTTCGACATCACTTTGACTGGTGATGTGATGGTGGGCAGTAGTGATCTCTGCGCTCATGTCGCCAGGTGCACAGGCACACGCCATGTTGCTGAACATGAGCGTGGTGGCAATCACAACTGAAAGAAGCTTTGAGCGTCCCATCACATCTGGCGAGTAGAAATAATTTTCAGTATAGGCCAATGTTAGGGATGAAATCAGTGAAAGATTTCACTATCAGACAGTTTGGCGACAGGTTCCAGCAACGGAATTTCAGGCGGCGAACCGGGCTATACTCCGCGATCAAATCTACTCCAACTGAGGGATACTCATGGCCAAATTATCCTGGGGCCACATCAATGTGAATGTGACCAGGCTGGAGGATTCAATCGCTTTTTATGAGTTATTGGGCTTCAGCGTCCTGATGCCGGGCATTCCCTACCTCAATCTGAATCAGGCCGAACCGGAGATACTCAACCCAGAAGCCGCGGTTGCCCTTGACGTGCCCCTGGAAACCACAGGCCGCGCCTGCATCATGCAATTGGATCGTGGCTTTCCCAAGCTGGATCTCATCGAGTGGCGAGACACAGGGGCAAAGACCGCTGCACCTCTGCTGAATCAGGATAAGGGCATTGTCAGAATGTGCCTGGCCAGCCAGAACCTGGACCAAGATTACAAAGAATTAGTTGAGGCTGGTGTGCCGTTTTTCTCAGCACCGAAGCGCACCGAAGAAGGCAAAGCAGACATCGCAATCTGTCTGGACCCAGATGGCACGCTCATCGAGATCATTCAGATCTATCCGGAAAAGTGGGTTTAACACTGAGCATAGCGTTAATCCTGACCACATTGATTCGAGGATTGCCGCCGCTGGATAAAGGAAGTGCTACCTGACAGAGCGACTGGTATCTTTGTTGCCGATTCTCAGGAGAACTCAATGAGCACAGCAGTCGAAAAATTCTTTTCCGCGTGGGCCGAACAGGATGCCGCCACTCGAGATGCACAGATTGATAGCACTTTGGGGGCAAGTATTTTTTACGCCGACCCACGAACCGAAACGCCTTTGTCTGATGCCGGCGAGGTCAAAGAATATGTTGGCATGTTCTCAAGGATGGCGCCGGGGATGCCAGTATCCGTTGTGGGCACCAGCTCTACTTTAAATTTCATCCGCGCAACCGTCCGGTTTGGCGAAGGAGATCAGAGTCAGCTTGGTCAATACGTCATCGATCTGGATGCCGCGGGTCAGATTACTCAAATGGTCGGCTTTGTTGGTGTGACAGATGCAGCGCCTGAATAAGTAGAACTAGAGAGCAAACCTATGAAATGGCTGATTGGAATACTTATTCTGCTGGTTCTTGCCGGCTTCGTCTTGTTTGAGTCCGACATGCCTGCGGCCGAGGTAGATGCCAGATACAGCAATGCTGCATCACAGTTTCTCGCGCTTGGTGACAACGGCCGTGTACATTTTCGCGACCAGGGCAACGCTGATGGGCAGCCAGTTGTACTGGTGCATGGCTCTAACGCATCCCTGCACACCTGGGAGCCGTGGGTTGATTTGTTAGGCGATAAGTATCGCGTCATTTCTCTGGATTTGCCCGGCCATGGCTTGACCGGACGAACACCCGCCGATGACTATTCAACGGAGACCTTTGTCGCCGTGGTTAAGGCGCTGGCGGAACACCTCAACCTTGGACCGTTTGTATTAGGCGGCAATTCCATGGGCGGCGGCGTCACCTGGCGCTACACCCTGGCATACCCTGATGACGTACTGGCTATGATTCTGGTGGATGCATCAGGCCTGCCTGCGTGGCGCGAAACAGCCGTGCAGAGTGCGGAAGACACAGAAGAGCGCGAAGCGCCGCTGGCTTTCAGCCTGCTGCGCAAGCCCTGGTTTCAGGGCATTGCCCGTTACATCGATCCTTACTTTCTCGTGGCGCAAGGGTTAAAAGCTTCCCACTTTGATCCTGAATTTGTCGACGATGAGCTGATCGCCCGATACTACGAACTGTCCATGCGCGAAGGCACCCGTGACGCAACGCTGATAAGATTTTCTTCCTGGCGCGGCGGCGCGGCGCAGGAGTGGGACCTTGCAAACCTCAACCACCCAACACTTATACTATGGGGAGAGTATGATGCGGTTATACCAGCAAGCGTGGGAGAAAAGTTTGAACAGGCGCTGCCCAATGCAGAACTGATCATTTACCCGGATGTGGGGCACATACCTATGGAAGAGGTGCCTGTTCAAAGCGCAGATGACGTACGGGCTTTCTTAACGAATAATCTGCCGCGCACTTAGTTCCGACCAGAACACCTCATTGACGAACTCTGAAGAACCAGATGTCGTTAGGCGGATCTACCGGCCGGGGGCCTAGTTCATTCGGCGCAAAAAATTTCTCTGCCTCAAATTCGATGGTGGCTTTCAACCGTTCGAGAAGTTGCGGGTTAGTCACACGTTCGATTGTCACGGGATAGATATTGCCGTCCTTTCTGATGCGGACCCGTCCGTCAATCAGCGCCTTTCCATGCCAGGTTTTGAACCACCAGATGACGTGCATGACGTTCCTGCCCAGGCCTTCAGGCAAGCGGGACCAGATGAAACCCAGATCGCAGGAAATATAAAGATTGCCATCAAGCAGCAGGCCGCCTGCGCTGCGGGAGGTGCGCTCGCCGACCAGCTCAAACTCAAAATCACCTTCCAGCAGTGACCAATCTGTTACAGGCGCGCTTAGCACAGTGCCGCTGGTGAAAGGGCCACCCGGCAGGAGTTCCGTGGGGCCGTCTGAGATTCGCTGATAGATCAGCAAAGCGGCAATACCTGCAACTAAGAGTGCACCAACCCCGAAAAGACTGCGAACAATCCACACCCAAATACGCATCTGATGAATCCAGAAAGTTAACCAGGGGTTATTCTGTCATAGTGTGTTAGTAATGTATAACACTAGATCACATTCATTCGAAGTGCCGGACCCGGCGATTCCCCGCAAAGTTGTAGGGTCCATGCCCGTGCTCAATGATGATCATGCCCGTCCGCGTGGGCGTGGCCATGGGCAAGCTCCGTGGACGTCGCCTCCCGCACATCGACAATGTTAAGTTGAAAGTGCAGACGCTGGCCTGCCAGCGGATGATTCAGATCCACATCAATCACCTTGCCACCCACTTTGTGCACAGTGACGCGTCGCTGCCCTTCCTTGGTCTGCACAACAGTTTGCATGCCCGGCTTTAGGCGTTTGGCATCCGGAAAGTATTTTTTTGACAACCGCTGAATCTGATCGTCTTTACGCAACCCATAGGCATCCACAGGCTCTATAACAACTTCAAACTCATCGCCAGCAGCTCGTCCCAACAACGATTTTTCGAGGCCAGGCATGACGTTACCGTGGCCATGCAGCAACGCAATGGGCTCACCCCCCATAGCATCGTCGAGCACCTCTCCGGCATCATTACGGAGGCAATAGCGCAACATGACGACGCTGTTTTTTTCGATATTCATTTATCTGTCAACCATACAAAAGGGAATTCAGGACATTATTGGCCACGCTAATAGCCGTCGTAACGGTCCGCGCCATCCAACCTGAAGCTCACAGTGCTCTGACGTCCGGAACTGGCCTGGGATACGCCGTCAATCACTGGCGGGTTAAATCGCCAGCTGTTAACCGCATCTAAGGCCGCGGCATCAAAAACGCCCGGCGGTTCACTGCTGATCACCTCAGCATCTACCACCATGCCCTGGGCCGTAACGTTATAACGAACAACAACGTCACCCTGCAGGCCCTGGGCTTTTGCCTGGGGCGGGTAAATCGGACCTGCGCCGGAAATCAGCTGCAAGGGGCGCTGGTCTCCCACGCAGCCGCTCAATAATGCGAGCAGACAGGCAACAATGGTGATTTGGATATTCATGTTGTGATCAGAAATTGTCGGTCAGGGTCATCTGCCGTCACGGCATCTGCACCTCGTGGATGGATCACCGCACCATCCGGCGCGTACTGCAGAATATAAGCTTTGCGCACATCAGCAGTGAGATTCGGACCGGTGCGGTGGGGCGTCAGGCTGGAAAACACCGCAACGCTCCCCGCTTTAACAGGCAATGCCACCACGTCAGCAGGTGGTTCATCCAGACAATTGAAGCCCAGGGGCGTCCAGTGATGTTGCAAGGTACCCATCTTGTGCAGACCTGGCGCTATCCAGGGACAGCCGTTGTCGATGGTGGCGTCCGTCAGCGCGACCCAGCAGGTTAAATACTGTTGCGGTGCGACAAAGGTGTACCCGTTGTCCTGATGCCAGGGAAACTCATCTGCGGTGCCCGGTCGTTTATAGACTAACTGATCCCAATAGAGGCGCACCGTCGGGCCGATAAGGTCCCGGGCCAAAGCTTGAAAAACCGGATGCCGGGCAAAAGCTTTTGCGACACCACTGGTCAGCACCGCATGTGCAGAAAAAACTATTTCATCTTCACGGGCTATGGTTGGCTGATCCGCAGGCATGTCTGCCAGGCGCCGATTAACCTCCGCCTCAATGGGATCAAGCTCTTCCATCAGCGTGTCCAGCTCCTGCTGGGAAAAACAATTTTCCAACACAAAACCGCCCGCTTCGCGATATGCTATCGCCTGCTCCTGGGTAATGAGTTCGTAAGGCGCAGGTGGTTGCTGCCAATGGAACGCTTTATTCAGTGGGTGTAATTGCATCGATGAAGCCTAATATCTGGAGCCAGCCGTGACCAGTCCCGTGCAGCATAAAACCTTGCGTCAGAAAGTTTTGATTTTGTATCTGCAGAATTCGAACCTCGACAGCGGCGTGATTGGCTGGAGCCACTACGATGGTACCGGCCGCACCATCAACATGGCTGGCGACAGCGAGGAACCCCCCTACAAAAGTGGTCTGCACGCCATGGAAGACGGTTGGCGCCTGTTCCAGGCCAGCCAGCTCAACCCACACACACCTGGCGACGAATTTCGCACCAGCTATCTGAAATATGAATTTTTCTTTGAACAAATAGTGGCCTTGGAGGATGCATCAGACCATGAGTAATCTCACTCGGCTCAACACTACTCAAATGGCCCAGTTTGCCGCACGAGGATTCCTGCGCTTCGACGCCATAGTGCCTGAAGCCTTGAATCAGCAGTTCCTCAACGACATCGGAGACGCATCTGAGCACCCGGACAGCATTGCGGGTCATTACGGCAACATCATGCGCAGCAGCGTCGTTCCATTAGTTAACCCGGGCACCCCGCTTGCACAGGCCTACCCCGCGGGTGGTGCGTTGGCGAACATTCTCGAAGTGCCAGAAGTCGCCGGTGCCATTGAAAGCCTGGTGGGTTCAGACAGCGTGGTAGACCACCATTTTCTACACATCACTTTCCCGCCCAGCTACACGCCAGCCGACAAGCCGCCGCTGAAATCCCAGCCCACACACCAGGATTCCACCATCGATCCGCGCCACGCATTCGACGTGCAGATGTTTTATTTCCCTCACGAAGTGACGCTGGAAATGGGCGGTACCCGGTTTATTCCCGGCACCCATTTTCGGATTGTCTCGGAGGCTGCGATCGCCCGTTACCAGAACATCGCCGGACAACAACACACCGTATGCCCGGCAGGCACGGTGATGTTCTTTCACATGGGAATGTGGCATGGCGGCGGATTGAACCGCTCGGATGCGTTGCGTTACATGTTCAAAATACGCCTGTGCCCAACCAAACGGCAGCTGCGTTTATGGGATACCGAAGCAGACGGGGCACAGGATAAAAACCGTCCAATCTTCTGGATTGACCCGCAACAGGATCCAAACACCCTGGCGGCCATTCTGACTCAACCCGAACCCTGGTTTGAGGCAGACACCGGACGCCTGGAATTCATCAATCGCGTGCGCTTCTGGCGTTATATCAGTGGTGATGACAACTTTGACGCCGATTACTGGGTTACCCGTATAGAAAACGAATACACATAAGCGGACAATGCGCGCCATGACAGATTCAACCAAGACAGACTCAGCCAACGACAATCCAGAACAGGAACAGGACTCTCTGACTTTCTGGCAGGTCCTCGGCAGCACCATAGCGGCAGCACTGGGGGTTCAATCCAGCAAGAATCGGGAGCGTGATTTCACTAAAGGCAAACCCAGCCAGTTCATTTTCATGGGTATTGGCTTCACCTTCATATTTGTGCTGATCATGATTGGCGTGGTGTCGCTGGTATTGCCTTAGCCTGAGAGCTTGGCCAACGTTTCTTCAGCCAGGCCCTGCCAATTTTTCCCCTGACGCCTGAAAGCCGCAAACAGATCAAACTGCTCCTGGGCACGCTGCAGATTTTCACCAGGCTGACTGACTCGAAAATAGGTATCTCCGCTCAGATGATCGGTTAGAAACCGGATGCCCAGCATCAGCGTGACATAACAAGGTGCCGCGACAGCAGCGGCTACATTGGTCAGCGGCTGATGCGGTGCAAATCCCTGCAGGCACGCGGTAAAAAATTCCGGCGACGTACGCTTTGCGGAGAAACACACCGAACGCACCAGATCACCAAAGTCCCAGGCCCAGTGGCCAAACATTGCGGTATCAAAATCGATGATGGCGACAACAGACTCACCCTGCTGATCAAAAAGCAGGTTGTTGATTTTGCAGTCCCCGTGGATGGTTGTGTTAGCCATCAGCAGATCTGCGTACAGGTCACGGTGTCGATCCACCACCGCCTGCAGATGGCGTGGCGCTTCTGCGGCAACCTCATCGTAGTTCTTCAGGTAATGATCGAGCTGCAGGAAACCGGCAATCGTGGGTACCAGGCGAGGTGCAGGCAAATGTGCCAAACGAGCCTGGAACGCGCCAAACGCAGCCCCGGCCGCACGCGCCTGCTGCACATTCTCGATGGGGTCAACTACTTTAGTCTGTTCAACATAGTGCCACATCCGATAGTACTCGCCGTCCACCCAGCAGCCATCCAGACCTTCATTGTCCTCTACCAGCCCGGCAACCGCATATATATCCTGTTGGGACCAGAACTCAAGCACACGCCGTGTCTGCGCCATAACCAACTCAGGGTCATGAAAAACACTCTGGCTCACTCGTTGCAGAACAAAACGCGCCCCCCCCGCCGTGACCAGATACGTGTCGTGAATGTGTCCGGAACCCAGCGGTTCAACTTGTGCACCTTGGAACCAGCGCTGAGCAATTTCTGCAATCATCAGGTTAAGACGCCTTTTCTGCGTGACGCTGCAGCCAGATCAACAACGCGGGGACTGGGGCGAGCATGTATTCACCCAGGGGCTCATAAGCCTCACGCAAATCCAACTCCAGCTGCCGGCGGGGAAGCGTGCCATGCAGATATTTTTGCATCGCGCGCGCCACGTCAATCAGACGCGCAACAGCCGGCGCAACATCTTCCGGCCACTGCTGTGTTGCCGCCTGTTGCCAGTCCTGCAGATAGCCTGACAACTCCTCTTCACTGCAACCCGCAAGGTCTCGCGCCACCAGGCTCTCCGGCGAAATATAGTCGACTACCCGATTAAACGGCGACAATGTGCCGTAAGGCCGCGCCTGAGGCATTTCTTTGCCCATCAAACGAGCCTGCAGCGCTTGTGCACCTAACAAACGCGCATACCACTTTACCGGCTCCAGCATTTTTACCGTTTCTATCTGTTCTGCCGAAAGACCCAGCCCGGTGAGCTGCGTGCTCAGCAGATCCTCCAGACCAAGCGATGGCAGTGCCAGGAAACCGTTCAGGCGCTCATAGAAATCTTCAACATCACAAACGTCCTGTGCGGACCAGAGACGTTCAGCGACCGCAGGCAATCGCGACCATAAGCGCATGGGCAGAGTGTGTTCGTCGACCAGTTCTGCCCACAAACAGGCTTCACCTCCCAGGACCTCGGTGCGTTCGCGCACTGGGTGCTCAGAGATATCGATCATCTCCGCACGCCATTGATGGGTCCACCCTATGCCTTCGCTGACGTGAGCAAGCCGGATATCTTCAGCCAGGGCATCTTCAAAGGCGATCAGTTGTGCCTGGCTCGCCTGCGGATCGTAACCATAGTGCAGGTCTGCAGGATAAAACAGATCCAGATAGTAGCCGGCAGAAATTATGCACTGCTGGCCCGCAGCCAATGCTCGATCCCGGGTGGTTGCACCACGCCAGTTCTGCACCAGCACAGGCGGCATCTGTGGATGCAGGACTTCATCCCAGCCAACCACCTTGCGGTTTTTCGCCGCCAGCATGTCGTACATACGCCGATTAAAATAAGCCTGCAGACCGCGCTCATCGACCAGCTGATGCTGCTGGATAAACTGCTGCACCCGATCACTCTCCCGCCACCAGGATGGGTGCACTTCATCTCCACCAATGTGTACGTAGGCGTCGGGAAAAATCAGCAACAACTCGTCAAAAATGGTGTCCAGCGCCGCATAAACAGATTCGTTAGTCACATCAAGACAGGCTTTGTGTACACCAAAGCGGGTGGTTGGTTCAACCGGATTTATTCCCCATTCGGGATGCGCAGTGAGCCAGCTGTTGACGTGGCCGGGCACATCGATTTCAGGCACCACACGTATGCCACGATCACCCGCGTAGCTTACGAGCCGCTGCAGCTGGTCCTGATTGTAGTGCTGCTCACTGGCAAGCTCAGGAAATGCTTTGCAGGCCAGGCGGAAGCCCTGATCATCACTTAAATGCAGATGCAGCACATTAAGCTTCAACAGCGCCATGCCGTCGACAACCGCTAACAGCAGTTCCAGCGACAGAAAATGCCGCGCGACATCTATCAGCAGACCACGCCAGGGGAACCTGGGCGCGTCTTCGATGCGCCAACCGCTGCGCTGTAAATCACCCGCCTGATGCAGCTGCCATAACGTGGTGATGCCATGCAGGGCACCCCAGGGAGTGTTCGCTGTGATCCTGATGTTGTGTTCATCAACTAACAGGTCGTAAGACTCGTCAACATGCAGCGCAGGTTTCGCCTCACCGCTCTGACCCAGCTCAAACACAACCTCACCGAGGCACAAATCCCCCAGCAATTGTTCTGCGTAATTGCGCACGCGTGCATCCGCGGTGCGGGCAAAGTGCAGCTGGGTTATCTGGGTCAACGAACTGCCACTGTCCAGCTGTATAGCCGAAACTGGCCGAGGCAGGACAGCCGCCAGCGTTTTGTTGTCGAAACCACTCAAAAAATTAACTCCGATCAATGCCTGTTCGAGACAAGCGCTCGTCGTGCCATCATGCAGCATTGGCGGAACAAGATCATCAGCGCAAGCATTGGACTGTCGGCCGCGACCACATAGCGGTAAAGTTCATTTCAAATTAGACGTGAAGCTGACATGAGCAAAACAATAAACTTCGGACGCAGTGTTCTGGACCAGGAAGCACAAGGCATCCGGCAACTTTCAGATTTGTTGGATGAAAGCTTCGACGCAGCGGTCAACGCAATTCTGAACTGCCCCGGCAATGTTGTTTTTTCGGGTGTCGGTAAACCCTGGATGATTGGTCAGAAAATCAGCGCGACCATGGCGAGCACGGGCACACCCAGCTTCGCCCTCCACCCAAGTGAAGCGCTGCACGGTGACATCGGCAGACTCCAGCCTCACGATCTGGTTTTTGTGCTGTCAAACAGCGGATCCAGCGACGAAATCGTTAACCTGATACCTGCGATAAAACGCATTGGGTGTCGAATTTTCGCCGTTACCTCGAAGCCTTCATCTCCGCTTGGTCAGACAGCCGACGCCGTTCTGAACATGGGCGAAACCACCGAAGCCTGCCCTATCGGCATGGCGCCCAGCGTCTCAACAACCGTGATGCTTGCACTGGGAGATGCCCTGGCCCTGACCGTTATGAATGAACGTGCATTCAGCCGGGAAGACTACGCTCGCTTTCACCCTGGTGGTGCTCTGGGACGAAGCCTGATGCGGGTATCCGAGGTGATGCAGCCGCTGGAATCCACCGCCGTGGTTGATGGGCGTTCGACGGTAAAAGATGCATTAAACGCCATCACTCTGCATAAGGCAGGCGCCGCTTTTGTCACGGATAAGGGGCAGCTCGAAGGCGTGTTCACGGACGGAGATTTGCGGCGTCATGTCGGCGACGACAACCTGCTTACACAACCCATTCGTGAACTGATGACAGTAGGTGGCTTTGCTATTTCGCAGGATGCCCTGGCAAGCGAAGCTGTACGTGTGTTTCAGGAAAAAAGAATTGGTGAAATCCCCGTTATTGACGATGGCCGAATTCTGCTCGGCCATGTTGCACTGAAAGATCTGGTGTCGATGCGCTTTGTCTGACTCAGAAGTGACAAGGTCGCGATATGCAACTACATCCATTGTGCAACACATACAGGTCGGCTAATCTCAATCACTGAATTTACAGGGGATTGAACATGCATGATCTGATTATTCGCAGCGGCACCATTGTCGACGGCACCGGAAACACCAAATTTGTTGGCGACATTGCCATCGACGGCGAAAAAATTGTTGCCGTCGGTAAAGTTGACGGTGATGCCAAAAAAGAAATCGACGCCACCGGCATGCTGGTCACCCCTGGCTGGGTAGACGTGCACACCCACTATGACGGCCAGGCCACCTGGGACCCTATTCTTGCACCCTCAAGCTGGCACGGCGTGACAACTGTTGTCATGGGTAACTGCGGCGTGGGTTTTGCGCCGGTAAAGCCAGGTGACCACGACTTCCTGATTGAACTTATGGAAGGCGTTGAAGATATTCCCGGTGCCGCGTTAGCCGAGGGCATCGACTGGCAGTGGGAATCTTTCCCCGAGTATCTGGATGCACTGGAAACCAAAGCCCGCACTATTGATGTGGCGACCCAGGTACCTCACGGCGCCATTCGCGCCTATGTCATGGGCGCACGTTGTAACACCCAGGACGACCTGCCCACTGATGATGAACTGGCACAGATGCAGGCACTGGTACGCGAGGGTATCCAGGCCGGCGCGCTGGGATTCTCCAGTTCACGCACCTGGCTGCACAAAGACAAACACGGCATTCATGTCCCTGGCACCTTTGCCGGCAGTGATGAAATGCTGTCGCTTGGACTGTCGATGAGAGGTCTCGATCACGGTATCTTTGAGCTGGTGTCCGACCACCTTGGCGATGACGATGAATGGGCCTGGATACAGACTTTTGCCGAAGAAACAGGCCGCCCCATTACTCTGGTGGCCACATCTCCAGCGGCTTTCGAAGGCAATAAGATGTACAACATTGCTGAAGCTGCACGGGTCAAAGGGCTCGAAGTACGGCCCCAGATTGCCGGCCGTCCTACCGGCGTGCTGCATGGTCTGCAGTCCAACTTCCATGTGTTTGCCACCACGCCGACATTCCAGAGCACCCTTACCGAATTGTCCTTGCCCGAACTGGTCAGCGCCATGTCTGACCCGGCGCTGAAAGCTCAGCTCCTCAGTGAAGTGGACGGTGATCGGCCGATGCCGCTGACCGGCTCGCTGCGGGAATTGATGTGGCAGGTTTTCCCGCTGGGAGACAAGCCTGACTATGAACCCAACAAAGAAGCGTCAGTGGCTGGTATTGCCGAAGCACAGGGACGCGACGCATTTGAAGTCATGTACGACCTGCTGGTGGATAACAACGGCAAAGAGCTGTTTTATCAGCCTCTGGGCGGCTATCAAACCTATAGCTTTGATTTCTTCAAAGTCTCCATGGGCCACCCCAACGTCTTGTTCGGCTTATCAGATGGCGGCGCGCACTGTGGCGTGATTGCAGATGCAGGCATGCCCAGCTTCATTCTCAGCCACTGGGCCCGGGATCGGAAAAAAGGTGAGCAGTTTGACCTGGAATTCCTGGTACGCAAATTAAGCCGCGATACCGCAGAGGCTTACGGCATGTTCGACCGTGGACTGCTGCAGGAAGGTTATCTGGCGGACATCAATATCATCGATTTTGAAGCGCTGAACCTGCATCGTCCTGAAGCAATTCACGACCTGCCTACCGGTGGCAAACGCCTGGTACAGAAAGTGGACGGTTACCGGCACATCATCAAACGCGGCCAGCCGATTTTCAAAGACAATGAACACACCGGTGCGCTGCCAGGCAAACTGGTACGCGGTGGTGTTGCTTAGTCCATCTTAGGATGACTGCTGAATTCCGGGGTCTACACCCGGAATTCAGCCACTTCCTGCAACGCCTTGCGCTGGATATCGGGCACTTCGACGTTGTCCTTCGGATAGCCGGCAACAACCAGCATATAAGCCCGTTCTGACTTGGGTCGATCCAGCACATCGCGCAGGAACGTCATCGGAGAGGGGGTGTGGGTCAGCGTTGCCAGACCTGCATTGTGCAACGCAGCCAGCAGAAAGCCTGTTGCTATGCCAACACTTTCGGGCACATAGTAATTCTTCGTCTGGGTGCCATCCGCCAGCGGCAGCACACGCTGGGCAAACACCGCGATCAACCAGGCAGCATCTTCGAGGAAAGGTTTGTGTGCATCCGTCTGCAGCGGCGCCAGCGCATCCAACCACTCTTTTGGCGCGCGCTCCTGATAGAAACGCTGCTCTTCAGCTTCAGCCGCAACACGAATTTTCGCTTTTACTTCAGCATTCGCCACCGCGACAAAATGCCAGGGCTGACGATTCGCCCCGGACGGCGCTGCAGCCGCGGCTGCAATACACTGTTCAATGATTTCGCGAGGCACAGGCGTGTTGCGAAAACTGCGGACCGAGCGACGTCGAGAAACATCCCCGGCAAAGGCCTCTGCACGCTTACGCATTTCGCCCAGCGGATACTCAATGTATTCGTCATAGGGCCGCGTGGGAGAGTCATCCATACTTATTCCTGATACATATCGAAGCGTTGACCCGCGTCCACACCAACAAATCCGATGCCACCTAAAAACCGGCTATGTGTCGAGTGAGGAAACAGAACGCCACGAGCACCTTTCGACTCCGCAACACCCAACGCATGGCCAACTAACCAGCGACCTAAACCCTGCTTGCGTGCACGGGTCGCGACAACAACACCATGTAAAAGGTAGGTAACGCTGTCAGCAACATCCATTGCATACACACCCATCACCTGCTCACCCAGCTTGGCAACACGCAGCAGATCCGAGTTCAGCCAGCGATCGACCTCCTGTTCCGAAAAATCCATCGACCACAGCAGGTCCTCCGGCACTTCGGTACTGTAGGGTTTGAACACTTCGATTTCCCGCAACTTGAAAGCCACCCTCAACCTCTTAAAAATTGTGTTAGACGACTGAACATCCCGCTCTTCGGTTCAACCGCTTTGCCCATCAGCGCCTGGGTCAATACCGGCGCTAAGCGTCGATAGTTATCCCAGCTATCTTTCACGCTGTAAGGTTGATCACCAAATTCAGCGCAGAAAAGGTCAAAATAGCCTGGATAGAAACGATCCAGAAACGACTGCCCTTGATTGCTGAAATAGGCTTTATCCAGACGCCCACCCGCGGCCACCAGCAGCTCGCTGCCCAGCGCTTCTTCCACCTGTACGCGCAACACAAGCTGCGCATGTTCCTGCAAAAAGGTTGGGCTCAATAACTGCATCCTGGCACACCAGGCTAACAGCATGCCCATAGGTACGCTCGCCTGGGCCAGATCCGATGTGTGTTGCAGGTGATTATCAAGATCATCGTAGAAAGGCTGCATCAGGGCGCAAAGCTCGACCGCGCGCGAATGCCCCAGCGATCGCCTTCACGCTGCACGATATAGAGGGAATCGAAAGTCACATAGCGTTCTCCAGCCGGGTTGAAGCGCGAGAACTGCACTTTGAAGTGCACCTTATCCGGACCTGCCTGAATCAGCTCGATGTTATCCCAGGCGCTATGGCTCCAGTTGAATGTTTCAGCAAACGCCGCAAAATCCATATTTGCGACAAACTCAGCTTTCGTCGGCGTCACAGTCACACCGCCGCTGGCAATACGCACGTGGGGAAACAGCAACGTGTCAGCCCAACGCACTGCATCACGGGCGTTGAAATGGGTCATGAAGTTGTCCATGACTGTGCGTGCGGATTTAACCGCGGCATCGGTCTGCATGGCTTTTGTTGCGGTGGTATCAGCAAACACCTGACTCAACGGCCAGACCACCAGACAAGCAATAATAAATGTCTTTTTGAACATGATTTACAACCATGGAAAAACTGGGAACGAGAGCATATCCTCAAACCTCCATCAACGCAGCCTTGAAGCGCGGCAGGACAGCCCATTGAAAATTCCAAATATCCAAGCCCATCATTTCGCTGCGGCGCTGAGCGCCTGCATTTTTACACTGATGACAATGTTTGCAGTCGCTGCCGGTTCAGGCGCTGGCAGTGTGGCAGATCACAGCACCGATGGTCAGGACCCTGTCGAGATGTCAGCTAAAGCGCTGAAGACCGGTATTAAACACAGGGACAGAGGATTAAAACTGGAGGCCAAGGCCGCTGCGGCATCTACGGAAAAGGCCCGCACAAACCTGCAAGAAAAAGCCCTCAAAGCATTCGGCAAAGCGGTGACAAAACAAGGTGAAGCGCTGAAGCTGGATCCGCAGAATTATCGCGCCGCCAATGAGCTGGGTTATGCCTTGCGCAAAACCGGCGATTTCCGCAAAGCCATCGGCGCCTACAACTACGCCCTGGACATCAACCCCGACTTTCACCAGGCCACCGAATACAGAGCCGAGGTTTATCTGGCACTGGGCATGTACGACAAAACCCAGCGCGCATACATGATATTGTTCCGCGAAGAACCCAGGCTTGCTGACCAGCTCATGAGCTCTATCGACACATGGCATAAGGCCAACGGCGACAACCTGTCTGAAGACGCCCAGGCGTTCGCCCAATGGGTAGAAGAGCGTAAGCGGCTGGCAAAAATCACCAGCGATTTATCCAGCAACAATACCCGCACTTGGTGAAGCTGTGCAGCAGGGTCATTTTGCTGCTCAGCCTGGCAGGGCCGGCTCTGGCACAGGCGCCCGTTGACGTCTTACCCGCGCCTTTAATCCCAGATAACAATCTCCTTACCCCGCAGAAAGCGAAGCTGGGAGAGCTGTTGTTCAGCGACACACGCCTGTCTGTAAACCAGACCTATAGCTGCGCCAGCTGCCACAAACCTGAACAACATTTCACCGATGGTTTGCCTCGCGCGATGAACATGTTCGGGCAGGAACTCGCCTTTAACACGCCTACTTTGTACAACACTGCCTACAATTCGAGTTACGGCTGGACCGACCAGGGTGTGCTCAGCCTTGAAGCCCAGCACAGTCGACCGTTGTTCAATACAAACCCGGTAGAGATGGGTTTTACCGAAGCGGGCCTTACTCTGCTGCAGGCAGACGACACTTATCCGACTCTTTTTGAAGCCGCTTTTAACGATCGCCAGATCACGTCGAGTCGTGTTATCCAGGCCCTTGCAAGTTATGTTCGCACCTTGCGGCCACCGGCAAACCCGTTCGACGACCTGTTATTCAATGACAATAGAGCCGCCTTGAGTGCAGATGCCTATGCAGGCATGGCGCTTTTTTTCTCAGAAAAACTGGGGTGCAGTGGATGCCACGCTGCACTCACCTTTTCCGGTCCGATTTCACACACCCAGGTACAGACAGAACCCGCGTTTCATATCACCGGTGTTGGCAGCGACAACACAGCCTTCAGAGCACCAACCCTGCGCGCCATAATCCACACAGCCCCCTACATGCACGACGGCAGCCTGCAGACACTCGAGCAGGTTCTTGATCACTACCAGAATTCGGCTGCCGACCACATGCCGAGCTTCAGCCTCACGCCGCGGCAGGCACATCAGCTGATCGAGTTTTTAAAGTCTCTGTAGTCTTTTCAGGCAAACTGCCCGCGCAGGCGCTCAACGTCCTGCTGTAAACGCTCGGCAGTCACTTCGGCTGCGGGAACCGGCTGGCCTGCACGCACGGATATGCGGCTCCAGAAGCGACTTGGATTCTTAAAAACACCACCTGAATGGGAGAAGAAACTACCCCACAAACCCCGCAAAGCCATGGGCACAACCGGTACGGGTGTTTCACTGACAATGCGTTCCACCCCACGACGAAAAGTCGCGATTTCACCGTCACGGGTCAGTGCGCCCTCCGGAAAAATGCATAACAGATCCCCGGACGCCAGCGCCTCAGCTATTTCTTCAAAGGCAGCATCAAAGGCCGCTGGGTTTTCTTTCGCGCCCTGGATAGGTATCGCGCCACCGGCTCTGAAGACAAAATTCAGCACCGGGAGATCGTAGATAGGTTTAAACATGATGAATCGAATCGGACGCTTGACCGCGCCAGCCAGCAGCAGCGCATCCACGTAGGTCACATGGTTACAAACCAGCAGCGCACCGCCCTCTTCGGGTACCTGTTCCAGACCTTCAGGCACAACACGATACATGGTGTGACTCAACAACCAGATGATGAACCGCATGGCAAATTCAGGCACCTGATGAAAAATGAATATGGACACTGCGATGTTCATCAGCATGACCGTAAGCAGCAGTTCCGCAATAGATAGACCCACGACACTCAACATCAGGATGGCAAGCCCGGCACCGAAGACCATAAAAAAAGCGTTGATCACATTATTCACCGCAATCACCCGGGCGCGACGCGCTTCTTCGGTACGCGTCTGAATGAGCGCATACAGGGGCACAATAAACAGACCACCAAAGAAGCCTATCATTGCCATGTCAAACAGAATCCGGACCGCGCCGGGTGCGGCAATGAACGCCAGCCATTCTGAAGGCTGCAGCGCTGCAAAACCTGTTATCGAAAAATACAGATCAATACCCGCCAAGCTCAGTCCCAGGGCGCCAAGGGGCACAATGCCCAGCTCAATACGATTGCTCGACAAACGCTCACAAGCAAGCGAACCGACAGCAACTGCGATGGTGAACACCGCCAGTATCAGTGTTACCACCGTCGTGCCACCGTTCAGATAAACCCTGGTGAGATTGGGAATTTGAGCCAGTAGCAGAGAGCCCAACAACCAGAACCACGAGATACCCAGGATCGACAGGAACACCGACTTATTTCCACGCGCCGCCTGAATCATCGACCAGGTAGCACTGACCGGATTCCAACGAATCTTCAATGTGGGGTCCGTCGCTGGGCACACGGGGATAAACCGACTGCACAGGTAACCGACAGCAGCCACACCCACAACCATGACGGTTAACAGCAGGTCTACATCATTCTGCGCAGCCACAACGCCACCGACGATGGTGCCTAACAGAATGGACACAAAGGTGCCCATCTCAATCTGCGCATTGCCGCCGACAAGCTCACTTTTATCAAGCTGTTGGGGAAGGATGGAAAATTTCAGAGGGCCAAAAAACGTACTCTGCACGCCCAGCAGAAATAACACCGCCAACATGGCGTAAACATTCTGCAGATACACAGCGACGCCGCCGAACAGCGCTATCACAATTTCAGCGACCTTGATGATGCGCACCAGCTGGGATTTTTCAAATTTGTCTGCAATCTGGCCGGCGGTGGCTGAAAACAGAAAGAAGGGCAGAATGAACAGACCGGCCGCCAGGTTGACAAAAACATCGGTTGTATCGGCGTTGATCAGCCCTCCGAAGACAAAAATCAAAACCAGCGCCTGCTTAAAAACGTTGTCGTTAAAAGCGCCGAGAAACTGCGTCCAGAATAGCGCAGCGAACCGCCGCTGCTTTAACAATCCAAACTGGGATGTGCTCATGAACGTTCCTTACTGATCAAAATGTCGCAGCAAAGTATCTTCAAGTTAGTCTGCAGGCGATCATCCTATAAATAGTATCGAAATAAGATACTTAGCGGCCCGCTAAATAGGTTTATCTCCGGTTATGGTCACTCTATGCATCAGGCGGTGCTGAGGGAAAAAGTCATTTACCGGTTTATGTTGTGTGCTGCGGTTGTCCCAGATGGCAAGGGTACCCGGCTGCCAGGCCAATCTCACAGTGAACTCAGCCGTTCTGACATGTTCATACAGAAAGCTCAACAAACTCGTGCTTTCCAGCTTCGACAATCCTTCTATGTGGGTGGTAAACAAAGGATTCACGTATATGCCTTTACGCCGGCTTTCCGGGTGGGTACGCACAAGTGGATGGAGTACCGGTGGATTTGCAGCCACCATGTCCGCCAGGCGCTGCGCACCGCCGGGTTCCGCCAGACTTTCTTTAAATCCGTGGGCAAAATCATGCCCGGCCATGAGCGGATCCAGAAATTCCTTCATAGGCGCTGACAAACTGTCATAGGCCGCTAATGAACTTGCCCAGAGTGTATCGCCCCCATAAGCGGGGATAATCTGCCCATGCAGCAGCGTAAAACTGGGTGGCGATGCACTGAACGTCATATCCGAATGCCACAACTCTATTTTTGACGGGGCATCTGCCGTGCTCTCTAACACCTGGACGGCTGGCGCGCCTGCCACCGCACCATAGGCGGGATGATCCATCACCTCACCAAAATGTTCTGCCAGTTGCTGGAACTGCGCAGGTGTCATGTGTTGGTCACGAATGAACACAACCTGATGTTCTATGACCCATTGGCGCAGCTCGGCAACAGATTCTGCAGAATCCAGAATCTGGACCAGATCCACACCCTCTACAAGCGCCCCCAGGGCGCCCCCCACCTTTCTAATCGACACGCTCTTCATTTTCGAATTTCCTATTTATCAAACCGGGTGTTCTCACCGGCAAGAGACCCCTGACTGCCTAACTGGATGTGCAGAGCACAATTACGCAGCGCACCAAACGTGGCATGCTACGCCTTTTCCAACTCAGGAATTGTAATCAGTGTCGGAGATTGAAGGGACCATTCAATTTGCCTATGAACTCACACCCGGTGATGGGGTAGATCTATCCCCTGAAGCCTTTGCAGACCTTGATGCCTGGCGATCCATCCTGTGTGAACTGGCGCTTTTAGGACAAACACCCGAAAAATACGGTGGCTACGCCTACGGGAATTTGAGTCTGCGTGATCAATCACAGGATCAATTTACGATTACCGCCAGTCAGACCAGCGGTGAACCCGCGCTGCTGGCAGAGCACCTGGTGAAAATCACTCACTGCAACCTGCAGCGTTTCTGGGTAGATGCGATTGGCAGCGAGCCACCTTCTTCAGAATCTTTGACCCACGCCATGATCTACGCAGCTGACACCCGCATTCGTTGTGTATTTCATGTCCATAGCACGGTGATCTGGCAGCATCGCGCCGCGCTGCGACTACCCGAAACACCGGCAGACGTCAGCTACGGCTCACCAGCGATGATCCAGGCGGTTAACGAGTTGATGGAAAACAATCAGTCGCGGCCGCTTACTTTTGCAACCGCCGGCCACGAAGACGGTATTTTCGCCTGTGGCCATTCGCCGGTCGAGTGCGGTAATTTGCTAATCACCTATCTGGCAAAGGCGCGCGCCGCGCAGAGAAAAGAAGTCAGCACCAATAAATCAGACAATAGTGAATCGTTAGACAAAAAATGAACATCAACCTTCCCGAAACGCTCATCTGGCAGAACGAACATCTGCGCCTGCTGGACCAGCGCCAGCTGCCCCAGGAGACTGTTTATCTGGACATCAACACCCTGGATGACGCCTGGCACGCCATCCAGACACTGACTGTACGCGGCGCACCTGCAATTGGTGTTGCCGCAGCCTACGCCCTGGCTGAATCAATGCGTGAAGTGCCGTCTGAAAACTTCATTAACCAACTGATAGAAAACGCAGCCTATCTGCAATCCGCGCGACCAACAGCCGTCAACCTTGCCTGGGCAACGCAACAGCTGGTTGAGCTTGGTAAAAAAGATCCACGCTACCAGGCGCTGGTTGAAGAAGCACAGAACATTCACGCCGCAGACATAGCTATCTGTGAGGGCATCGGTAAACATGGCGCAAACCTGATCCAGCCCGGGGCCAACCTGCTGACACATTGCAATGCAGGCTCTCTCGCTGTTTCACGGTATGGCACAGCTACTGCGCCAATGTATTACCAGCAAAATGCCGGCGTACCGTTTCATGTTTATGTCGATGAAACCCGCCCGCTGTATCAAGGCGCTCGCCTCACTGCATGGGAACTGGATCAGGCGGGTATAGACGTAACCTTGATTTGCGACAACATGGCGGCAACGGTGATGGCAACCAGAGGCGTGGACCTGGTGATTGTTGGCACCGACCGCGTCACCGCCAACGGTGACGTTGTGAACAAAATTGGCACCCTTAACCTGGCAGTCTTATGCCAGCACTTTGGCGTACCTTTTTATGTAGCGTGCCCCTCGTCAACTTTCGATGTGCACACTGCATCTGGTGATCAGGTTGTGATTGAAGAACGCGCCGCTGATGAAATTCGCCAGCAGCATGCTGCCCAGGTAAAGGTTTATAACCCGGCCTTTGATGTCACGCCCAACAGCCTGGTAACCGGCATCATCACCGAGCACGGCATCGCGCGTGATCAAAGCCAGTTGCTTGAGCTGCTGGCCCGCTAAAGCACCTCAACGCTAGTGTGTAGTCTGGTGATGAGTGACCTTGGCTTTGTCCCAGATATTTATGCTGCGCGTGCCACCACCACGATAAGGCACCTGTGGGAAATCAAAGTTCATCAGCTCTTTGACCAGCGGCCGCTGCTGCCTGGAAACATCTACCATAATTAAATAATGGCCCGCTTCAATATCGTCATGAAACCGCTCGATCTTGTAGTTCTCTCGGCTCAATCCAATCATGCCGCCTTCCCAGGCACCAAAACACAAGCCGATACCCGCCAGCACCAGGGTTCCCGGCACACCAATATCCAGGGACAACCAGCCTATATTGAAAGCACCGATAAGCAGCGCCGCCAGAAGCAGCCCTGCTAACAATCCGATCAAGGCGTAACGCCCAGCCGTATGCAGAAAATCAAGTTGGTGAATGGGATTCGCGGAATGGATGTTGTGGGTATACAGCCCAGCTTCATCTCTTGAAAGTACATGTAAACGCAAGCGGGCTATGCCTAATGCATGCAAGGCGTCAGCTACATCATGAGTCACCTCAACAGAGTCGGCTACGTAGTAAAGTCTCCTCATCAGATTCCCCCCTCTTTATGGGATAAAAAGCTATGGGATAAAATCTTCGGGACTGAAGTTCTGCCGCCGATTGAAAACCCATGGCATCATCTGAGTATACGCCTGCATAATCCCTGGTTTAGACTGATTCTGACTAACCTGCTTTTCCTTTAACGCCACAAGTACTTAACCCATTTATGTCCCGATATCGTCCACCAAGACCAAAAAGCTCACCCTATATCACCCGCCGCGGCTATGAAAAACTGTCAGAGGAGCTGACTTTCCTGTGGAAAGTGAAACGACCCGAAGTCACACGCAAAGTCTCAGAAGCCGCGGCACAGGGTGATCGGTCTGAAAATGCGGAATACATTTACGGCAAAAAACAGTTACGCGAAATTGACAGCCGAATTGGTTTTTTAAGCCGCCGGCTGGACGATCTGACTGTCATCGAGAACCTGCCACCGGATCAATCTCGTGTCTATTTTGGCGCATGGGTCACCCTGGAAAGCGAAACCGGAGAAAAACACACCTATCGCATTGTCGGCGCGGATGAGTTTGATGCGGCACCCGCGTATATCAGCGTGGATGCCCCCTTAGCTCGCGCATTAATCGGTAAAGCTGTCGATGACGAGATTACCATTGAACCGCAGCGCAGCAGTGGTCCTGCCAGAATATTAACCAAACCCACCGAAGCCACTACGCCGATCCACTACGCCATTGTCGATGTGCAGTATAAAAAAGATGAAACCTAGGCGACGGGTTTTGGTTCGATCCGCGTAGAAGTAAATGACGGGAACATAACTTTCTGATTTAAGGAATAGAAAATGAACCAGACTTCTACACATGCAGAGAAAACCAGACGCCTCAAGAAAGCAATCAGGTGGAGCATAGTACCCGTCGGCGTTGTCATCAGCGCACTGGCGTTTGCCGCTCCAGGACAAGAGCGTTTTCCGATATCAATCGCGGAGGTGGAAAGTAAAACTGCGGAACGTTTTACCAAAATTGATACCGACCAGAGCGGCAGCATCGATCTGTCAGAGTTTGAACAGGCCAAGCCACAGCGGCCCCAAAACAAGGGTAAACATGGCACTCGACATGCTGACGGACGCAAACAAGGTCACCCGGGCGGACCTCGACACGCACAAAGAGCAGCGCTGCGCGAAGCAACTGAAGCAGAAATGTTTAGCCTTCTGGACAGCAACGGTGACGGGGTTATCTCCAAAGAAGAGCATCACAGCGCTGATTTGCGTGAGACCAGAGTACTGGCGCAGAAACGTGCCATGTTCAAAAAACTGGATAAAGACCAGAATACTCTGTTATCGCCAAGTGAAATGCCCAACCCGGCTGAACGCCTTCGCCAGGCTGATACAGACAACGACGGATCCGTGAGCCGCGCTGAAATGCATGCAGCACATGCCCTGCGACGCAGCAATGCGCAAAACAGGGCTAAGGTTGAGGCGGGTTAAGACCCACCCTGTGACCTCGCCTTCAGACGAAATTCTTATGGCGAAAGTCAAACAAGGTGATCAAGCTGCGTTTGCGCAGCTTGTTCATCGTCATGTTGATGCACTGTACAGCTATGCGTTGCGCCTCAGCAAATCGCCCGCCAACGCTGAAGATCTTGTGCAGGAATCCTGGCTATCAGCATGGACCCATGCAACCAGCTTCGACCCGGCAAAAGCCAAACTAACAACATGGCTACATCGGATTTTACACAACAGATTTATCGACGGAGCGCGTAAGAAGACCGAGGTATCCGACTCTGAAGCAATTGATGCCGCCCTGGCCAGTGACAGCCCCGGTGACAGTATTGCGCTCGAAGAGCGTTTGACGGCGTTGAATCAGATGGTCAATCAGCTCCCCAGCGAGCAGAGAGCTGCACTGGCACTGCGCCACTTCCAGGGGTTTGGAAACAAAGACATCAGCCACATCCTGGGTATTTCAGTGCACGCGGTAGAATCTTTACTGGCACGTGCTCGACGGACTCTACGTGGTCAGGAACAACAGATACAAGCAACAGAGAAACAGACAGAATCAACTGATGACGGAATTAGCCTCCATGAATGACACTGAATTAGATGCCGCCCTTGCCGATCTGGCCGCACAGCACCCCACGGCGCCAAGCTATCTTGCCGGGCGCATTGTGGCCAACCTGCCAGCACCGAATGCGTTTGAATTCATCAGAACCTGGCTGCTGCGTTCCGTGTGGCGAGGTGCAACGGCGTTGATTCTGCCGCTGGCGCTGGGTTTTGCGCTGGGGTTAGGTAACCGTGTGGAGCAGGATGAAAGCTGGGCAGAAAGTGAAAGCCTGGTATTTGCTGACACGCTACTGGAGTACGACAGCAATGAAATCTAAATGGATCGCCGCACTGCTCATCACCTCAGTGGTGCTTAATCTTTTGCTGATTGGCTTTATCGTTGGCAAGCGCGCCATGCCTGAAGTGGGTGGCGATCCAACGCGTCACTATCCACGCTGGGTACGAACGTTACCCGAACCCAGGCGTGAGGCATTGCGGCCGCTGCTACGCTCACATATGCAGGAAATACGCCCTTCACTGCGCGAACTACGAGCTTTACATCGCAATCTTCGAGCAGCAATTGTTGCCGAGCCATTCGACGCAGCGGCGCTGAATAACGCGCTGACCGCCATGCGCGGCCAGAATGACAAGGTCCAGGTGGTATCACACAAATCATTTGTCGATTTTGTCGCTACACTGACACCCGAAGAAAGAAAGCAACTGGCGCAGGACGTCGGACGCAGCAGACCACGCGGCGGTAGCGGACACGATCCCGACCGCGGAAATAGATCAAATGAGACAAGATGACCCTGACTGATACTGTAGCGCTGTTCTTTGAGCACTATCAAAAAAGCCATCCGGTTCTAACCACTCAGCATGACCCGCAATGGCCTTCACCTTGTGAGGTCGGCGAGCCCTACGATGATGCTGACGGCAGTCCGATCATTGCCTGGCAGCCAGTCAAAAGGCACATCAGCGAGGACGATTTTGCAGGGCTGGAGAACGCACTGGAGATGCCCATCCATCCTGATGTAAAAACCCACTATGGAGCTTTCTGGTCAGCAAACCTTGAAGCTGAAGCACCAGACGGACACGTCACCTTGCTGTATCTCTGGAATCCTACAGATGCCGAACGATTGATCGAGAACCTGATTGGCCACGCGGTGGCTTGCCGTCATAACAGAACACCTTTCTCTGTCTTCTTCGCCTGTACCGAACCAGATTCTGAGCTGTTCCTGACCATCAACAACACCACCGGTCAGGTCCAGTTAGAGGAGCCAGGCAAAGCACCACTACGTGTTGTGAGCGATAGCTTGCAGACTTTTATGAGTCAATTAGTGCCTGCTCCAACGCTTTAGTCCACCACCCGGCTGGCTGACGCCATCCTGTAACGAGGCTTCGATGCAGTACGTGAGTGCTTACTTACACTTAAGGCTTTATTAGACCACGCGCGCGAATCTGCGGCGAACATGCCGACAATGACCTCCGCACTGACTTTTTGCCATTCGCTGGCTGAAAAACCAGCAGCACCTGTTTCACCTTTCTCACGTGCGAAGCCCCGCAAGAGCAAAGGCACTAAGAGCAACAGGGCGCGATTTAGCTCTTGGCTGGCTGTTCCTCTGGTTGCTAAATCAGGCTGTGGGTCTTCAGACGACGCAAAGTCGGGCCACAACTTCTGCAGTTGTTGATCTAGAAAATGCCGTGTACTTTCCGACAAACTATTTTCAGCTGATCGAAGAACCAGGCATTGCTGCTGATACACCGCCGCAATAAGGCTTTCTCGATCCCCGAAGTAATGATAAATCAGCCGCTTGTTGCAGCCTGCAGCAGCCGCAACAGCATCGACCCGCAATCCGGCATCACCCTGTTCAAGCATCGTTTTCATCGCCGCTTCGAAAATAGCGACGGCGGTATCTGAGCGGTAAGTAACCATATAGTTACTCTAGTTCGGACTACCCTCGTACGCCAGAGTTTATTTATGGAAGCCGTGTAACTATATAGTTACTCAATTGGAACAAAACTTTTCATTCCATTTCTCCAACGTCGAAGGCCACAATTTCTGCAGAATCCTCGATTAGCCAGAAACATGGCGCACTGTGGATCATCCGGCGCCAGAAACCGGTCAAACCCCACAACTCGCCGACACAAGCCTTACCAACAGCAACGTTTTAATCGATTTCCGCACGTAACCTCTCTCACCTCAAAATGTGACGGAGCGCACATGATTGAAGTGACATTTAACGCTGCCGACAATACGGCATGTTTAGTCTGCGCAGGAAGCATATCCCTGAAAGATATTGTGCACGGGGTACGACAATGGGTGCAGCACACTCGCTACGCTGCAGACATAAACCTGCTCTGTGACATCAGCCAGGCACATTGGCAACAGGCCATCGCCGATTTTCGACAGGTCAGCGAGGCTGTTGTGGAACGCATCAATCAGGACTGGCAGGGCCGCAAAATAGCCATCGTCACCAACAGCTATACTGAAATCGCCCTGATCGAGAACCATCTTGGCGCAATGGGATGGTACGCCGAGTGGCGCGGTTTCATGTCTACTGAAGCAGCCAGACAATGGCTGCTCGAGCCGGACAACCAGGCCGCTAACGCCAGCTAGGACTCAAGGCTCAGGCGTCGGCGGCCGGTTGCCTGCGTCTGGCAAGTAATACGGCAACCGCTAACAGAGCAAGCATCAACAGATAGGTACTACTGCCGAACTTCAGTGCATAACTGGCATCGCCCAACCCAACAATCTGGCTGGAGAGCCAGGGGCTGATGGCCGTGCCTGTTGTTGCGCCGAGCAGCAGGCTGGATACCAATCGTGGCGACGCTATAGCGGTGAAAGTACTGCCGTAAGACAAGACCACTTTCAACAACCCGAGATTACCAAACCCCCACACCGCAGCCAGCCACCACAGCCACGTAACATCCGTCACCAGCCAGATGGGTATGGAGAACAGCAGGGTTGATGACGCCGACAGCCACAGCAGACGATTAACGCCGATGCGTAGTACCCACCAGGCAACAAACAACTGCGCAGCAAACATCCCGCTCCAGAATTGGCCTACCAGTGCGCCCCCGGCATCAGCCGACGCACCCAGCTGCTGTTGGGCGTATTGCGGCAACCACCAGAGAATTGAATTCTGCGCCAGGGTGTAGGTACACAACGCGGCAATACATAACCAGGCTGAAAGCGGCCAGGACCTGGGTGATGGATCCGCAGCGGCTTCACCGTTTGATTCCGGATAACTGGAAAAGAGCGCAAGCAACACAACTGACACCGCAATAGCTGCAACAAAAAGGTAAACGCCGGACCAATGAAAATTATGAGCCAGCAGGGTCACCGCAACCCAGGCGCAAACAATACCTGCCACGCTGAATGACCCATCCGTAATCACCAGCATCGAGGCTCGATGTTCTGCAGCGTAGGTACGCGCAATGACCAATGCCGCAGCCGGCAAACCTATCCCACAACACACACCAACCACGCCCAAACGCCAACCGATGGCATCAATACTGGCACTGAACGGCAGACTCAGGAGACTGATCGCCAGCAACCCAAACAAACCGATCATAGCGGTTTTAATGCGACACCAGTTGAAGACAACAAGCGCGGCAACCGCGCCGACAAAAATACCCACGGTAAGCCAACTGAATTTGGCTGTAACGACGGTCACCGGCAAACCAAATTCCTGCGCCATCGGCGTGCTGATGATGCCTATCGGCGCAAGCATGCCCGACATAATGAAGTAGGCCAGGAAACTCGACAGCGTCGTACGGTAGCGATTCAAAACAGGCATGCCTGGCTTAGCGGTATGAGTGGGGTATGCTACACAAACTTATTGACGAAACTTGCCATGACCACAACAAAAATAATTTTTGATACAGACCCGGGCATCGACGATGCCATGGCTCTACTGTTTGCCCACTACTCACCAGAAATCGACGTGGTCGGCATCACGACGGTGCTGGGCAACGCAAGCCTCGATACCGTTACGCGCAATGCGCTGCATATCTGCGAACGGTTTGATATCTCGGCGCCGGTACACAAAGGTGCCGCCGCACCGCTGTTGATCGCCGCGGATGAACCCCCGGCTTTTGTGCACGGGGACGACGGCTTGGGCAATATCAACCCAGACACGCCAAGCGTTCAACACGAATCTGCCAGCGCAGCACAGTTTATTGTCGACAAGGTTGTGCAGCACCCACACGAAATAACTCTGGTCGCTGTCGGTCGATTGACTAATCTGGCTCTGGCCCTGCGCCTGAACCCCGAGATTACCCAGCTGGTTAAAGAAGTGGTCATCATGGGCGGCGCCTTAGGTACCAATGAACACACCGGCAATGTCACACCTGTTGCTGAAGCCAATATTTACGGCGACCCCCACGCGGCAGACATTGTGCTCACCGCCAACTGGCCGCTGACCTTAGTTGGACTGGATGTCACCATGACGTGTGTCATGCAGCAGGCGCAGATGCGCCACCTGCGAGACAGCGCAGGCGCTGCAGGCCAGTTCATCTGGGACATCAGCCGCCACTATGAAGACTACTACCATCGAACACGGGGCGTTAAAGGCTTCCCGGTACACGACTCCTGCGCCGTAGCCTACGTGTTAGCTCCTGAGCTGTTTCAGGTACGCAGCGGTGCGATCCGTGTTGTTACCGAAGGCATCAGCATTGGCCAGACGATTATGGTCCCCGGCGGCAGATTGTTTCCGCCCGGAGACTGGCACAACGTGCCGGAAAGCCAGGGGTGTGTGGGGGTAAACGCGGACGCCCTGCTACAACTCTACGAATCGGTGTTGCTGAAGCAATAAGTGTGAATCGCTTACATTCAGGCCCACAAGCCTGAATGCTGCATTTCAAACTCAAGCAAAAATCGTTTGGTCTCGAGACCACCACCAAAGCCAGTCAGGCTACCATTACTGCCAATAACCCGATGACAGGGAATAATCAACGCTATCGGGTTGTTACCATTGGCGCTGCCAACGGCACGCACCGACCTGGGATTGCCTATGGCCGATGCAATCTCTGCGTAGCTACGCGTTTCCCCAAAAGGTATCTCCTGCAGCGCGGCTAAGACGCTCAGTTGGAACGGCGTACCTTTGGGCGCCAGAGCCAGGTCAAACACCTTCCGTTCACCGGCAAAATATTCATCCAACTGTTTTTTTGCCGATGCAAACTCAGCATCTGAGTGCTGCCAATGCGGGTCCGGTCCACGCGCTTTACTGCCCGTCGAAAAATACAGACCAGACAGATAATCCTCGGTACCACTGAGTAACAGAGACCCGATAGGGCTGTCTATGTAGCTGTAAAACAATTGCGTTTACTCCTCAAGTGCTTTGGGCGGAGCTGCTAGTGAGCTGGAATACCACAAGTACATCAGTGCATAAGCACGCCAGGGCGCCCAGGCGTTCGCCTGTGCGCGGGCTTTAGCTGCCGTGCATTGCAGTACTTTAAGCACCACCCAGTCATTGTCCGGAAAAGCATCCGGATCTTTCAGCACCCGCATACGAATGTAGTTGGCTGTCCACGGCCCGATGCCGGTAATCGCCTGCAGCTGCTGCTGCACCTGATCAAAGTGGCTGCTGTCATCAAAGCCCAGGTTGCCATCACGTACCTGCCGGGCGAGCAGCGCAATGGCCTGACCACGACGGCCCGGCATGCCTAACTCGCCTACCTGCTGATCACATAACTGCTCCGGCGATGGGAAACATCCCTCGCCGTAACTGGCTACCATCTTGTTGGCCAGCACCGTTCCGCGCGTCACACTGACCTGCTGACCCAGTACGGCCCGCACCGCAGTTTCAAAACCATCCCAGGCACCGGGCACGCGCAAACCAGGGGCTGCACGAACCACCTCACCCAAGCGCGCATCTTTGCAGAGAAACTCATGAATAGTTTCCCCGTCAGCCTGCAGGTCAAAGACACGGCGGATGCGCGTTAACAGACTGTTTAACGGCACATCGGTAAGCGGCAGCACAACCTGCAGCGCTTGCGCCTGCTGATACACTTCAACCCAGTGATGTTGACCTTCACTGTCGGCGAAGCGCCGCCGGAAGCACCAGCAACCTGACTCGCCAACAACCTCTTCCAGCCCTGCAAGCGCACGCTTGTGCAGATAGGCAAACACCCAATCAAAATCATAGGGGCCTCTGATCGACAGCGTCAGACGTACACTTTTACCCAACTGTTTGCCTTCGGCCTTACGCAACATGCTGGGTGTCTGGCCAAAAACATCTCTTATCTCCTGGTTAAAACGGCTCAAACTGCCATAGCCTGCGTGGAAAGCCACTTCAGCCATAGTCATTGAGCTGGAGGCTAACAGCCCTTTCGCCAGCCGCGCGCGGGTCCAGCGGGCTATCGATTTAGGCGTGGTGCCAAGCTCCTGCTGAAACAGGCGGGTTAGATGGCGCTCACTGACCTGCAGTGCCGCCGACAATTCTGCAGTGTTGTTACGGCTCAGCCAGCCGCTCTCAATCATGCGCAGGCCACGCATAACGGTATCACTCGCCATGGTCCACTCAGGCAATGAAAGCGCCGACTCTGGTCGACAGCGCCGGCACGGTCGATATCCCGCATCCTGCGCTGCAGCCGCAGTGACAAAGTAACAAACATTATCTTCTCGCGGCATACGCGCCGGACAGATCGGCCGACAGTAGATGCCAGTGGTGCGCACGGCGACAATAAATCTGCCGTCAAAACGTGGATCCCTGCTTTGCCGGGCACGCCGACAAACAGCAATCGACGGTAATGCGCCGGGCTGAAAGGCATTGGCGGATAGCGGTGTTTTGGCAGCTGCTTGGACCATGTTCGTAAAATCAGCGAATCCAGATCGGAGAATGACTATAATTGTTCTCTTTTCACAATACTCCCCGGAAACAGACATTTGTCGAAATCACCCCGCATAGATCCCACCCAGCCGGTCAAACTGATACCGGTTTACATCGCCAAACCCTGGGGCCAGGAAATCTGGTATACCGGCATGGAAGAACGCGGCGAAAGTGCTGTGTGGGTGAACGGCGCAGAGCTACCCCTATCTGAGTATCTTGCCCACAGCGCCGGGTTACTGGCGAACCACGCACCTGTGCTGCTGTTGAAAATTCTCGACCCCAAACCACAAGCCGTAGCGGGAGAATTGTACTTTGAAGTACACGAAGAGAAGCAGGAGGTGTACATCGTCACCCATGTGGATGCACAAGCCTGGCCAGGCGGCGTAGGTGGCATTCGTTTTGGGATGGATCAGGTTAAACGCAAGTCTTTTGGCGATGCCCATCAGTTTCGCGCGGCTTACCTTGAAGCTGTACAGGCTTACGAGAAAATTCGCCGCCAGATCGATGAGCAAGGTGTAACAGACCTTGCGGACGATGAGGCAAAGGCGCGGGCCCACATGAACAGCTTTGCCGCTCTACGTGACCTTAAGGTAGGCGATGTGGTCAAAGTCCCAACCTGGACACCCCACTCATTACTACACGGTGTGCGGGTAGTGGAGTTTCAAACCCAGACCTACGAACGCTTTATTATTTCTTTTGCTCAGCAGGTGGTTACCCAGGACCACTGGGACAGCACACATGCTATCTCCCATATGCATATCGACGCGCCCGCCCAGGAACAGTTTGATCACATTGAGCCTGGCATAGAGCGGATTGCCTCCTTTACCGATTTCAATGTGTGGCGAGTTGATTTTGCACAACTGCAAACGCCTTTAAACCTGCCTGACACAGCACCTTATGCCGTCTGCATGTGTTTGACGGGCTCGGTTGAAATCGGTGGCGAACGCTATCAGCCTGAAGAGGCCTTTTTCATCCCCTTCTCCGCACTGCCGAACACCCGGATAACCGGCAGCGGAAAACTGTTGGTGGCCGCACCCAATTTATGAAATATCTTTCCCGGCGCGCACTGTTCCTGCTGGTTGTCATGTCAGTGGCCGGTCTGGTGCTGGTGTATCCGCCAAGTCGTTTGATCAGCCTGCTGTGGCCCAACTGGTCCGTGCCGTTCGGCCTTATGGCCGGGCTCCTGGCTTTCCCGCTGATCTTGCGTCTACTTCACGAACAGACAAACCATGCCTGGTCTCGCGCCATCAGCGCGGTTGTGATGACCTGGCTGGGGATTTGTTTTGTCATGCTCTGCCTGATCCTAGTCGCAGAAGTGTTGCTGATGTTTCCGCTGCCCAGCGAGACCGTCGGGCAGGGTGTTGCAGCTCTTGTTGTCCTTATCAGCATGTACGCCATCTTCAACGCTCATCGCCTGCACGTTCATAAAATCGAGGTCACCGCCAACCAGACAGTCAATGGCACGCGGCTGGCGCAGATTTCGGATGTACATATCGGCAGCCGCCAGCCAGGCTTTCTGAAACCCATTGTGCAGACGGTCAACGCACTCGACGCCGACTATGTGCTGATCACGGGTGACCTGATCGATATGTCGAATATTGACATCGACAGCCTCGCACCGCTGGGTGAAATCAAAGCACCGACCTTGTTCTGCATCGGCAATCACGAACGTTACGTGGATCTGGACGCAATCTGTCAACGCCTGTCGTCCCTGGGCATTGAGGTGCTGCGCAATCGCAGTATTGATCGCGACGGCCTGCAATTCATTGGTATTGACGATGCTGAAAGCAAATCCCAGGTAGCACGCGAGATCAAGGCCCTCAACGCTAACCCTGATGCATTTCGCATTCTGCTCTATCATCGGCCCGATGGCGCTGAAGAAGCTGCTGCCTGGGGTGTAGACCTGATGCTCACCGGACACACCCACAGGGGCCAGATTGTGCCGTTTAACTTTCTCGTAAAGAAAGTGTTCCCACGCCTGTATCGGGATTATCAGGTGGACGGCATGTTTTTGTATGTGTCGCCAGGCACGGGTACCTGGGGGCCTGTTATGCGGCTCGGCTCCAAGTGCGAAATTACACTGATTGAGCTACTGTAACCCTCGCAAAATACGACAAAGGCAATTCCCATGACCAACGCCAACTGGTCGGAGCCAACAGATCTGATTATCGAGCAGATCGAAATTGGTCCGATGCAAAACTACACCTACATCATTGGCTCGCGTGAAACCCGTGAGGTAGCCATCGTTGACCCTGCCTGGGACATTGATGCGCTGACCAAACATCTGGCAGAAAAGGACTACACGCTGAAAGCTGCACTTGCGACTCACTACCACCCAGATCACGTTGGTGGCTCGTTCAGCGGCCATAATGTTGAAGGGATTGCCGAACTGATGGCTATCAATCCGGTTAAAGTCTATTGCCATAAAGCAGAGGCAGACGGCATTAAAAAGGTCACTGAAATTTCCGACAGCGACATGGTGCGGGTGGACAGTGGTGACACTTTGAAGCTGGGCAACATAGAAGTTGAGTTTCTACATACTCCAGGGCACACACCGGGCAGCCAGTGCTTTCGAATTAAAAATACGCTGGTTTCAGGTGACACGTTGTTTATTAACGGCTGCGGTCGCGTTGACCTGCCGGGGTCAAATACCGACGACATGTATCACAGCCTGCGCAAGCTTGCGGACCTGCCGGACGACACGCTATTGCTGCCTGGACACAATTACGGCCACGTACCAAACGCCACCATGGGTGAAACCAAGGGCATGAACGTGCACCTGCGTATCGACAACATAGAGACTTGGCACGACATCATGGGGCACTAGCACCCGGACATTGAAGCGTAAACATTGAGGAGAGGGCAATGAAGACGGGCACCTTTACAGGTTTTGATCTGGACATTCGCGAACCGGGTATCGCCTGGTTTCAGTTTAACTCACCCGAGCGCCTGAACGGCATGACAACCGGCATCAAGCGCGACCTGATCGAAGCGGTGACCCAGGCACAGATGGACAACAACGTTCGGGTGCTTGTTTTCACGGGCACCGGCAGGGCATTCTGCGCCGGCGACGACCTTAAAGCCTATGGCGGTGTGGATTTAGGTGGCGAAGCGCTGGTGGACCCCATCCCCGGCGGCCATGACAACGCACTGGGTACATACAATGGCTTACGCACTATCTCTCAGGCACTGAATACAGCGGTCAGAAACATCGACAAGCTGACCATCTGCGCGCTCAACGGCATCGCCATCCAAACCGGCTTTTCCCTGGCTCTGAGCTGTGACTTTCGTATCGCGGCGGATACCGCACGCATGGGCAGCGCAACGTTGCGATTTGGCCTGTTACCGGATGAAGGAGGACAGCACTTGCTGGTACAGACGCTCGGGGTAGCAAAAACCCTGGACTTCATCATGCGCAAAAGAATCATAGATGCCGCCGAGGCCCATGATCTGGGCCTGGTCCATGAAGTGGTTGCAGCCAAAGACCTGGAGCATCACACCATGGCTCTGGCAAAAGAGCTGGCAGAAGGTCCGCAAGTAGCCATGCGCTTATTAAAACGCTCCATCTACAACGCCGCGGAATTAAGCTGGCCAGCGGCACTGGATGAAATTGCCGCTAAAACCGCCATCACCGATCACCATCCGGATGCAGCAGAAGGTGTGAAAGCTTTCAATCAGAAGCGCACCCCTGAATTTAATGCCTGGTTGAACGGCAAGGAAGACAAAGGCCATGGATAATCTGGTTACCTACAGCAGCGCAAATGATATTGCGTTGATTACCATCAATCGCCCTGATCGCATGAACGCCCTTAACGAAGAGGTTATCGTCGGCCTGCAACAAGCCTGGCAACGGTTTGAGGATTCCACCGACAGGGTTGCAGTATTACATGCTGCAGGGGATCGGGCTTTTTCAGTAGGTGCAGATGTCAAAAATCCGCCTAAAGAGATGTGGCAGGGTGTCCCGAGTGTGGGCGCCATCAACAACAAGCCTATCATTGCCGCGGTCCATGGCTGGTGCATCGGGGGCGCTTACTGCATTGTGCAGATGTGTGACCTGGTGGTCGCCTCGGAAACTACCGTCTTCAAGTATCCCGAAGCACAGCTGGGGTTTACCGGCGGTTTAATTGCCAGCGCCGTGGCCAGAATTCCACACAAAGTGGCCATGGAATTCATGACCCTGGGTGAAGATTTTGATGCGCCGCGTGCGCAGGCTGTCGGCATGGTCAACAAGGTGGTCCCTGCTGGTACGGAGCTGGCCGAAGCTTTAGCCTGGGCTGAGGTACTGGCTAAATCTGCACCGCTAGTATTGCAAACCGTTAAACAGTTTTCGCTGGCCACGTTGAACAAAAGCCCCGCAGAAGCCGCCGCCATTGCACGCGACCAGCTGTTAACTGTGCGCAGCAGTGAAGATGGTCAGGAAGGCGGACGTGCTTTTGCTGAGAAACGCACACCCGTGTTTAAAGGAAAATAACCGTGTCCTCTATACGATCAGTAACCGCCGTTTTGTTTTTCTGCTTCACTGCTTTTTACAGTTCCGCAGCCACTGCAGACGGTGAATACATCGACATTGCGCCTAAGTCGGCGGAACAGATTCAACTGGTGCTCGATACACTCGACGAAACCATCAACAATGAAGTCGAAGGGCTGCCGCCCATAGTGATGATGTTGCATGGTGACGAAGCCCACCGCTTTCTCCGGCGTAACTACGCTGACAACAAAGCCATGATCGACCAGAGTGCAAAACTTGCCGCCTACAACGTGGTTAAAGTACAGATCTGCGCCACCTGGTTGAAATCGAACAACTACGATAACAGCGACCTGTTCCCGTTTGTTTCTCCAGTGCCCTACGGCGCGGCAGAACTGGAACGCCTGGCCAGCGAAGAGGGTTACACTGAATACAGCGTCAACCTTTAAACGCTGCTACAAAGACATCAGACGGAAGCAGTTGCGCAATTCAGTGATGAACAGCTCAGGTTGTTCAAACGCGGCAAAGTGCCCGCCTTTGTCCAACTCATTCCAGTAAACAATATTCTTGTAGCGCTTTTCCGCCCAGCTGCGCGGCGCAGGCACAATTTCTTTGGGAAAAATACTGCAGCCTGTTGGCAGCTTCACAGTATTGTCCTGACCCGCGGCAAACGCCTGATTAAAGCTTTCCCAGTACAACCGACCGGACGAAGCGCCGTTGCCCTGCCACCAGTAATACATGACGTTATCCAACAACTCTTCTTTTGTCAGGACATTTTCCGGATGGCCGTCGCAATCGGTCCACTCGTAGAATTTTTCAATGACCCACATCGCCTGACCCACGGGTGAATCCACCAACCCATAGCCTAACGTCTGCGGTCGGGTACTCTGTTGTTTTGAATACCCCGCACCCCACTGCTGATAGTATTGTGCGCCAGCAAGTGCCCGCTTATCTCCTTCATTCGGCTTCTCCAGCGCCTCTTTGGTGGCGCGCACGTTAGGCATATTCACATGAATACCCGCGCAGCGTCCCCGGTTCTGGATTGCGATCGCGGTAGTCACCGCAGAACCCCAATCACCGCCTTGCGCAAAATATCTGTTGTAACCCAAACGGCCCATCAGCTCGTCCCAGGCTTGTGCAATCTTCTCTACTCCCCAACCCGTACCTGTGGGCTTATCGGAAAACCCATAACCAGGCAACGACGGACAAACTACGTGAAACGCATCTCCAGGATCACCACCATTCACAGTCGGGTCTGCCAGAGCGTCTATCACTTTATGAAACTCAACCACAGAGCCCGGCCAGCCATGGGTAACAATCAGCGGTCGCGCATGTTCATGAGGACTGCGCACATGAATAAAATGAATATCCAGGCCGTCGATACGCGTTTTGAATTGGGCATGCCGATTGAAGTAGGCCTGTCGATCAGCCCAGCGGTAATCGTTCAACCAGTACTGCGCTAATTCCTGAGCGTACGCCAGCGGCACTCCCTGATTCCAATCACCTGTTGTTTCTGCCTCGGGAAAACGAGTCGCAGATAAGCGCGCATTCAGTTCGTCAATCGCGGCCTGTGAAATGGCCAATTCAAAAGGGACTATCTCAGTCATCTAAAGCACCTCGTTGGTTCTGAACTGGATTAGCCTGCATTTGTCAGGCTTTCAGATGGTGGAATAAAAACGCCCAGTAATCGGCGTATTCATTAATGAGTTTCGACGTAGGCGTGCCCAGTCCGTGGCCGGCAGCGCTTTCTACCCGGAGTAATACCGGCGCATCACCCTGCTGTACAGCCTGCAGCCGGGCGGCATATTTGAAACTGTGCCCCGGCACAACTCTATCGTCAGTATCGGCGGTCCCCACCAGCATTGGAGGATACGTGCGTGGCTTGAGATTATGATACGGCGAGTAGGCGTAAAGCGCATCGAACTCATCAGCATCGTTAGCACTGCCATAGTCGTCTATCCAATAGACCCCGGCGGTGAAGTGATGAAAACGCAACATATCCATGACGCCAACCAGCGCTAAGGCTGCGCCAAACAGTTCAGGCCGTTGATTGACCACCGCGCCGACCAGCAGCCCACCGTTACTGCCACCCATAACGCCGAGGTGGGCAGGCCTGGTGTACCCTGCATCGATTAAATACTGAGCAGCGGCAATAAAATCATCAAACACGTTCTGCTTCTGCAGCCTGGTGCCTGCGGCATGCCAGGTTTCGCCATACTCTCCGCCACCACGCAGGTTAGCAATAGCAAACACGCCACCCTGCTCCATCCAGAGCACACGCGAGATAGAAAAATCAGGCGTCAGGGAAACATTGAATCCACCGTACCCATACAGGAGGGTAGGATTCTGACCATTGAGCTCGATACCCGTTTTATGACAGATGAACATCGGCACGCGAGTACCGTCTTTCGACTCAAAAAATACCTGCTTCAGAACAAAATCAGACACATCAAGGGCCACCTGCACCTGCTTAAATACTTCCAGACGCTGATCTTCTAACGACAGGTGGTAAACGGCAGGTGGATGGTTCAAGGCTGAAAAATCAAAAAATACTTCATCGTCCCACTGGCGGGACGTCACCGTCTGCACGCCACCCAGGCCAGGCAAATCCACGCTTTCAGCGTTATCACCCTGCAGATCAACAATCTTCAGGCTACTGGATGCATCCTGCAGATACCGCAAAATCAGTTGTGTGCCGCACATTTGCGCACTGTCCAATACATTGCCTGACTCAGAGACAATCTCACGCGCCTGTTGCAGCGCCTCAACGCCTGTTTCGGGACGCACAGCGATGACACGCCCATTAGGTGCGTTCTGATCTGTCAGAAAATAAAGCTCGCCCTCTACATGACCAAGACAGGCGAGGTGATCCGCAAAGCCTTCAACCAGAAACCAGGGGTTCTGATCTGCCTCAAGATGTTGCACCAGAACCTGGTTACGCCGGTCCGTTCCGATCCCCACATCAATGACCAGATAGGCGCCATCCCGGGTAACCTGCGCATCATAACGCCAGTGGGGCTGCTCGGAATTATTGAAAACAAGGGTGTCATCCGATTGCTGCGTACCCAATCGATGAAAATACACGGCATTGTTCTGCGCCACCTGATGAAACTTGTCATCGGTGCCCTGGGGGAAACGACTGTAGTAGAACCCAGTGCCGTCAGCCGCCCAGCTCAAACCGGTAAACTTCAGCCAGTTGAGAGTATCGTCACAATCCTCCCCACTGGACACATCAAGCACTCGGGCTTCGCGCCAGTCAGAGCCGTCCACCTGCACCAGATAAGCCAGGTACCTGCCATCGGGAGACACAAAATAGGCAGCCAGCGCGGTTGTACCTGTGTCGGACCACTTGTTTGGATCAAGCAGTACCCTCGGAGCGCTGTCCAGTCCAGTCTGAACCAGCACCTGAGCCTGGTTCATAAGGCCATCGTTGAAACTATAGAAGTACTGCCCCCCGCGCTTAACCGGCACGCCGTAGCGCGGGGTATCCCACAGTTGGGTCAAACGATCGTGTAAGTCCGCACGTTCCGGCAGACGCCTTAAATAATCACCAGTGAATTTCTGCTGCGCATCAACCCAGGCCCGTACCTGGGCGTCCCGACGCACATCATTTTCCAGCCAGCGATAAGGATCTGCCACCTTCGTACCGTGATAATCATCAACCTGATCCACAGTTTCAGTAGGCGGATAAACGAGCATAAAGCTTCCAGACCGCGTGTTTCGTTTAAGGCAGCAGGTGGGCTACCGCATCACGTTCTTCGCCAAGTTCGGCAGCAGTGGCGTCCATTTTGCCGCGACTGAAGTCGCCAATCTCTATGCCCTGCTCAATCTGCCAGTCACCACCGCTACATCGAACAGGGAATGAGTAGATCAACCCTTCGTCGATACCGTAACTGCCATCAGAGTAAACACCCATGCTGACGATGCCATCGCTACCCAGCGCCCAATCATGCATATGGTCAATGGCGGCATTGGCAGCAGAGGCTGCACTTGAGGCGCCACGTGCTTCGATAATCGCGGCACCGCGTTGTTGTACGGTAGGAATGAAATCGTTTTCGTACCAGTCCATGTCAACCAGGTCCATGGCTGCCTGACCGGCCACGGTGGCGCGATGTATATCAGGATATTGCGTTGCCGAGTGATTACCCCAGATGCACAAGCCGTCGACATCGTTGATGTGTTTACCGGTTTTCTGTGCCAGTTGCGCCATGGCCCGGTTGTGATCAAGTCGTGTCATCGCGGTAAAGTTGCGCGGATCAAGATCCGGTGCATTGCGCTGAGCTATCAGCGAATTGGTATTTGCCGGATTACCCACTACCAGGACTTTAACGTCTCGTGAAGCATGGTCGTTCAGGGCTTTGCCCTGCACCGAGAAAATGGCGGCATTAGCTTCGAGAAGATCTTTACGTTCCATGCCCGGACCACGCGGACGCGAACCTACCAGCAATGCATAATCAGTGTCTTTGAAAGCTACGTTTGCGTCATCTGTCTGTACGGTGCCAGCCAGCAGTGGGAAGGCACAATCATCCAGTTCCATAACCACCCCTTTCAAGGCATCCAATGCCGGGGTGATTTCCAGAAGCTGCAGAATCACCGGCTGATCAGGCCCCAACATGGCGCCGGAAGCCACGCGAAACAACAAGGCGTAGCCAATTTGTCCCGCAGGGCCGGTGATGGTAACTCGGACTGGATCTTTCATTTTAGTCTCTCTTGTTGTTTTGGGTGTCTGAACCCGGCAACCAACAGCCCTCGCGAACGCATGTCTTCAGGACCACTGTGCAACCAGATGGGCCAGGTATTGTAGGGTTATAATCAGCCGACGAACAGCCATGGCCATCGCCTTGCCCACAATACCGCCAACAAACGCTGACAGCCCAGCCACAGACAAAGGTCAATCTGACATTCATCTGACCCAGCGGATAGAAGAAGCATCGCTGAATGCCTGGCCTGCCCTGCAACAGATCCTGCTGGATGGCTGGGTCCTGCGCTTCGCTCGCGGGTTTACCAAGCGCTCAAACAGCATCGTACCGCTTTACGCCACGTCCCGGGCGGAGGGCGTGGATACGCGTCAGCGTCTGGCTGAAAAAATCCGCTATTGTGAAAATCTGTATGCCCGCGAACAGTTGCAGACCGTATTTCGCATTACCTCATTTAACACGGTGAGTCACAGCGCCAGCCTGAACGCCCAGTTCAACAGTACCAAAGCCTTGCTCGACCAGACCCTGGAGGAACGAGGCTACATACGCCAGGACACCAGCCTGGTGTTGAGCAAGCCGATCCTGACCACCCGCAGCGTGACAGGCTTTCGTTTGTTACCGCTGGATCAGTGGCTGCACGAGTACAGTCGCCTGACTGGTCTGCCTGAACCCGCGCAATCTCTGCATGGTCTGATTCTGAAGAGCATCAGTGGCGATTGTGCGTTTGCGGTTCTGGAAAACGCTGCAGGCGTGGTCGCTTGTGGCATGGCTGTGGTCGAACAGGAACTGGCCGGGTTATTTGATATCTACACCGACCCGGCTCACCGCAGCCAGGGTCACGGCACAAACCTTATCGAAGGGCTGTGTAACTGGGCTACAGAGGCACACGCTGAACGGGTCTACCTGCAGGTTGTTGCTGACAATCAGACCGCGTTAACCCTCTACCAACAGTTGGGTTTTACCGAGGTGTATCGCTACTGGTACCGCACCGGCCCGTGAAGCCGCCTGGCCCTTGCGAATTTCTCCTTTTTTGCAAACTTGATTCGTAGCGCTATTTTTGAGATGTTTCGTTCCGCAAACAGTACGCACACCGTCGGCAAGCGTTTTCGTACCTAAAAACAACAACTTACGCCACGCCGGCCGCATTTCCATAGACCCGGGTAAGCTCACTTTGCTGAGCCGACGGGATTCGTCGCCTCTGCTTAACCGTAGTCAAAGGCGATGCTGGGTCTAAAAAACGAGCGAAAACGCGCAATATTTGCGCGCCAAGGGACACGAAGTTCGCCCGGACACCGGCCAAAAACCGGATAGATGCATCCATTTTAGTGCGCCTGGCAAGAGAGAGCATTATGACGTTAATTACCAACGGTGGGTTCCCGCCCGCAAGTGGGCTATACGACCCCGCAAATGAAAAAGACGCCTGTGGCGTTGGCTTTATCTGTGACATCAAAGGTCGTCCAAGCCATCAGATTGTGGCGGATGCCGCCTTCATGAACTGCTGTATGGAACACCGCGGTGGTGTCGGCTATGAAACCAATACCGGTGACGGCGCTGGCATCCTTACTGGCTTACCCCACAAATTGCTCAAACACATTGCCCGGGAAGAACTTGGCGTTACTCTGCCGGCCACTGGCGACTATGGTGTCGGCAACGTGTTTCTGCCTGTTGATGAAGACGAAAGAGCACGCTGCAAAGCTGTTTTTGAAGAACAGATCGCAGCTGCCGGACAAACCCTCATAGGATGGCGTCAACTGCCTGTCGATCCCGATATCGCTGACCTGGGTCGCGCCGCACGTGCCGCTATGCCTGCGTTTGAGCAGCTGTTTATCGCGGCTAACGGTGTATCCGGGGACGATTTCGAACGTAAGCTTTACCTGATCCGCAAACACACAACCCACCTGCTGCGCGGCGATCAGAGCCTGACTCAGCGCAAAATGATGTACGTATGTTCATTGTCGACCAAGGTCATTGTTTATAAAGGCATGCTGACACCCGCACAGCTGTTCCCTTTTTACCTGGATCTACAGAACGAAGCTTATGAAAGCCACCTGGCCATGGTGCACTCCCGCTTCAGCACCAACACCTTCCCCTCCTGGGATCGCGCGCAGCCGAATAGATTTATGAGCCACAACGGCGAGATCAACACGCTGCTGGGCAACGTCAATTCCATGAATGCGCGGGAAGGTGTGGCAAGCTCAGACTTGTTTGGCGACGATCTGTCCAAACTCTTCCCAATTGCTGAGCCCGACTGCTCCGACTCAGGCTCATTTGATAACGTTCTGGAATTTCTGCTCATGTCCGGCCGCAAGCTTCAGGAAGCGGTGCTGATGATGATTCCCGAAGCCTGGCAACAGCATCAGACCATGTCTTCGGATAAAAAGGCGTTCTACGAGTACAACTCCAGCTTCATGGAGCCCTGGGACGGCCCGGCCTCAATTGCATTCACCGACGGTACTTATATAGGGGCTGTACTTGATCGCAACGGCTTACGTCCCTCGCGCTACTACATCACCGATGACGACAAATGCATCATGGCCTCAGAAGTGGGCGTAGTACCTGTTGCACCGGAACGAGTTGTTTCCAAAGGCCGCCTGCAACCGGGCAAAATTTTCCTCATCGACTTTGAACAGGGTCGCATGATCCCTGATGAAGAATTAAAAACCGACCTTGCCAATCGTCGCCCTTATCAGACCTGGCTGGACGAACAACGTCTGGCTCTGGAAGAAATTCCGCTGGTGGTCGGCGAAGGTTTAAGCCGCGCCAGCCTGACCCAGCGTATGCAGGCCTTCGGCTACACCCAGGAAACCATGCAGTTCATGCTGCTGCCAATGATCAGTGAACTCCGAGATCCGCTGGGGTCTATGGGTAACGACGCTGCGCTGGCGGTGATGTCTGAAAAACCGCGCATGCTGTACGACTATTTCAAGCAGCGCTTTGCTCAAGTAACTAACCCCGCCATCGATTCGATCCGCGAAGAAGTCATCATGGCTCTTGAGTGTTATATCGGACCGGAAAAAAATCTCCTCGAAACCACGCCAGAGCATGCGCACCGGTTGCATGTACCCCATCCGATTCTGTCTAACTCAGAACTGGCGTCGCTCAAGCACATGGATTATCGAGGCTGGCGCAGCCGGACCATCGACATCACCTACCCGGCGGACTCTGGCGAGGTGGGTCTCATCGAAGCGTTAGACCGGGTAAATGCTGAAGCTCAGCTGGCCATTGATTCAGGTGACAGCTTAATCATCCTGTCTGACCGTGAAATTAATCCATCGAGGGTGCCTATCGCTTCTCTGCTGGCGGTCGGCAGCGTGCACCAACATCTGGTATCGACCCACGCGCGATCGCGTATCGGTATTGTGCTTGAAAGCGGTGAAGCCCGTGAGGTTCACCACCATTGCCTGCTGGCAGGTTATGGGGTTGATGCGATTAACCCCTACCTTGCTTTCGAAGCGCTCTGGGATGCCCGTAATCAGGGGCACTTTGATAACGTTGACCACGTTCACAACGATGAAGACGTGGTCGCCGCGTATAAAAAAGCGGTTGCCAAAGGCATGCTCAAAGTCATGGCTAAAATGGGTATTTCCACCCTGCAGTCTTATAAAGGCGCACAAATCTTCGAAGCCGTCGGCCTGGCGAGTTCCGTTATTGCCAAAGCTTTCTCGGGCACAGCCAGCCGCGTTGAGGGTGTCGGCTTCGACGTCCTCAGCGAGGAAATGGAAAAGCGTCATGCCCTCGGTTTTCCCGCACGCAACGTTGTGCCGCTGACTGTGCTGCCCAATCCCGGCGATTTCCACTGGCGCCGCAATGGTGACACGCACATGTGGGACCCTCAGGCTGTGGCCAGCCTGCAAAGTGCCGCCCGCACCAATAACGAAGATGCGTACTGGCAGTTCGCCAAGCACATGAATGAAGAGAACACCCGCAACGCAACCCTGCGCGGACTTCTGGCCTTCAAACCAGGTGGCGAAGCCATTGCGTTGGAGGAGGTTGAAAGCGAGCAGGACATCGTCAAACGTTTTGCCACCGGCGCCATGAGTTTTGGCTCGATCAGTGCCGAAGCACACGAATCTCTGGCCATTGCAATGAACCGCATGGGTGGCAAATCGAATACCGGTGAAGGTGGCGAAGACGCCGCGCGGTTTACGCCTATGGCAAATGGCGACTCCAAACGCTCCGCCATCAAGCAGGTGGCCAGTGGTCGCTTCGGGGTAACGATTAACTACCTGACCAATGCTGACGAATTACAGATCAAGATTATTCAGGGCGCCAAGCCTGGTGAAGGCGGCGAATTGCCGGGCACCAAGGTGGATGACTACATTGCGAGCCTGCGGCACTCAACGCCGGGCGTTGGCCTGATCAGCCCACCACCGCACCATGACATCTACTCTATCGAAGATATGGCGCAGCTGATTCACGACCTGAAGAATGCTAACCCGAGCGCGCGTATCAGCGTCAAGCTGGGTGCAGAGATTGGCGTGGGTACAGTCGCCGCTGGCGTCACCAAAGCCCGTGCGGATCACCTGGTGATTGCCGGTGATACAGGTGGTACCGGCGCCTCGCCACTGACATCCATCAAACATGCCGGCGTCCCCTGGGAACTGGGTATTGCCGAAACCCACCAGACCCTGGTGCTCAACAACCTGCGTTCGCGTGTGGTTCTGCAGACCGACGGCCAGCTGAAAACCGGTCGAGACGTTGCCATTGCGGCACTGCTTGGCGCTGAAGAATTTGGCTTTGCCACCGCGCCACTGATTGCACTGGGCTGCATTATGATGCGCAAATGCCACCTCAACACCTGCCCTGTGGGTATCGCAACCCAGGATCCGGAGCTGCGTAAAAAATTCACCGGCTCACCAGAGCACGTTGTGAACTACCTGTTTATGGTGGCAAAAGAACTGCGACAGATCATGGCCGAACTGGGCATGCGCAAACTGACAGATATGGTTGGCCGGGTTGATCTGCTTGAAGTAGATGAAGCGGTTAAACACTGGAAAGCCAAAGGCCTGGATCTCAGCCAGATTCTGGCGCCGGCTAAAATTCCTGCAGAGTTCCTTGGCGCCCATGCCATTCACCAGCAGGACCATGGACTGGACAAAGCGCTGGATAACGAACTCATGCGCCTGGCTGAACCCGCCATTAAAAATGGTGAGAAGGTTTATGCCGAACTTGCGATAGTGAATACAAATCGTGTTGTGGGCGGCATGTTATCCAACAAGATTATCCGCGAAGTTGGACCGCAGATGCTGCCCGATGGCGCCATCCACTTTAAGTTCGATGGCAGCGCCGGACAGTCTCTGGGCTGCTGGCTGGCAAAAGGTGTGACCCTGGAAGTCGAAGGCGACGCTAACGACTTTGTTGGCAAAGGTCTCTCCGGCGGGCGTGTTGTCATCTATCCGCCGAAAAACAGCTCATTTAAAGCAGAAGACAATATTCTTATCGGCAACGTCGCTCTTTATGGGGCCACGTCTGGAGATGCGTATTTCCGTGGTGTTGCCGCCGAACGTTTCTGCGTCCGTAACAGCGGTGCATCTGCTGTTGTTGAAGGTGTTGGTGACCACGGCTGTGAATATATGACCGGCGGTCGGGTTGTCATTCTGGGTAAAACCGGTCGTAACTTTGCCGCAGGCATGAGTGGCGGCATCGCCTACATATGGGATCCCCATGCAGAATTTGCGCCGGCCTGTAATATGGAGATGGTGGCATTGGAGACGGTAGTCGCCGATGAAGACATTGCCGAACTACAACAACTGATCACGAATCACGCGGAACTCACCGGTTCCACTGTGGCTCAGCGATTGCTGGGCGACTGGTCTAACAGCGTTGGCCAGTTTGTTAAAGTTATGCCAACAGACTACAAACGCGTGCTGGAAGCACGCAAACAACAGGTCAGCGCCGGCTGAAGCAGTGGCTTCAGCTCAGACCCGCGACAACATTAAGAAGAAATAAAAGAAAGTATGGGCAAAGTAACAGGATTTATGGAGTTTAAGCGCAAGGCAGAGCCCTATCGGGACCCTGCAGTGCGACTACTCGATTTCAACGAAATTTATACCGATCACGATGAAACTCATCTGCAGACCCAGGGCTCACGCTGCATGGACTGTGGTGTACCCTTCTGTCAGTCTGATGAGGGCTGTCCGGTTTATAATCTGATCCCGGAGTGGAATGATCTGGTTTATAAAGGCCAGTGGCGCGATGCACTCGACCGATTGCATAAAACCAACAACTTCCCTGAGTTCACCGGACGCGTGTGTCCAGCACCGTGTGAAGGCGCCTGTGTCTTAGGCATCACTGATCCAGCGGTTACCATCAAGAACATAGAGATGGCGATCATCGACCGTGGGTTTGCTGAGGGCTGGGTAGTCCCCAACCCACCAGAGCAACGCACTGGTAAAAAAGTAGCCATCGTCGGCTCCGGCCCTGCCGGTCTTTCCGCTGCCGACCAGCTCAACAAAGCTGGTCACAACGTCACCGTATACGAGCGCGCCGACCGTATTGGCGGCCTGTTGATGTACGGCATTCCGAACATGAAGCTGGCAAAAGACGAGGTTGTTGAGCGACGCGTAGGCATCCTGCGCGAAGAAGGCATTGAGTTTGTCACCGGCGCCGAAGTTGCTGATGGCAACAATGGCACCACTTCAATTGCGAGCCTGCGTGAAAGCTTTGATGCGGTTCTACTGGCGACCGGCGCAACCATTCCAAGAGATCTGCCTATACCCGGACGCGATTTCACCGGCGTTCACTTTGCTATGGAATTTCTCACGGCCAACACTAAAAGTCTGCTCGACTCAAAACTGGCAGACGGCAACTACATCTCTGCCAAAGACAAAAACGTTATTGTCATCGGTGGCGGCGACACCGGTACAGACTGCATCGGCACTTCTCTGCGCCACGGCTGCAAGTCTCTGGTTAATTTCGAGCTGTTCCCGCAACCGCCGGAATCTCGCGCTGCAAACAACCCCTGGCCAACATGGCCAAAGATCTTCCGTGTGGACTATGGCCACGAGGAAGCCTCTCAGGTTCAGGGCAGTGACCCCCGGGTTTATTCCATCTCATCTCTGAACTTCATAGGCGATGACAACGGTCATGTGACAGGCGTACGTACCATTGAAGTCAAAATGATCGACGGCAAAATCGAAAACATACCTGGTACGGAAAAAGACTGGCCCGCCGACCTCGTGTTACTGGCCATGGGCTTTCTGGGACCTGATCACAACGTCAGCGACCCGCTTGAGCTTGAATACGACGAACGGTCAAATTTCAAGGCGGACTATGGCAAGTACGACACCAACGTCGGCAAAGTATTTGCCGCTGGAGACTGCCGTCGCGGTCAATCGCTGGTTGTACGGGCCATCAATGAAGGGCGCGAAGCCGCACGTGAAATCGATCGATATCTGATGGGGTCAACCCAGCTGCCTTAGGGGTTTGCGCGCGGTTCAGTCAGCTAACCCTGGCGGTTGCTCCGCACCGTGTCCTGCACCAGGCTGAGGGGCCGTACCCACGGTTTTATGGACGCCATTTCTCCGCTGAAACCTGCCACCGCGGACTGAGCTGCTTCGCGACTGGAAAACACACCGTAAATAATGACATACAAGGTGCGATTATCGCGCTGCATCTGATACCAGGCAAAATCTGAAGTATCTGTCTGCCGATTCATAAACGCTTCAGCGCGTGCCGCCGTAGACAGCGACAACAGCTGCAAGGTAAAGCGATTTGGATCCTGCTGCAGTATCCAGCTGGCTGACTTGAAAGCACCGTCTGGCAACGGGCTGGATTCCACCACGGGAATAGCGCTCACCGGAGCTGGTTCAGGCTCAGGTTCAGGTTCAAGCTGTACGCTGACTTGCACTTCAGTCTCAGTATCGCGCTCGACAGGTATAGCTGTGACGGTTTCGGTTTCCGAGGCAAGGACTGGTTCATCGAGCGGCTCAACCAGAGGTTGTTGATCAGCAGGCTGAGGCTGCTCTCCGGCACGCTGAGGCTCTAACTCCGTGGGCACATCAACCTCTACGTCAGCCTCAACCACCAGCGGCGTGTCCACGGCTTGATCAGCAAAGGGCGAAGTAAGGTCTATTACCTCTTCGGTTGATACTGCAGGTTCATCCGGCATTAAAGGAACCGTTTCCGTTTCAACTAGCTCAACCGGGCTATCCTGGGGCTGCTGAACAAACAAATAAACTAACCCCATCAACACAACCAGCATGATGGCCAACGCTGCATGGGTCATCGGGAACCCACTTCCCTGCTTACGCGTCTCGCCACTTTCCATATCTGTTAAAAGCCTGTTTGCAATGCTATCGACCACACTAGGGTTACCGCCGGAGCGCTGCACAATTTTATCCAGCTGCTCATCCGTGAAAGGCAGTCTGCCGCGATATTGAGCCTGCCGGAAGCGCCATTCCAGATAATTTCTGATCTCCGCCTTGGGGAAACCGGTAATTCGAATTTCGAACCATTCAAGCTCCTGGTCTTGTGCAATTTCACCAAGCATCGAAATTTTCGATGCCTCAGTGAACAAAAGCAAACGCAAAGCCGATGCACCAACCAGACTCATGAGTTGTTCCAGGGCCTGAGCATCCAGTAGGTGAGCGTCGTCGACCATCACCATACAGATACGACCCATGGCGTCCTGTTCGTTCACATGGGTTGCGATCAACCTGGACAGATCAGCAGTATGCGCGTTTGCCTGGGCGGCCACACCAAACCCCTGCAACATTCCCACCAGCACTTCGCGCTGGGTGGTCACCACAGTGCCTGAAAGCCGGGCCGCTTTTGTGTTGGGTTCCAGGCTACTGGAAAGCTCACGAAACAGGCTGGACTTGCCGATACCAAACGGGCCGGAGACCACCAGAATACGGCGCGACCACTGACTCAGATGACGCAGGTGATCCAGGTGGGTCTTCCGATCTGCTCCGATAAAAAAACCTTCCCGCGGCGGGGTAAACGGATTGTGCGACAGCCCTAAGAACGTTTTCTGATTCATTGCTGCACCATCAACTCGTTCAGCTGCAGAACTCATTGAGTACATCTTCAAGATGAGACGCAGCAAAGCGGTCAGCTACCAAAGCCGTGCCTATTTCAGCACTCAGGACAAAACGAAGTTTGCCATTCGCCGCCTTTTTATCCATGCCCATGGCGCTCAACATATCAGTAACCGATGCCGGTTCAGAAAGGCTGACCGGCAGATCAAAGGCAACCAGCAGTGCAATCAACCGTTGCACCTGCTCTGCCGGAAAATCACAGACTTTCTGCGAGAATCTGGCGGCCATAACCATGCCAATGGCCACCGCCTCGCCATGCAGCCAGGTGCCATAACCGGCCAGGTTTTCTATGGCGTGGCCAAAAGTATGCCCGAAATTCAATAGTGCACGCACACCGCCTTCGCGCTCATCCCGGGCCACAACGTCTGCTTTTATTTCACAGGAGCGTTGAATCACATATGCCAGGGCTTCAGGGGAACGTTGCTGGAGTGAGGTGACGTTGTTCTCCAGCCAGTCGAAAAAGACAGCATCAGCGATCACCCCATACTTCACAACCTCAGCCAAACCTGCCGCATACTCCCGGGCAGGCAGGGTGCTCAGCACACCGCTGTCGATGACCACCGCCCTGGGCTGATAAAACGCGCCGATCATATTTTTCCCGGCAGGGTGGTTAACCGCAGTTTTTCCGCCCACAGATGAATCAACCTGAGCAAGGAGCGTGGTCGGAATGGCCACAAAATCTACACCGCGCTGAAAGGTTGCCGCCACAAAACCGGTCAGGTCACCAACCACACCACCACCTAACGCAATCAGACACGTAGTTCGGTTATGCCGATGCTGCATGAGGAAATCCATGGCTGCCTGATAAGTCGCCAGGCTTTTGAACTGCTCACCATCACCCATCACAAATGTATCGACCTGACGGCCTGTGAGCGCCTGGCGCACCTGATCGCCGTATAACTGATTGAGGGTGTCATTGGTAAACACAACAACCTGCTGGCTTTTAATAATATCCTGCAGAAAAGCCTGCAAGGTGTCCGGCTGCAACAGTCCATTGCCAATCACTATCGGGTAGCTGCGTTCCGCCAGTTCAACTCTTACTGTGTGCACTTTATTGTTTTACCTGTCTATTCAATCTGGTGATCAGCGCGCAACTGCGTAACAATTTTTTGCACGAGGCTTTTCACACTTTGCTGATCCGATATAAACCTATAATCAGATATTTCGTCATATAGCGGTGCACGCTCGTGCACCAGCCTGGTTAGAATCTCTTCAGGATTATCACCCTGCAACAGCGGTCGCTTTTTATCATTGCGGGTACGCGCTAACAAGCGGCGCAGAGGACAATCCAGGTGAATAACGATGCCGCGGGTGGCGAGGTTCTGGCGATTCGCAGCGCGTTTTACGGCCCCACCACCTGTTGCCACCACAACACCCCGCATTTGCGAGAGTTCATCAATAACGTGCTCTTCGCGATCGCGGAAACCCTTTTCTCCTTCAACATCGAATATCCAGGAAACCTCCGCACCCGCGCGCAATTCAATTTCAGCATCAGAATCGTAGAACGGCATTTCCAGTGTTTCAGCCAGGGTTCTACCAACCGTTGACTTACCGACGGCCATTAATCCAACCAGAAATATATTTTTTTGTGTCATAAAAAACGGCGCCTAAGGGGCGCCGTTTAGTGTACACCGTTGCGCGGTTATCGCGCAGTCGATTTACCTGTCAGTCAGGGCATCCGAAATGATTCGCGGAGTGATGAAGATCAACAGCTCCTACTTGTCATCGCGCTCTACTGTGCGCTTGAACAACCGTCCGACGTAAGGGATATCACCCAGAAATGGGGTCTTGGTGGTCGAGACGTTTTTGTCGGTCTGGAAAATACCGCCCAATACAATCGTCTGACCATTGTCTACCAGAACCTCGGTTTGAATTTCGTTGGTGTTGATTGATGGCACACCGTTGAACACCGTACCCACCGTATCCTGCTTCACGTTCAACTGCATGATGATGCGATCATCAGGCGTGATCTGCGGGGTTACTTCCAGAGACAGCACAGCATCTTTGAAAGAAGTTGAGGTTGCACCACTGCTGGTCGCTTCCTGGTATGGAATCTCAACACCAGACTCGATCACAGCTGGGCTCTTGTCAGCGGTGATGACCTTCGGACGCGCCACGACTTCAGCGTGACCGTCTGTCGCCAGAGCCGACAGCTCAAGGTCGACCAGATAGCCTGCCCGGGTAATACCCAGACCGATACTGGAAGCGCCTGCCTGAGCAACACCCAGGTCGACAACCAGGTCGCCGGGTACCGAAATATCGCCAGTGCCGTCTACTAGAATATTGGAAAGCTCCACCAGGGTATCCAGCGATCCGCCGTAACGCACGGCTGTGCCACCGTTCTGGTTGATGCCACCACCGCCCCAGCGGATGCCCATCTGCTCAGCAAAGTTAGCATTTGCTGTGACAATTCGAGCCTCAATCAGAACCTGGCGTACAGGCACATCAAGCTGTGCAATCACGCGACGAAACTCTTCCAGGCGATCAGCTGTATCGGTGAGGATAATGGCGTTTGTACGTTCATCAACAATCACGCTTCCGCGTTCAGACAACATAGTCTGACCTTGCGCGCCACCGCCATTAAACAGGTTGAACAGTTCAGAGGCTGACGCGTAGCGAATCTGTATGAAGTCAGTGCGTAACGGTGCCAGTTCGGAAATCTGTTTCTGATTTTCCAGCTCAAGTTTTTCACGTGCGGCAATCTCTGCAGCCGGCGCTACCAACAAGACATTACCGACCTGACGCTGATCCAGACCCTTAGTCTTAAGGATGAGCTCCAGAGCCTGGTCCCAGGGTACATTCTTCAGGCGCAGGGTGATGCGACCACTGACGGTATCAGACGCCACCAGGTTCAAATCTGTAAAGTCTGCAATCAGCTGCAAGACTGAGCGTACTTCGATGTCCTGGAAGTTCAGGGATAGTTTTTCGCCAGTGTACTTAAAGATGTCGTCGCGCTGATTCAGCTCTTCTTCAGTCATTGGCGTGACATCGATGGACATTGTGTTATCAGCTTGATAAGCCAGGTAATCGTAGTTGCCGGTCGCTGCTATGGTGAACACCGTGTTGTCACCTTCCTGCAGGGCATCGATGATTTGCACAGGTGTTGCGAAATCGGTGACATCCAGGCGACGGCGCAGTTCTGTTGGCAAACTGGTATTGCGCACTTCTACGCGAATCCGGCCTGAATCACCTGAAACGTTAATAGGTGCTTTAGGGTTGCTGAGGGTCAGTACGATGCGACCTTCACCACCTTCACCGCGACGGAAGTCCACATTTTCGATGGTTGAACCGCGCATCGCGGCAGGCGCCGGGCGACTGTCATCGGCAACGTCCATGGTTTGTGTGTTACTTGGCTGGCCGGAACTTGCGGTACCCACAGTCAGATACAGGGTATTACCCTGAACACTAGTTTCGTAGCTCACCAGTTGGGTCAGGTTCACAATAGCGCGGGTACGGTCTTTGGTGCTGACCACCGAAACACGCCGAGCGTTACCAATACCGAGATTGTGATGCTTCTCATCCAGTGCACTGACCACACCAGGCAGGTCCAGCACGATGCGTGCGGGCTGCTCAATGGTATAGCCTTTGGGATCTGGCGGCGTACCGTCAAATTCCATACGTATTTCCGTACGATCACCAGGTAGCGATGAAAAGTCGATGTTCTCCATCGTCACGGCCCAGCTCTGCGTGGCCACCAGGCTTATTGCGCCGGCTATACACAGCGGAACGACTCGGCTCGCCCATCCAGTAAAATTCTTAAACATCATCTTCATCCTTTATGCTCCAGCCGCCAGCGAAACGGTTCGCTCTCGCTCTACCCAACCACCGGTCCCGTCAGGAACAATTTCTATCAATTCAATGCCCGTATCGTTCACCGCCAGAATGCGTCCGTGATCGGTACCCATAAAATCACCAGGCTGTACCCGATGCACGCCGCCATTACCGTCTTGAATCAGCGCGTAGGTAACAGGACCTTGAGCCAAAGTACCCACCATCGCCAGACGGCCAATGGTGAACTGCTCAAGAAACTGTTTAACCCGGTTGAAGTCAGGCGTGACCTTTGGCCCATCCTGGCGGTCAACCTGCTTCAATACAACTGGCGGATCAAACGGACTGCGTTTGTTACTGGCCAGATACTTGAACGGTTTAAATGTTTCAATCGGCGGCAGCGGCTCAATACGACCCTTGGGGCGTGAGTCAACTTCATCCATAAACGCATTCAGATCGGAATAATCAACGTTTGGGCTACAACCACCCAACATGACCAGAACAAACGCGCTCATCAATATCTTAGGCGCTCGCATTAACCCGCCTCCTCTAGATAACGATACGTCTTCGCGGTGATTTCCATACGCAAACCCAGATTGTCTCGTATCGGGTTAATCTGGAAGTCGTGCAGGGTCACAATCCGTGACAGGTTCGCAACGCCACTGACAAATGAACCAAGCTTGTGGTAATCCCCTTCAACAACGATGCTGATGGGCAGTTCGATATAAAATTCGGTTCGATTTTCGGGTTCCAGATCGATACTTTCGATGGTTAACTCATTGTCGATTGCTGTGCGTGTGATGTCTTCCAGCAATCCGGGCACTTCCGTGTCACTGGGCAATTGCCGCAACAACGCACCAAAGGCATCTTCCATCTCGCGCTTCTGTATGCGCAGCGCGTCCAGGTTGGCGGCAAGCCCAGCCTTATCTTCATACTCTGCGCGTAGATCAACCTCTTTAGCCTGCTCGACTTCGAGGTTTTTCTGCTTATCGGTCACATGCCAGTAGTAACCGACACCTAACACCAGAGCAAACAAGATAGCCATAAAGATGGCTTTTACAACGCCGGGCCACGAACCGATATTGTTTATATCAAGATCGCTGAAATCGACAGATTGAATCTGTTTGAGGGTATCCTGCATAGCCATTAGAGGTTCTCCTCTTCAGTGCTCTGCTTCGGATTGGATTGCAGAAAACTCAAATCAAACGTTGAAGCCTGCTCACCATAGTCCGAATTTGTTGGATCTTCTTTAATGCTCTTGAGATTCGGCTGGGTAAACCAGTCTGATCCATCAAGGTTCCGCATCAATGCTGAAATCCTATTGTTAGATTCAGCGACACCCGAGACTGACAGCATGTTGCCTTCATACTCCAACTTCTTGTAATGCACGCCTTTAGCCAGCGTCTGCACGACCTCATCAAAGACGCGCACAATAACCGGCCGGTTACCCTGCAGTTCATTGATAACACGCATTCGCGCCAGCAGATCTTCACGCTGCTTACGCAACATCTGTATCTCGGCGATTTTCTCATCCAGAACTTTGATCTTTCCGGTTAAGAATGTGTTGCGGCCCTGTTGGCCCTCAATCTCATTGTCCAGGTACATCCCTGCACCAAACACCAACAATACGCCTACCAGCAGCACCGCACCCAGCTGAGTCAGAAACTCTTTCTGTTTGCGCTCGCGCTCCCATTCACGCCATGGCAGTAAGTTAATATTCGCCATTATGTGAAACTCCTCATTGCCAGACCGCACGCGATCATTAACGCCGGGGTGTCGTTAGACAGGGCCTCAGCATCCACTCTGGAAGCTAAAGACATGTTAACAAACGGGTTGGCGATGATCGTGGGTGTACCGAGTTTAGACTCGATCATGTCACCGAGGCCTTCAATGGAGGCCGTACCCCCTGCCAGCACAATGTAATCTACGTCGTCGTATTGCGAGGATGAGAAGAAAAATTGCAGGGACCGTGTCACCTGCTGCAGTACAGCTTCTTTGAACGGCTGTAATACTTCGTCTTCGTAGTCATCCGGTAGACCACCTTGTTTTTTCGCCAAACCTGCCTCTTCAAAAGACAGACTGTAGCGACGCTGGATTTCTTCCGTCAGCTGTTTGCCACCAAACAACTGCTCTCTTGTGTATATGGCCTTATCATCGGCAAGTACTGACAACGTCGTCATGGTTGCACCGATATCGATAATGGCGACCACCAGGTCTTCCGGGTTATCCCCCAATTGGGGCTTAACCAGATCGAATGCCCGTTTCATAGCGTGAGCTTCAATGTCAACCACCGCAGCCTTCACACCACCAAGATCGAGCGCCGCTTCGCGCATCTCTACATTTTCTTTGCGACAGGCGGCTAACAGCACTTCGACCTGTTCCGGGTTTCGATCTGACAGACCGAGCACCTCAAAGTCGATGGCCACCTCATCTAAGGGGTAGGGAATGTATTGATCGGCTTCCACCGTGATCTGATTTTCCATTTCGTCATCGGACAACTCAGCGTCCATTTCAATGGTCTTGGTGATCACCGCGGAACCGGCAACCGCAACCGCCGCAGCTCTACTGCTGGTTTTGGAGCGACTGATAACACGTTTTATGGCATCACCTACACCCTCCACGTCGCTGATGTTCTTTTCGACAACAGCATTCGGAGGTAAAGGTTCCACCGAGTACGACTCGACGCGATATGAGTTGTTGGTCTGTGAAAGCTCTAACAGCTTTACCGACGTCGAACTAATATCGAGTCCAAGCAGAATATTCGTTTTCTTTCCAAACAATGCCACGTTAAATTTCCTTAAATGGCGCGGGCACTTACGTCCTATACATGCAGCGAATCATTAAATAACAGACTCGACTTTAGAGCAATCAACGCCTAGCCTATTTTGCTCGCACTCCCACTCAACATTGAGGTTAATTTGTGTCTGCCTTATGTCCGACATGTAGTTAGAATTTCCCTTTCGTTTACAAGCCCAGCAACTTGACAAAATACCTGACACAAAAATCAAGCTCAGTCCTGCAGACTATTATGTGGCTCACCCTCGCAGGTTTATGTGCCGCAGTCCTCAGTCTAGCGGGGACCTATCTTTATTTGGATCCACAGATACCAAAACCAGAGACTTACCGTAACGTAAAGCTTGAAACCCCTCTGCGCATTTACGCAAAAAACGGCGCGTTGTTGGCCGAGTTTGGTGAACGCCGTCTCATTCCCATAACCTTAGACCAAGTACCCCAACACTTCATCAACGCGCTTTTAGATACTGAAGACAAACGCTTCTATGAACATAGCGGCATCGACTTCATATCCCTGGCCAACGATGCCCTGGCTCTGGTTGGGACATTTGTCACAGAAGGGGAGCTTGGCGGCGGAGCCAGCACCATCACCATGCAGCTGGCGCGTAATGTTTCATTCAGTCTTGAACAACGCTTTTTACGCAAGTTCAAAGAGATGCTGCTGGCGCTGAAAATCGAACGGGAACTGAGCAAAGACGAAATCCTTGAGCTTTATATTAATTTAGTCCCTTTTGGCAAACGTGCCTATGGTGCTGAGGCCGCAGCACGTACCTACTATGGCAAATCGTTGCAGGCGCTGGAGCTTGCGCAACTGGCGATGCTGGCGGGCATTCCACAAGCACCCACCGCTGGTAACCCTATCAACGGACCCGAGCGCGCGCTGAGACGTCGCAACCTGGTGCTTTCCCGCATGCTTGCGCAGGATTCCATCACACGCGAAATGTATGACCAGGCCCGCAATGCACCGATATCCGCTCAAATTTACGCCCGGGAGCTGGACGTACCCAGTCCTTACGCGGCGGAATGGGTTCGGCAGCAGGCGGCAGCACTCCTGCCGGATCTGTATACCGGCGGCTATGAAATCGACACCACAATTGATGGCGATTTGCAGGCTGAGGCTATTGCAGCGCTGAGGCGAGGACTGCATAACTACGATGAGAAACATGGTTATCGCGGCGCAGAAGCCCAGGTGCCTGAGGATCTGCTGGCCCAACTGACTGCAGCAGCACCAGAACTGTTACTGGACCCTGCCGGCGACTACCCACAGCCACTGACTAACGAAGTTGCCAGCTTCCTGCAGTCCAAAGATCGATATGGTGGTATGGAACCCGCCATAGTTCTGGCTGTTAACGATGAAATTGCCGTTGTTCAGCACAACACGGATCAGCTGACTATAGTAAAGCTCGCTGACAGCACCTGGGCACGCACCTACATCAACGTCGATCGGCGCGGGCCTGCGGTGGACAGTCTGACCAGCGTCCTGGCGGTCGGCGATCAGATACGTCTACGCGAGAAAGTAGATGCCGAACAAGGCTCTGTACTGGTGTTATCTCAGTTACCGGAAGTGCAGGGCGCGGTGATTTCCCTTGATCCCAAGACCGGTGCGGTGCGTTCGCTGGTGGGTGGCTACGATTTCTTTCGCAACCAGTACAACCATGCGCTGCAGGCGGCCCGTCAACCAGGCTCCGGGTTCAAGCCACTGGTTTACTCCGCTGCCATTGAAGAAGGCATCACACCGGCCGACATTTTCATGGATGCCCCACTGGTGTTTGACGATGAAAATCTGGAATCTCAATATCGACCAGACAACGATAACAACCGCTACAACGGCCCTACCCGCCTGCGCGAAGCCCTGTATCGCTCTATCAATCTCGTTTCGATGCGGGTGTTGTTAAAGGCCGGTGCCGGTGATGTCATCGATCATGTGGCCAAATTTGGTTTTGATACCCGCACCTTCCCGCGCAATACACAACTCGCCATCGGCGGCGGTACTATGGCCGTTACCCCCATCGAAATGGCCCGAGCTTATGCGGTTTTCGCCAACGGCGGTTATCTGGTGGACCCACACATCATCACCCGGATTCGAGACGGTGAGGGCAACGAAATTGTCCGTGCTAACCACCCGGTGGTCTGCAAATCCTGCGAAGCAGAGTTATTTGCGCAAGAATTTGCCAAAGAGGCCCGCGACCAGCAGCCTCTGGAAGCCGAGCCTGCCAGTTTAGAAGCCTTACTGGCTGAATCGGAATTGACTGAATCAGATAATCTGCCTGCCTTATCCGCTGGTGACCAGGAGGGCAGAGACATTACTGAAATCGATGTTGCTGATACAAATATCGACGACCCCATCAATCCGCAAGCCGCAGAGGGTCCCATCCGGTTGCCTGAACCCGAGGTGTTGCTGGCTCCCAGAATTCTCGATGAACGCAACGCCTATATCATGAATTCCATGCTGCAGGACGTTATCAAACGCGGCACTGGTCGCGCCGCCCGCCGACTGCAACGCAACGATCTGGCAGGTAAAACTGGCACCACCAACGACGCCGCAGACACCTGGTTCAACGGCTACAATTTATCCCTGGTCACCACAGTCTGGGTAGGGTTCAGCAACCACGACCCACTGGGTGCAAGGGCTTACGGTTCAAACACCCCATTGCCCATCTGGATCGATCTTATGGAAGAGGCGCTGGCGGGTGTCCCCGAACTATTGCCCGACCAACCACCCGGCCTTGTCACAATGAAAATTGACCCGACAACCGGCGAGGTTGCTGCGCCGGGTCAACGTGGGGCTATTTTTGAGTACTTCCTGCGAGAATTTGCACCAACCAGTCAACCCGAAGTTCGAATACCGGGTCAGACGCGTCAACCGGGACAGGCAGCGCCGGAGGACATCAACGCCATAGATCTGTTCTAGCGGTTATTCAACCAGCTTGATGTAGTCGCCGGCTCGCGGTTCCCCTCTGGGGTGATGGCCGTTCAGAACCCGCAGGGTTTCTTCGCCGTGACTTTTTAATGGAATGCCGCGCGCCAGTTGGGCATAGGTCTGTCCGGGTTCTGCAACAACAACTTTCAACTTCTGGTTATTGATCAAACGCAGATCTGCGGCTGTCATCGCGCGAAAAGACATAACGGTCTCGCGGAACTGCTCTTCAAACACCTCCGGGTCACCGGTTTTGCCCAATTCACCGTTAAACAGATACACACCACCGTCTTTGTAAATCACGGCAATTTTACGCTTTTGCGCATCACCCGAAGACACTTCTATATCCGCCCAGTAACCGCTGTACGGTCCGACCTGGATCGCTTCCCCATCCTGCAGATCATCTCGGCGTAAGGTTTTGGTCAGGTACTCTTCCGGCGTTTGATTTTCTTCTGGAGGAGATGCCCGTTTAACGCCAATTTGCGCGTCGTCACCAGGCTTGGGCGGGGAACCAAAAACCTCAACTGACGTTGTTTGCACATCCCAGCCTTCGGGAAATTCCAACAGCAAGCGCAAAGCACCGTGATAGTAGACGCCGTCTTTGACCACACCGGCAGCCGATTCATCGCCGTACGTCAGGCCAGCCAACATCTCAAAAAAGTCGCGCTCCGGCTCTGCCAACTCCTCCAGGACAATACCCTGGGACTGGGCTACCAGTTCGTGGATGCGTTTCTCGTGAGCTGGGTGAGAACCGAGGATGCCATGATAGACCGCAGGGCGATTGTTTATGGTGCGCTGGAAGTCATCGTGATCTCGCAGCATCTGGATACTGTTCAACAAACCACGCGGATCGTAGCCGGCGTCCGCCAACCAGCTTGCACCGTATTCATCCGCTTCAAGTTCATATTCTCGACCATAACCCGCAAGCGAGGCCTGGGTCAGCGTATTGGCTAGACCGTATGTTGCACTCGTACCCGTTGCGAACGTACCCAGCCAACCGAGCAATTCGCCTAAACGGGCGCGACTGACTTTACGTTTACCATGCCGTCCGACGACGTGGCCAATTTCGTGGCCGATAACCGCTGCCATTTCGTCTTCGCTGTTGAAGTGCGCAAGGATGCCCCGGGTGACAAAGATATAAGCGTCGGGCGTGGCAAAGGCATTGACCATGGATTGATCAGTAACCGTAAACGTGTAGTTGTGGCCTGCGTGCGGACTTACAGCCAGAATACGTTCTCCAACCTCAGTGACGTAGTCCTGCCACTCCTGGTTAGGGTAGATCAGCTCTTTTTCAAGAAATTCGTTGTAGGTTTCTGCGCCGGGACCCGCCCAGCTCGCTGATGGCAATGCCACCATCGCGGCTGCAATAAGGGCAGTCGTTGCTGAACGTGTAAAAATATTTGCCGAACCTTGCACCAATATGCTCCTGAACCTGCTGTGTCTTTCGACCACAAACATGCTGCAAGGTGCCATTTCAGCTAAAACTTCTTCGTCTTACAACAGCCCCAGTCAGACAGCTGGGGCCTGACCAGCTACTCTTCGCTGGCTGCAGCTTTACCGCGATTACCGAATCGCTGACGGAAGCGCTCTACACGACCACCAGAATCAATGTTCTTCTGTTTGCCGGTGTAGAAAGGGTGACAGTTGGAACAAACGTCAAGGTGAATGTCTTCGCCCAGCGTCGAACCCACTTCGATCACGTTGCCACAGCTACACGTGGCTTTTACTGTTTGATATTGCGGATGGATTTCGGGCTTCATGTCGCTGACCTTTGTCCAGAACTGAAAATAAGGGCGGCGTACTCTACCAGAAGTGTTGCCAATGGCAACCACCAGACATCGACCTCTTCCTCCCGCAGACCGCTCTGAAATACACTGGGAGGAGGCTACCGCAAAGTTACACTAGGGCTTCACCCGAACCTGATGCGACAATAACCGCATGCCTGTCCCCAGCCGCGTTATTCAAGTTGCCGTACCTCGACCGCTACATGCGGTTTACGACTACCATGTGCCTGAAACTCTACCCATGCCGAGCGTCGGCACACGAGTGAAAGTCCCTTTCGCCCGGGGTACCACCGTGGGTATCTGCGTCAGCGACACCGTTGAGAACCCGCATAAAACCCTCAAAGACGTCGAAAGTGTGCTGGACACCGCAGCCATTGTCCCCGCAGAACTGATGGCGCTGGCTCACTGGATGAGCAATTACTACCACTACCCACTGGGTGAAATTTTAGCCACTGTACTGCCTGCTGCTGCCCGTCGTGGTGCCACCTGCAGCATCGACCCTCCAGATCACTGGCGTGTGTCCAGCGATGCGTTCGACAACGCACGTGCACCGGCACAAGCCGCCCTGTTCAATGATCTGCTGCAGCAGGGACCCACTGCCACCGCTGATCTGGTTGCGGCAGGCCATAGCCGCGCGACGTTGAAGAATCTGAGCAAGGGTAACTACATTGAGCGCTGTGAACCGGACATCACCCCTCCCAGTGAAACACCGCCGACCCCAACAGACGCGCAGAATACCGCCATCAAGGCAGTCGCTGCCGCCCTGAAGAGTTTTGCGCCATTTCTACTGGAGGGGGTAACCGGCAGTGGCAAAACCGAAGTATATCTGCGCACCATTGCGCCGGTTGTTGAAAGTGGCCAGCAGGTGTTGGTACTGGTGCCTGAAATCGCATTGACGCCGCAAACCCTGTCACGCTTTCAGCGCCGTTTCGGGCAGGTTGGCATGTTGCACTCCAACCTCAGTGATAACGAGCGGCTACAAACCTGGCTGAAGTGTGCTGCAGGTGAAATTTCGGTTTTGATCGGCACGCGCTCAGCGGTATTTACTCCGTTCAAAGCGCTGGGCCTGGTCATTGTTGATGAAGAACACGACAGTTCTTATAAACAGGGTGATGGATTGCGTTACTCCGCCCGGGACCTTGCCATCAAAAGGGCTCAGACTCATCAGGTGCCGGTAGTGCTGGGCAGCGCCACACCTTCCCTGGAGTCGTTATATAACGCCAATCTCGGGCGCTACCAGAAACTCGATCTGCCGTATCGGGCAGGCAACGCACAGATGCCCAGCTATCGGGTCATCGATATGCGTGGCATCCAGCACACAGACGGTATCTCTGTACCGCTGGAGCGCGTGATCCGCGACCACCTGAGAGCGCAAGGCCAGGTCCTGGTGTTTCTCAACCGCCGCGGGTTTGCACCTACGCTGTTGTGCGCGGCGTGTGGCTGGCAGGCGCATTGTTCAGATTGCGACGCGCGCTTAACCCTGCACAAAAATCCGAGCCACCTGGTCTGTCACCACTGCAGCCTGAAGTTTCAGGTACCCAAAACCTGTGAAGGATGCGGTGGCAATGGTCTGATACCCGTCGGGCTGGGCACCCAGCGCACCGAATCCGGCCTGCAGAATCTGTTCGGCGATGTACCCGTCTATCGTATCGACCGCGACACAACGCGGACCAACGCAAAGCTGGAGGCGCAGTTTGCCAAAGTGAACCAGGGTGACCCCTGCATCATGGTCGGCACCCAGATGCTGGCCAAAGGTCACCATTTCCCCAACGTCACCTTAGTTGCGGTGCTCAACGCTGACGCAGGTTTCGCCAGCGCCGATTTTCGTGCTCCAGAGCGCACCGCCCAACTGATTGTTCAAGTGGCAGGACGTGCCGGGCGGGAACAGCGCCCAGGCCAGGTATGGATACAGTCTTACCAACCTGAGAATGTTCTACTGCAGCGCCTGATCAACGAGGGCTATCCTGGTTTTGCAGCCGCTGAGCTTGCTGAGCGAGCTAAAAATGGATTCCCACCGATGCACTCAATGGCGCTGCTGCGAGCTGAATCAGCTCAGGGCCAGGAAGCCATGGAATTGCTCAACCAGCTAAAAGCACAATTAAGCGGTGTCGAAATCATGGGCCCGGTACCGGCACCCTTGGCACGCATTGCCAACCGCAATCGTTTTCAACTGATGCTATTGGCACCCAAGCGCACGCAGCTGCACGCAGCGCTGCGACGTTTGCAGATACCCAAGGTGCCGTACACACTACGTTGGTCTATTGATATTGATCCTTACGACAGTCTTTGAGCGCAGACCTCGCGAGAAGTCGCTGGTATGATGCGCGCCGCCCAGACATTTGTAGCAACTCAATAGATAAGTCTGACCTTAGAATCTGCCGTAAAAACCATGACCAAAGATTTTGCCGGTCGCACCTCCCGTGCGGCCAAACCAAAAAAGCACGTTCAGAAACGTAAACCCGCGGCACCTGCCCGCGTGTTCTTTCATGGCCCAAGCTTCACGACAGGCGCACTGGTAGGCGCTGCCATTGTCATCCTTGCGGCCTACGCACCGGATTACCTGAGTGAAAACAGCAAGGCTGGCGCAACATCAGTCACCACCGCAGCAGATCAGGCGGGGCCGACGCAACCCATGCAGTTTGATTTTCCAGACATGCTCAGAGACACCGAGGTGCTGGCAGATCCGGAACCCTACGCCGTACCGTCCACCAGCAGCAGTGATCAACCAGACGTCTGGCATATTCAGGCTGCCTCGTTTCGCGAAAAAGCAGACGCCGATGCGCTACGCGCGCGCCTGTTGCTCGATAACCTGCCGGCTACCACAGAGGTTTCCAGTGCCAATGGCAGCCAATGGCACAGAGTGGTACTGGGGCCATTCGCCCGGCGAGTAGATGCCAACCGGGCGATGACCCGCCTGCGGGAACAAGGCATTTCCGGCATGTGGCTGAACAACCACAATTGAAATGTATCTAATCCGCCCCCACTATCGGCTTTCAGGTGCTACCCATGCACCGGCTTACAACACACACTGCTCTCGGACAAGGACACCCCGAGCGCCGGCGTCGCTGGCCAGCGCAATGCAGCTTTAATCGACACGTACGAAGGGTATTTTATGGAACTGTTTCACGGCACCACCATTGTCAGCGTCAGAGACGCAACACATGTGGCTATGGGCGGCGATGGCCAGGTTTCAATTGGCGACACGGTCATGAAAGGCAACGCGGTGAAGGTGCGTAAGCTCTACCAGGGCAAAGTCATGGCCGGTTTTGCCGGTAGCACCGCAGACGCGTTCACCTTGTTTGAAAAATTTGAGGGCACCCTGGAGAAGTACGGCGGACAGCTTACCCGTTCGGCAGTTGAACTGGCCAAAGAGTGGCGCACAGATCGCGCCCTGCGGCGCCTTGAAGCCATGCTCATTGTCGCCGATCAGACCGCCACTTTACTGATCAGTGGCACCGGCGATGTGATTGAACCTGAAGCCGGCGTACTCGCGATTGGCTCGGGTGGCGCGTATGCCCGGGCAGCAGCAACCGCGCTGGCTGAAAACACAGACATTCCCGCCGCCGAAGTAGTTGCCAAAGCACTGAAAATTGCCGGTGACATCTGCATCTACACCAACCATCAACACACCATCGAAACTCTGGCACTGTAATAAATGGAAACCATGACTCCTCGTGAAATTGTCCACGAACTCAACAATCACATTATCGGGCAGGACGACGCCAAACGCGCCGTTGCCATAGCTTTGCGTAACCGCTGGCGACGGATGCAGATAGAACCCGCGTTGCGCGAAGAAATCAGCCCCAAAAATATCCTCATGATCGGTCCTACCGGCGTTGGTAAAACCGAAGTGGCCCGCCGTCTGGCGAAACTGGCGCAGGCGCCATTTATCAAAATTGAGGCCACCAAATTCACCGAAGTGGGTTATGTGGGCCGCGATGTAGACTCCATTATCCGCGACTTAACAGAAGTGGCGGTAAACATGCTGCGCGAAATCGAAATGAAGCGTGTACAGACACAGGCAGACGACCGCGCCGAAGAACGTATTCTCGACGCCCTGCTGCCTGAGCCCCGCGCGGTGGGCTTTGGCGACGACGCCGCTTCCAAGGATGGCTCCGCAACCCGCCAGATGTTCAGGAAAAAACTGCGCGAAGGCGAGCTCGACGAGAAAGAAATTGATATAGAGCTGTCGCAAATGGCCATGGGTGTAGAAATCATGGCACCGCCGGGTATGGAAGAAATGGTCAGTCAGATGCAGGGCATGTTCAGCAACCTTGGCAATAGCCGTAAAACCACCAAACGCCTGAAAATCAAAGACGCAAAAGACAAAATTCGCGAGGAAGAAGCCGCCGGACTGGTTAACGAAGAGGACATCAGGTCCCGTGCGGTAGATGCCGTTGAACAAACCGGTATTGTGTTTATTGACGAGCTGGACAAAGTTGCCAAGCGTACAGAAAACAACAGTGCGGACGTTTCCAGAGAGGGTGTACAACGTGACCTGCTGCCACTCATCGAAGGCTGCACCGTCACCACCAAATACGGCGTTGTGCGCACAGACCATATCCTGTTCATCGCCTCAGGCGCTTTTCACCTGGCCAAACCCAGCGATCTGATTCCAGAGCTGCAGGGGCGGCTGCCGATTCGGGTTGAACTCAAAGCGCTCACCCCGGAAGACTTCAAGCGTATTCTGGTAGAGCCAAATGCCAGCCTGACCGAACAGTATCAGGCGCTGATGAGCACGGAACAGATAGATCTGGAGTTTTCCGATGACGGCATAGAGCGCATTGCTCAACTGGCCTGGCAGGTAAATGAAGGCACCGAGAACATCGGCGCCAGGCGGTTGCATACGGTGATGGAACGGCTGCTTGAGAACTTGTCGTTCGAGGCTGGTGACAGCATTAAGAAACACGTCCTGGTGGACGCTGAATATGTCGATGCTCATCTGGGCGACCTGGTCAGCGACACTGATTTAAGCCGCTTTATCTTGTAGTCTTACCGCTTATGAATCCGCCAAAAAATATTACCTATCACAAAATTGGTCATACCCTGGAGTTGACCTGGGCAGACGATAATTTTGTGTTGCCAGCAGAGCTGCTGAGGGTCTACAGCCCCTCTGCGGAAGTACGCGGTCATTCGCCAGATCAGCGCAAGCTGCAGACGGGCAAAAAGAACGTGGGTATCCGGCAGATTGAGCCCGTAGGTAACTATGCAATTCGCATCGTATTTGACGATGGTCATGACAGCGGTATTTTCGCCTGGGAGTTTCTGCACGATCTGGGCAAACAGATGGACAAGTACTGGCAGGATTACATCACCGAATTAAAAACCGCTAACGCATCACGGCTACCCAGTATTCCCGTAGGACAGTGGACGCCATCGCGCCCTGGTACTTAAACCACCTCTGCTTGAAACAAATTTATGAGCGACCAGCAACAAGTTAATTTCGGTTTCAAAAAGGTCACGCCTGCGGAGAAGACCGCAATGGTTGGCGACGTTTTTAAACGCGTCGCGAAACGCTACGATGCGATGAACGATCTCATGTCTCTGGGCACACACCGCATCTTTAAGCGTATGGTGATTCAGATGTCCGGTCTGCGTACGGGACACACCGTGTTAGACCTGGCTGGTGGTACCGGCGACATGTCCGCTCTGTTTGCAGATGCTGTCGGCGATACCGGCACTGTCGTATTAACAGATCTCAATGCACAAATGATGCAGGTGGGCCGTGATCGCCTGCTCGACCAGGGCTGCGCCCAGGTTGAATTCATCCGCGCACCCGCCGAGGCACTGCCTTTTGCCGACAACACGTTCGATTGTGCATGTGTCAGCTTCGGCTTACGGAATTTCACTGACAAAGACCTTGCGCTGCGGGAGTTGCTGCGCGTCCTGAAGCCAGCCGCTGCACTGCTAGTGCTGGAATTCTCGAAACCTGAAAACCCTGCACTCAGCGCCGCCTATTCTGTTTTTCAGTCTCTCTGGCCCAGCGCAGGACAGGCAATTGCCGGTGATTCGGAACCTTATAAGTACCTGGTGGAATCCATTCGGGTACACCCCGACCAACGCGCCTTAAAGCAAATGTTTGAAGATGCTGGTTTTACGGACACCAGTTATCACAACCTGGTTGGCGGCGTAGCCGCCATTCATCGCGGCTGCAAACCCGTCTAGGGCGCTCTGACCGTGCCACAACCCGGCAACATATTTATCCAGCAGCTGATGTCGCTAGCATCTCAGGTGAGTCATCAGATCACCGCGGGTGTGCTCGCATCCGACCCTGTGACCGCTGGTCAATTTGCCGCTTTTGCCGGTCGTTGTATCGAGCTGCAAAGCCATACGCCTGCATTCACCCTGCACCTGGTTCTACAGGCTGATGGCGTGCAGACATTCTCAGGGCCTGCAGAGACACCCCACGCGATTATCAAAGGCAGCGGCCGCGAACTGATACAGGCTCTGCTACCCGGTGGCAGCCTTGATGGCTTAACAATTGAAGGCGATACAGCCCTGCTGTTTAACCTGACAACGCTGTTGAAGAAGTTCTCTCCGGATGTTGCCACGCCGCTCGGACGTTTTATCGGCGAAGCCAATGCGGCCAACCTGGTGGGTAGCGCAGAGCTTGGCCTGGCCGGCCTGAAAACGGCATTGTCAGGCTTGAGCCAGACGGTGCAGCAACAGGCGACAGGGCAATTCGTAAAAGTTAGACAATTAGATGAATTGTTAGAAGGGATTGATGGGCTGCGCTTGCGTGTGGATCGACTCGCGGCTAATTTAAGCCGGGTAGAACAGGCCAAGCGACAAGCAGATCAGCCTTGAGCAACAACTGGCGACAATCCCGCTTGATTCTAGGCCAGGTTTTCCGCCACAGGCTTGACCTGCTGATACCCGTTGAAACCATCCCCAGAGCTTTCCCGCGCTGGTGTTTAAGAACCCTGCACAAAATTCTACCGACGCCTTCCACACCACGCGGGCAACGTCTGAAGCAGGCGTTTGTCGAGCTGGGGCCAGTCTATGTGAAACTCGGACAACTGCTGTCTACGCGACGGGATCTTTTGCCGGCAGATATTGCGGACGCTCTAGCTGATCTGCAGGACAAAGTGCCACCGATCGCCAATTTCGACGTTGACAGATTTGTCAGCACACAACTCGGCACCGCCAGCGGATCGGTTTTTTCGGAGCTGCAGCACACCCCTCTGGCAAGCGCATCCATTGCCCAGGTTCATTGCGCTACGCTGAATACCGGCGAAAGTGTGGTGGTCAAGCTGGTCCGACCGGGCATTGAGCAGGCCATTGTGCAGGACATGGCCCTGCTGAAAAAACTCGCCGGTTTGATTAATAACAAGATTCCAGGGGCGCAGCGTTTGCAACTGCCCAGGGTCATGTCTGACCATGAAGACGTGTTATTGCAGGAGCTCACCATGTTTGGTGAGGCGCGCAACCAGATTCAGCTGCGGCGCAATTTTGCAGATTCCGACCTGCTCTATGTACCCCGCGTGTACCCCGAACATACCCGCGAGCAGCTGCTGGTTATGGAACGGGTTTATGGCATTCCCATCAACCAGGTTGATGAACTCAAAGCGCGTGGCGTGGACCTCAAAGTACTGGCTCACAAGGGTGTAGAAACGTTCTTCAAGCAGGTTTTTGAACACAACTTTTTCCACGCCGATATGCATCCCGGCAATATCCTGATCGATACCACCGATCCGGTTAACCCCAAATACATCGCACTGGATTGCGCCATCATCGGCAGCCTTACTGAAGCTGACCAGAATTATCTGGCGCAGAACCTGCTGGCATTTTTCCATCGTGATTATAAACGCGTGGTCAGCCTGCACCTGGAATCAGGCTGGGTGCCAGCTGACACCGATGCTGAAGAATTTGAAGCCGTGATCCGCGATGTCTGTGAACCCATTTTTGCCAAACCGCTGGCGGAAATCTCATTTGCTGAGTTTGTCATCACCCTGCTCGACACCGCTGGCAAGTTTGAAATGGAAGTTCAGCCACAGCTGGTTCTGCTGCAGAAGACACTTCTCTATATTGAGGGCCTGGGTCGTCAGCTGTACCCGGAACTGGATTTATGGGAAACCGCTCAGCCGTTCATGGAACGCTGGGCAACTCAGCACCTTGGTCCGGTTGGGGTTGTGAACGACTGGATAAATGCCGGTCCCCAGGTGTGGCAACAACTGTCGCGCCTGCCAATGGTCATGGACCATACAGAAACGGAAATTCGGGTGCTGAAAAGCCAGCTTAAACGGCAGGCATCAGGTCTGGCCCAGATTGAGAAAAACATGGCGCAAGCCGCCAGCAGGCGTCGGCTCGGCCGCCTGGCAGGTATTATTGTGCTGCTTGCCAGTGTGTGGTGGCTATGGACGCCCTTGAACCAGACGTTCGCCCAGGGTGACCTGAGCCTGTGGGCAGGGCTAGGCGGCGCACTTGTTGGTATCACACTCCTGCTGCGAACCTAATCAAAACCATGGGAATTGAAATGAGTCTGTTAGATGAACTTGCCGCGGTACTTGAAGCGCGCAAACAACAAGCCCCTGAATCTTCTTACGTTGCCAGCCTGTATCACGAAGGCACCAACCGAATTCTGCAGAAGATCGGCGAAGAATCCGCAGAATTAATTATTGCCGGTAAAGACAATTGTGCAACATCTGAGTTGCGAAATGGCAGCACACGGGATGAAGTTGTCAAAGAAACTGCGGATCTGTGGTTCCACTGCATGGTATTGCTGGCACACCAGGGGCTCAGTCATAACGAAGTACTGGCAGAGTTAGGGTCGCGTTTTGGTATCAGCGGCCACGATGAAAAAGCCAGCCGCTCCACATAAACCCGGGTAAACAAAAAATTCATCAAGGTTTCGCGACACGTCGCTGTATTACCGGGAAATAACCCTTCTATAATGCCCCTCACTACACCTCCAACACGGAAGACGTTATGTTCGGATTAGGCATGACCGAGTTACTGGTTATTCTTGCCATCGTTTTACTTATCTTTGGGCCCAAGCGTCTGAAAAGCATCGGCTCCGATCTTGGCGGCGCCATCAAAGGTTTTCGCAAGGCGGTAACCGAAGATGAAGAGACTAAACCCGAAGCGCAGGAACGCGTGATAGACGGCGATGAACAGAAGCCCGAGTCTCAGACCAGCAAGACCCAACAAGAAACAAAGATCTAACCACCCCTTATGTTAGACATTGGTGGTTTAGAACTACTACTTATTGCTGTGGTTGCACTGCTGGTCATTGGGCCAGAGCGTATGCCTGAAGCGTTGCGGACGCTGGGACTGTGGCTTGGCCGGCTGCGCCGCTCGTTTACCTCTGTGAAAAACGAGATCGAAAAAGAGATTGGCATGGACGAAGTCCGGCGCCAACTGCATAACGAATCTGTTATGGAACAGATGAAGCGCATCGAAGCGGAAGTACAGAATTCCGTCAACCCCGACTTCAACGACCCGCACCCGACCAGAGAAACTGCTGCAGAGACAAACACCGAGGCTGCAGATCCTGAGTTACCCGACGACGAACCGCCGCCACCCCCACCCAGAAGCGAAGCTGAACTGGAGGCTGAACACCAACGGCGCCAGAAACAAATGAATGCAGACCAGAGCTGATGGCAACCGGTAGCGAAGATACGCGAGACCCGCATGATCAGGCCGTAGACAGCGACGAACAGCCTTTCCTCGACCACCTGATTGAACTGCGCAGCCGCATCTTGCGCAGCCTGATGGTTGTCGGCGTTCTGTTTATCCCGATTTACTATTTTGCTAACCCTTTGTATGAGTGGATCGCAGCGCCTTTGACTGCGGTTTTGCCACAAGGCTCGTCGATGATTGCAACCCAGGTTGCTTCGCCGTTTATAACGCCTTTTAAGCTCGCAGTTTTTGCTGCAATTTTTCTTGGTGTACCGTTTCTACTACATCAGGTCTGGGCCTTTGTATCACCCGGTCTGTACCGCCACGAAAAGAAATTTGCCGTGCCTTTACTGCTGTCGAGCATCCTGCTGTTCTACGCTGGCATGGCTTTCGTTTACTACTTAGTTTTCCCGCTGGTGTTTGCGTTCTTCACAACGGTTGCGCCAGAAGGTGTTGCCATCATGACCGACATCAATCAGTACCTCGACTTTGTACTGAAGATGTTTCTGGCTTTTGGTATCGCTTTTGAAATCCCTGTAGCCACGATGCTGCTGGTCTGGTCCGGCATCGCAACGCCGGACGGTATGGCTGCCAAAAGACCGTATGTCATTGTTGGCTGTTTTATTGTCGGCATGCTGTTAACCCCACCCGATGTTGTCAGTCAGCTATTGCTCGCCTTGCCTACCTGGATTCTGTTTGAAGTCGGCATATTCATGGCGCGATATATCGAAAAACGTGAGCAAAGAGACGACTGAGCAGGACCATGCTTCGTTCAGTGGCAATCCTGGATCAAGACGGCGAGGTCATCGCCAACGAAACCAATATCCTGCCTGTTTACAGCATTGCTAAAACATTTATTGCCAGCGCGATCCGTGCAGCAAACATCGACCCCGCAAGACACGTGGCGGATTGGATTTCATCCAACTGGTTACCTGACCCAGGCGGCATCACAGTAAGACACCTGCTGCAGCACACCGCGGGCTTGTCTGACTACACAACACTACCCGAGTATCACCAGGCTATTGAAAGGGGTGATAGAGCCTGGAGCGACGCAGAATACTCACGCAGGACACTGCACCAGCCCAGAGCACATCACCCAGGCGAACGGTTTGCCTACTCCAACCCAGGCTACTGGTTACTGAAAAAAATATTGGAGCTTGAGTGTAATCAGCCTTGGCCTGAAATCCTGGAACAATTGATTCTCAAACCGCTGGCACTACATGACACCCGCGTGCAAACCGGGCTGTTTGCTGACAGGTTACCCCAGCACCCCGCTGAGTGGGTCTGGCATGGTGTTATCTTATCCAGTGCGTTAGACATCGCGCGATTCATCCACTCAGACCTGGTTCGCGGCCTGCAGTTGGACGCCGCCAGGGTCAACGCTGATCAACCGCCCTGGGTAGATCCACACTATGGTTATGGCGTGATGATTGAGCCGGGCATTATGTATGGCCACAATGGCGGTGGTCCTGGTTACACAGCTTCTGCATTTCACTTCACTCAGAGCGGCCAGACAGGATGCGTATTGCTCGCCTCGGATGAACATGAAGGAGCGATGAAAATGCTGGTCGAGTTGATGAACGGGAAGAGCCGGCGACCTAACGTTCCAACATAAACGTTACGGGGCCATCGTTGACCAGCGTTACCTGCATATCAGCGCCGAACTTACCGGTTTGCACGGCAACCGTTCTGCGCAGCTCAGTAACAAAAGCCTCATACAGTGGCTCCGCGACATCAGGCGCTGCCGCTGTAGAGAACCCCGGGCGTCGCCCTCGACTGGTGTCTGCGGCCAGCGTAAATTGAGAAACCACAAGAATTTCCCCGCTGACGTCCACCACACTGCGATTCATCGGTTTAGCTGCGTCTGCACCTGCGCCGGGAAAGATACGTAAACCAACCACTTTGTCGGCCAGCCAGACAACCTGTTCATGATTATCGCCGGCGGCTACACCCAGGAAAACCAGCAGACCAGATTGAATACGTGCGATCTGCGATCCACCAACCTCAACCGAGGCGCTGGAAACTCGCTGCAACAGCGCCTTCATTTTCGACTGGCACGCGAACCACTAAGCTCGTTTGCGTTCATGTTCCTTCAGCAGCGCCTTGCGTACGCGGATGCCGCTTGGTGTCACTTCGACAAGCTCATCATCGTCGATAAATTCCAGGGCCTGTTCCAGGGTCAGCGTAATAGGTGCAGCTAGCGCAATGGCTTCATCTGTACCGGAAGCTCTCACGTTGGTGAGCTTTTTCTCTTTCAGCGGGTTTACAGTGAGGTCATTGTTCCGGTTATGCAGACCAACCACCATACCTTCGTAGACCACATCATTGGGTTTCACCATCATACGTCCGCGATTCTGCAGATTGAACAATGCAAACCCTACCGCCTTACCAGCAGCATTCGAAATCAGCACGCCGTTACTACGCTGGCCAACAACATCGTTTAAGCGCGGACCAAAGCCTGCTGACGCAAAGGACATGATTCCGGTACCCGACGTCTGCGATAAAAATACAGGGCGATAACCCATAATGCCGCGAGTAGGAATGCGGAACTGCAGCCGCACGCGACCCTGGCCATCAGGCATCATTTCCTGCAGTTCGCCACGGCGATCCCCTAACGCTTCCATCACTTTACCCTGATGCTGCTCTTCAATATCCAGACTGAGGGTTTCGTAGGGTTCTAAAATTTCCCCATTTTCTTCTTTGAAAATTACCTGGGGACGCGAAACTGCCAGCTCATATCCTTCGCGTCGCATGGTTTCAATGAGTACCGACAAATGCAGCTCGCCGCGACCAGATACTCGGAATCGATCCGGATCGGCAGTTTCTTCCACATTCAGCGCAACATTGTGCGACGCCTCTGTGAAAAGGCGCTCACGGATCTGACGGCTGGTCAGGAACTTGCCTTCTTTACCCGCGAGAGGCGAGTTATTTACACAGAACAGCATAGACAATGTTGGCTCATCAACCGTCAACGCCGGCAGCGCTTCAACATTATCCGGGTCACAGATCGTATCGGAAATACCAATACCGGCTATGCCTGTTATACAGACGATATCTCCGGCGGTTGCAGTCTCCTGTTCTACCCGCTCAAGGCCACTGTAGCCATAAACGGTCATGATTTTGCCTTTGCGTTGCTTACCTTCACGGTCAACGACGACGACCGGGTGATTGCGCCGCAACGAGCCGCGTGTCACACGACCGACACCCATGACCCCTTCGTAAGTGGAGTAGCCCAATGAAGTAATCTGCATCTGCAGACCACCTTCGCTGTCCACATCCGGCGGCGGCACTTCCGAAACAATCAGATCCAGTAGCGGCGCCATGTCTGTGGCCATCTGATCAAGTTCTGTGCCGGCTATACCCTGCAGGGCAGAGGCGTAAATCACGCTGAAATCCAACTGTTCCTCGGTGCCACCCAGGCTATCGAAGAGATCAAACACTTCGTCCATGACGCGATAGGGCTCTGCGCCCGGGCGGTCAATTTTGTTCACCACAACAATAGGCTTGAGCCCAAAGCCAAAAGCTTTCTGAGTGACAAAACGCGTTTGCGGCATAGGCCCATCCACCGCATCGACAAGCAGCAATACGGCATCGACCATCGAAAGAATACGCTCGACCTCACCGCCGAAGTCCGCGTGCCCGGGTGTATCCACAATATTGATGCGCGTACCGTTGTAATCAATAGAGGTGTTTTTCGACAGGATCGTAATACCCCGCTCTTTTTCGAGATCATTGCTATCCATGACACGTTCGGCGCCATGTGCGGCAACAAAACCTGTCTGTTGCAACAGTTTGTCAACCAGGGTGGTTTTACCATGGTCGACGTGGGCGATGATCGCAACGTTTCTTACGTTTGGGTTAGACACTGGACTAGATGGCCTCTTTAAGGTTTGCGGTGGGGGGAGAAAAACGGCGGCGATTATGGCGGAACAATGTTGAACTGTCGCGCCAATATTCAAGAGAATTTTTCAAGTGTTAAAATGCGAACAATAAACCCTGCACCATTTATTGCCATCCGGGTGAGTGATCAGCGCAACTCTCAGTCGTCAGGTGGGTAAAAAAGCCCAAATAGCGCTATAACGGGGCACTTTAGCAGAAAACGCACCTTATTAGTGCGTTTCTCGAAACAAACGCCCATGCAGCCCCTTATATTAGCCGCATCTCCGTGGCACACTTCTTGCTCTTCACAACGCGCACCATAATGCACACGGTTCAACGCGTGAGCTGCGAACTTTTAATCTTCGAGTAGAGAAGGAGACACATACAACAATGAAATCCAAATTAGAATACATCTGGCTGGACGGCTACAACCCGACTCAAAGCCTGCGCAGCAAAACCCAGGTCCGCAAAGACTTTGGCGGCACCCTTGAAGAGTGCCCTATGTGGTCCTTCGATGGCAGCTCAACCGAGCAGGCAGAAGGCGGCGATTCAGATTGTCTGTTAAAGCCCGTATACATCTGCCCCGATCCAGACCGCAAAAATGGCTACCTCGTCATGTGTGAGGTATTGAATGCAGATGGTACGCCGCATGCCTCCAATGGCCGTGCCACCATCGACGACGATGACGAAGATTTCTGGTTCGGCTTCGAGCAGGAATACTTCCTCTGGGATATGGACACCAACTTACCTCCGGGCTTCCCACATGGCGGCTACCCGCCACCACAAGGCCCTTACTACTGCTCTGTGGGCGCAAAAAATGCCTATGGTCGTGAATGTGTAGAAGAGCACATGGACCTGTGTCTGGAAGCAGGCATTAACCTTGAAGGCATCAACGCTGAGGTTGCAGCGGGTCAGTGGGAATTCCAGGTGTTTGCCAAAAGTGCCAAGCGTGCAGGCGATGAAACTTGGGTTGCTCGATACCTCCTCGAACGCACCGGTGAACGTTATGGCTACGCCATCAACTGGCACCCCAAACCTCTGGGTGACACTGACTGGAACGGCAGCGGTATGCATGCCAACTTTTCTAATGGCACTATGCGCGAATCTGGCAAAGAAGAAACGTTTACCAAGATTTGTGAAGCCTTTGGACGCAATATTGAACGCCACATCAGCGTCTATGGCGAACACAACGAGCATCGCTTGACCGGTAAACATGAAACCCAGTCTATCGACATGTTCAGCTACGGGGTTTCTGACCGCGGCGCTTCTATCCGAATCCCGATCACCACCATGACTGATGGCTGGGTGGGTCGACTCGAAGATCGTCGAACTGCTTCTAATGCCGACCCCTACAAAGTAGCGGCTGCAATTGTGAAAACCACCAAGGAAGGCCTCGCCAGCTAGCTCTGGCCACCTTTTACCGATTGGTTACAAAGCCCTGCTCCCAGCAGGGCTTTTTTTTGCAGATTTGTGGTCCAATAGGCTACTTGCAGCACGCTTAAGAGGCAGACTGACACCATGAACGTAAAATTGTTGAATCCCGGCAAACCCCTGTTACTTACCTTACTTGTGGTTACAGCTGCCAGTCTTACATCAATATCCGATGCTCATGCCGCGATCTACAAAACAACCGACGCCGAGGGCAACGTGGTTTTTACGGATGTGCCCCCCAAAGATGATGCGAAACCCGTTGAGATCCAACAGGGAAATTTATATCTCCCTGAGGTTGCAACGCCCGCTGCGGAGACGCCTGCTGCGGAAGATGGCGTAGACAGCGCTGAGGACACCCCAACCGCTGGCTATGACAAGATTACGATTACCTCGCCCGCGCATGATGAAGCCTTGCGGGAAAACACTGGCAATATCTCTGTCAGCGTTGCCCTGGACCCGGCGCTGGATACAGCTGCTGGCCATCGCCTGCAGGTATTGGTTGATGGACAGGTTGCAGGGGAAGCTCCCAGCGCAACCGTATCATTGCAGAATATCGATCGCGGCACACACTCACTGATCGCCCAGGTTATCGACGCCAACAACAGCGTACTGGCCAGTTCCAGTGCTGTTGTTGTACATCTGCAGCGCTACTCGATCCTTAACAACCCGCGTAAACAACCCAAGGGATAACCCTTTTTCCCTCTCCTATTGACCCAAAACAGGGCATGCCCTATTTTGGTGCATTGAGGCCACCGAATATTCGTACCTCGGCCCGACTGCACTACCACGAGGAAGTCCTTTCGGGCCTTATATTCTGAGCCTTATAGGCGAAGTGTACGCTTACTAACGTCCTTTCGAAAAAGCGGCCCGAATGTTGCTTAGCCTATGGATTGGGGAGTACCGGATTGGGGACAAGCTTTTATGTCGATAGATAATTACAAACAGATACTCGACAACATGGTGACTGCGGTTTTGGTCATCGATGAAAGCCTGCGCATCGAAAATGTTAACTCTGCCGCCGAGAACCTGTTACACACTTCTGCAGCGCATGCCATCGGCCTGCCGCTGCATCAATTGATCATGCGCGCTGACGAAATTATTCCAGCATTGCAGAATGCGCTGGAAGAGGGACAACCCTACACTGAACGTGAAGCCACCCTGCGGCTACCGGATAACGTCACCGAAGATGTCGACTTTACTGTCTCAATACTAAATCGCCCTCCTGACGGACCGCGCTCACTGGTCCTGGAACTGCAAGCCCTGGCCCGACTGAAACGCATCAACAAAGATGGTGCATCCGTTGCGCGCCAGGAAACAGCGCGACAACTCATCCGCGGGCTTGCTCACGAAGTGAAAAATCCGCTTGGCGGGATTCGCGGCGCGGCTCAACTGCTCGAGCGAGAACTGCCAGAGGAAGAGCTAAAAGAATATACTGGCGTCATCATCAGTGAAGCAGACCGACTCAAAGAACTGGTTGACCGGATGCTGGGCCCGCAACGCGAACTGGCCATCACACCGGTAAACATCCTCAAAGTATTTGAACATGTCATCCAACTGATCGAAGTGGAGCGCCCCGACACCATCAAATGGATACGCGACTACGATCCGAGCCTGCCCCACTTTGAAGCAGATGAGTCGCAGATCATCCAGGCAATCCTGAACATCCTGCGCAATGCCTCACAAGCCCTGCAGAATACTGAAGAGCCGCAGATTCTGCTGCGCACGCGAGTTGTCAGGCAGTTCACCATCGGCGCGTGCAGACACCGCATGGTGATGCAGCTCGACATTGCCGACAACGGACCAGGTATTGACCAGGACCTCGAAGATCGAATTTTTTTCCCTATGATCAGCGGCCGACCCGACGGCACCGGCCTGGGGCTGGCAATTACACAGAACATAATTTCTCAACATCATGGTTCTATCCAGGTGAATTCGCGCCCGGGGCAAACTTGCTTCTCGATTTACCTGCCTTTTCAACAAGCAGTGGCGCCGTCTACTAAAGAATCGTGAGCACAACGATGGATATGCAAAATGAATGACAACGTTTGGGTAATCGACGATGACCGATCGATACGCTGGGTACTCGACCGTGCTTTAAGTCAGGCAGGTATTCCAATCACAGCTTTCAACACTGCTGATCAGGCGATGCACCACCTGCACAACGATGCGCCTATGGCGATCATTACAGATGTGCGCATGCCCGGCATGTCAGGACTGGAATTCCTTGAGCAGGTGCAAGCCACGCACCCGTCTGTGCCGATCATTATCATGACTGCTCATTCAGATCTGCAGAGCGCTGTGGCTTCTTTTGAACAGGGCGCATTCGAATATCTGCCCAAACCGTTTGATGTTGATGAAGCCGTAGCGGTGGTACAGCGAGCCATTGCTCATTCTCAGGAAGCCGGGGCCCTGGACACCGTCAAGAGTGAACCTGCGCCTGAAATCATTGGTCAGGCACCGGCTATGCAGGAAGTGTTTCGCGCCATTGGCAGGCTGTCTTCTTCAAATGTGTCCGTGCTCATTAACGGTCCTTCCGGCTCAGGCAAAGAGCTGGTCGCCAAAGCCCTGCACCGCCACAGCCCGCGTTCCAGCAGCCCGTTTATCGCATTAAACGTTGCCGCGATTCCCGATGAGCTGATCGAGAGTGAATTGTTCGGGCACGAAAAAGGCGCCTTTACCGGCGCTAACGCACGCCGTGTTGGCCGCTTCGAACAAGCGGATGGCGGCACGCTGTTTCTGGATGAAATTGGCGATATGCCCTCTACTGCGCAGACCAGATTACTCAGAGTATTGGCGGAAAATGAATTCTATCGCGTCGGCGGGCATCAATCTGTACAGGTAGATGTGCGCATCATTGCGGCCACCCACCAGAATCTGGAAACGCTGGTTACCCAGGGCAAGTTTCGCGAGGATCTGTATCATCGTCTCAACGTCATCCGCGTGCACGTACCTGCGCTTGCGGAGCGGCGTACCGATATACCTGTGCTGGCACGTCACTTTCTTGAGGCAGCGGCCCGCGAGCTGGGTGACGAGAGCAAACGCCTGGCGCCTGAAACCGAAGATTACCTCACTCTGCTACCGTGGCCCGGTAACGTGCGTCAACTTGAAAATACCTGCCGCTGGCTGCATGTCATGGCCAGCTCGCGCATCATTCTGGTTGAAGACCTGCCATCCGAATTGCAGCAAAGCAATACCGCAAGCGCAGACGCAGACTGGGAAAGTGGCCTTGAACTGTGGGCCACTCAACTCCTCGACAGTGCCGAGAGCATCCCGTTACTGGATGCCGCCATGCCGCGTTTCGAACGAATTATGATCACTGCAGCGTTAGGTAAAACAGGGGGTCGGAAAAAAGACGCCGCAGAGCTGTTAGGTTGGGGGCGCAATACATTAACAAGGAAGATGCAGGAACTGGAAATGTAAGCCCTTACGCTATTGGATGGCAAATGATCAAGGTGTTGCCTGAACCAGCACCTCACGCTCTGCAACCAGGCTGCCGGCAGCACAGCTGCCAACACTATTCACCGTGTAGTAGATACGCCCTCGGACCGTTTCACTGTCACAGGTCACGTTCGCCTGACACGCCGGCAAACCCGGGGTATTGGCAAAATCAAACAGTTGGTCTGCACAAGCACCAACACCCTCTGGTGCAAATATTCTATTCAGGCCCAACTGCGCACCATTGCTTGCAGTCAGCGCAGCGCGCTGATTCAGCGTCTCTATCGCGGCGCTCCCCGCGCCAAGCTGCACGCTACGGGTAATCGCAACCGTCAGGGCCGCGACTATCGTGATCAACGCTATTGCTGCGATCAACCCGGCACCAGAAACTTTGTGCGGCTGACTACGGCACATTTCGCACCTGCACGTTAGCGGCAACGTCAAAAGCAACATCACCTACGCCCAACTGCAGATTCAGCCGCACCAGAGCATTACGCTGCAGCGTGACGGGTGCAATATCGAATACCGCTGATGCAGAGGTTGCCATCAGGCTACGCCCCGGCAGGGTTGTCGGCAAACTGGGAGGCGTAGGTTGGGCCGCCTGAAAACCATAGTTGCTGTAACGATAGAGATTACCTGCATCAACACAGTAACTCACGGGCTGATCCACCCAGAACAGGCGACTGCCGGCAGAGGCTGCCGGAAATTGATGGGCACTATCAAACAACACCGCGACTTCACCCTGCGCATCAGGTGCAGTCAAGGTGACCGGCGAACTGATCACACTGGACGATGCCAGCGTATAAACGTTACCACCACCCCCGACAGCAACCCGCAGTCCATTCAGACCAACTGCGTCGGGTGGCACTACCTGCATCGCCAGTGCTGGTGCAGCCTGGGGTAGATCCAGATACGAAGAACCGGCAATTACCGGCACAAACTCAAGACAACTGGCATTGACACGCACGCTGCCTGGCAGCGCGTTTCGGACTGACCTCGCCATACGCTCAAGGGTAAAACGGGCGCGCTGAGCCACCGCCTGACGATCTTGAACATCCGCATAACCTTGAGTAGAGCGGCTGATAAAATACACCGAACCCACCGACAGGATACCCAGGACGGCAATGACCACTACCATCTCAACCAGGGTAAAGCCCGAATGAGCCCGCGAGCATCTCATCAGTAATTACCCCGAATCATGACAAAGGGGCGCGATTGGCCATCAGGGGTTGTGACCGTAACCGAAACGATCTTCGCATCCGTAGCAGCATCCAGATTCCAGGCAGCTATTTGCGCGGCATCTGCGTAAACCACATCGACCGCTACCGAAAAACCACTGAATTCTGGCATGATCTGATTCAGCGAATCTCGAGGCGGCGTATCCAGCAGGCCGTCATAGTCATCAACATCATCATAGTTCTCACGGCTCTCTGAATCCGGCCCCAGAACGCTGCAGGGTGTCACAGTCTGACAGGGTGGCGTACCGCCAACGGGCGTCACTTCATCGTAACGGCGAGACTGGATCTCCTCCAAATATCCCTGGGCGATGTATACCGCCTTCGCTTCCAGCAAACCGTCAGAAGAACGCGTAAAAGCAAAACCAAGGGCGCTGGCCATAGCCAGCGCAGCAATACTGATGATCAGCATCGCCACTATCGTCTCTACCAGAGTAAAACCACCGCTAACAAGCCTGTTCACTGACGTATCCTATTGGTTGGACACACAGAAACTGATCTGTATCGCCGCTGAAATGAGCTGTAATGCCAGCTTCCGGATCTAAAACATCTGTATCCAGAGAAGCCGCAATAAGGTCACCTTTGCCTGCAAAGGTCATCTGCCATACGCTCCCATTCGCAACCGGGTAGAGTGTGCCGCTGTTCGTCAGACTGAAATTGATGTTCTCCAAGGAAGCATCCGTCGCGCGCAACGTGCCGGACGAGCTTGCCACCAGCATTTCCAGGCGACCGTCGACAGGCGTGACATTTAGGATCACAGCTGTGCTGCGGGTTTGAGCAGCCTGAGCGGAAAAATGAATCTGTGCCGTGAGGGTCGTCGCCAGCACGCTGGCCGCAAAGATGTCCGGTTTTGAAAATCGACTGAGCGCGGTTGCGCTCAGAATCGATAGAAGAATGATAACAACGACGAGTTCTACAACGGTAAAGCCTGAACCTCGTCGCCGGGTAATCACTTTCATTGGGCTGAACTCAGCCCACCTGATCAGGGAATAGCAACAGGTGTGTTTTGTGTCACTGTACCTGTGTCAGATTCATAGGTGAAATACGCAACCGTTTCACCAGAGGCATTGCTCTGCGCGGTGTAGTAATACTCGCAGTCGACGCCGTTACGCACCGCTGTATAGTCTGTACCGCTGCCGTCGATGGCTGCGAGGCTGGCTGCACTGCCAACGGTTGGCGCGCTTTGCAGCAAGCCGGTGAAAACCGTTGCACAGTCTGCGGAATCGGCTGGCACGTTACCTGTCTGGCTTACCGTGCTGTAAGGGTAACCCTGAGGGGTCGTGCGTAAGTTATCAAAGTCAGGCGCTTGCGTGCCAGCTGCGGCCTGACCTTCAGCGATCCACTGTGCGTGATAAAGCGCGACACCGGTCGTGAAGCCCCCCAACACGCCTTCAAACGCAGCAGCGTGTGCATCATCGTCAATGTCGATAAACCGTGGTAATGCGGTAGCGGCAAGAATGCCGAGCAAAATAATGACAACAACCAGTTCTACAATGGTAAAACCCTGTTGCCGGGAAATAGTCTTTTTCATTTGGGCTCCTTTTAAACAAAGCATCTATAACAAGCAGTTCACGGTGAGCTCCTGTGTTATGCAGAACCTCTGTTTAAAGCGTAGACCTAATTTCTAATTTTGCGAGCCGAATACGGAACACGTCTCGTTCAGTTTGCGACGCTGTTCAAATCCCATAACGGTAAAAAAACACCCAGCGCCATAATCAGCACCAGACCTGCAATCCCGATAATGAGAATCGGCTCCAATGCATCCGTCATGCCTTTCAACGCGTACGAAACCTCTTCCTCGTAAAAGGAAGCCGCCTGTTCAAGCAGTTCATCCATGGTGCCGGTCTCTTCTCCGACAGCCATCATCTGCAGCACCACGGGTGAAAACAGTTTGGCCTGATGAGCGGTTGCAGTAATACTCTCACCCCGCTCAATACCGTTGCGCATGGCGTCGATGCGCTGGGCAAAATAGTCACTGCCTATCGCTTTGGCGACAATTTTCAAACCCTGGTTAAGCGGCACACCTGCGCGCGATACCATCGCAAAAGCGTGGCAGAAGCGAGACAGATAAATGCGCTCAAAAATACTCCCCAGGATAGGAATACGAATTTTCATGCCGTGCCAGCGTAACCTTCCCGCAGGTGTCTTCAGATAGGCTAACCAACCCCATATAGCGCCGATACCTGCAAGCAGAAGCAGCGGCCAGAAGCGCACAAAGAAGTCGCTGACTGCCAATATCGCTTGAGTCTGCCAGGGCAGGTCCGCACCGTATTTAGCAAATACATTGGCAAACGCCGGGATCACAAAAATGTTCAGAATCACAATCGCGATAGATATCGCCACCATGACAAACATTGGATACCTTGTTGCAGCCTGTATCCGCTGCCGGGTCTCCCGCTCCAATTCGAGATAACTGGCTATTTGACGAAACGCAGAATCGAGACGACCAGTGTTTTCTCCGACGTGAATCAGCGCCACAAACAAATCATTAAACACACGAGGGTGACGTCCCATGCTTGAAGCTATGTCCATACCGGATTCAAGATGGGTCCCCACGTCTTCCAGCACTTCGGCAAAATATTCGTTCTTACTCGATTCACCCAGTGTGCTTACGGCCTTTACTATAGATATGCCAGCCTTTGTTAAGCTGGCCATCTGCAGCGAAAACACCACCAGCTCGTTGATTTTTACACTAGGCCTCAGGCCGAGCCAACTCACTTTCTTAGGCGCGTTATCCGGCTCTTCTGCACTCTCAATCTTCAATGGCAGCATGCCGGCGGCGCTTAGATCCTGAGCAACCGCACCTGGGTTCAAGCCGACTCTGAACCCTGAGGTGAGCTCACCGGATGCGGATTTAGCCTGGTACAGATAGCGCGGCATGACTAGTGTGTTGGGTCCAGTCCAATTTCGGTCGAGGGCTTGGCATGTAACTCATGTGCATGACGCAAGCTGTCTTCCAGATTCGTGTGTTGCGCTTCCCACAGCTCTTCTTCCTGCCCGGACAGAGCCATTACCTCTGCAAGCGAAGTTTCACCCTGTACGGCATACTTCAAAGCACATTGCACCAGAGGCGCAAAGTTAGGTTGTGCTTCAGCTAATCTGCTGAAGGTTGCCGTGTCATCTGCGCGCAGCGCATCTGCCATTGGCCCATCAATTTCCAGCAGTTCAAAAACGCCAAGCCGGCCAAAATAACCGGTTCGATTACATTGATTACACCCTTTGCCTTTGGCAAAGGTATAGTTGTCTTCGCTCAATCCTGGCGCAGCGGCCTGCAGCCAGGCCAGTTCATGACTGTCAGGCTGGTAGGGCGCACTGCAGCGATCACAGAGTTTGCGCACCAGGCGTTGGGCAACAATTGCGCGCACGGACGCCGCTACCATGTAGCCTTCTATGCCTATGTCGATCAGACGCAGCGCCGATGAAATCGCATCGTTAGTATGCAAAGTTGAAAGAACCAGGTGTCCGGTCATCGCTGCGCGCAGAGCAATGTCTGCTGTTTCACCGTCACGAATTTCACCAACCAGCAGGATATCCGGATCCTGTCGAAGCGTAGACCGCAGGACACGGGCAAAATCAAAGCCGATCTTTGCCATAACCTGAACCTGATTAATGCGCTCCAGCTGGTATTCCACAGGATCTTCAACAGTGATGATCTTTTTCTCTGGCGTGTTGAGTTCATTCAGTGCGCCGTAAAGTGTTGTTGTTTTACCACTGCCGGTTGGACCGGTAACCAGCACCAGACCATTAGGTCGATTGATCAGCCAATGAAAACGTTTCAGCATCTCCGGCTGCATACCGATCTGATCAAGACGGGTTTGCCCGCTACTGTGATCTGCCAGACGCATTACAACGGACTCACCGGTAGTTGTCGGCAGCGTGCTTAAACGAATATCGATGTTCCTGTTCTTCAACTTGATTTCAATGCGACCATCCTGTGGCAGCCGCTTTTCGGAAATATCTAAACCGGCCATCAGCTTCAATCGGCTGACCAGCGCTCCGGAAATTCGTCGCTCATTCAGAATCTGTTCGTGCAGAACCCCGTCTACCCGCTGCCTGAGACGCAGCACGTTTTCATCTGGCTCAATGTGAACATCAGATGCGCGGACCTGAACCGCGTCTTCCAGAATCGACTGCAACAGGCGCGCAACTGGTGAATCATCGTCTTCCGCAGCATCAAAGTTGGACAAGCTGAATTCATCAACACTTAATTCACCATCCAGTTCGCTGGCAAAACTGACAATGTCGCTGGTGCGTCGATAAGCGCTGTCCAGCAGGGTTAACAGCTCAGATTCCCGCACCACTGCTACCGTCATTGCACGATGGAGCTGGCGCTGCAGTTCGTCAAAAGCAAAAATATCAATGGGATCAGCCATGCCGACAAGCAGCTGTTCACCCTGCTCGCGCAACACAATGGCTCGATAACGCCGCGCATACGTTTCCGGCAGCAGCGCCACCAGCGCTTCATCGTACTCAAAATCTTTCAGGTCTATAAACGGCACACCCAGCTGTTCAGACAGAAAGCCGAGCAACCGCTCTTCCTCAACAAAACCTTGTTCAACCAGAATGCGGCCTAATTTTACGCCTGAATCTTTCTGTTCTGCCAACGCAACACGCAGCTGCTCTTCACTGATATCGCCACTTGCGACCAACAGATCACCAATCCGAATTTTTGGTCCACCACGCACACCTAACCCCGACGGCGCATCTGTTCGCGCAGCAAAGCGGCACGACCCGCGCTTTCTCCCAACAGCGTAGACTGTGTACCCAACTCCACCACTATGGGTTTAAGCAGAATCACCAGCTCACTCTTTATCGAACTCTGATTCTTCTGCTTAAACAGATTACCCACCATGGGTAACTGTTTAAGCCATGGCACACCGGCGTTAACGTCACGGCTGCTGTTCTGCATCAGGCCGCCAATCACTACAATCTGGCCGCTGGACGCCTTCACAATACTGTCAGATTCCCGGATCGTGCTGGATGCCAGGGGCACCAGCTGGCCGCCGATAAACTTCAGCTGTTCGGTGACTTCACTGACCGTTGGATGCACATGCAGAATCACTTCGTTGTCAGCGCTGATCTGTGGGGTGACATCTAATGCAATACCGGAGAAAAACGGTGTCAATTCGGGTGAATCATTAATGTTGATCGAGTTTCCGGCAGTGATCGTGTTGGAAGAAATGTCGGTGACAAAAAACTCATCACTACCTACTTTTATCACCGCTTTCTGATTATTCACCGTCGCGATTCTTGGGCTCGACAGCACCTGCACACTACCTTGGGTTGCTAAGAGTTCCAGCGTGGCTTCAAAGTCGCTGAACGCTGCACTGAGAGAGAAGGTTGTACCAAGCGGATTAAATATATTGTTCTGACCGGAAATAAATTCACCCGCAACCGAACGTTCGCTGCCCTGGGTGCTCACTACCGTTCCGTCATCCAGCACCGTAGTAACAGGGGCGAAGGTTCCGCCAGAATCTTCACCAAAAGTGTTCCAGTTGATGCCTGCCTGAAAACCCTCATTAAGGGTCACTTCAATGATTTTGGTTTCCAGCACCACCTGTCGTGACAAAGCGTTTTCAACGCGCTGCAGATAGTCTTCAATTGCCCGCAGCGTATGCGGCTTGGCTTTTACAACAACCAGACCTACCTGTGGGGTGACCATGACGTTGCTGCCTTCATCCATGGAGGCAATATTGGTTAACGTCAGCGTTAACTCTTTCCACAGATCAGCTTCGCCGGAGGTGTTCACTATGGTCCCTACAACATTCTGACTGCCGCCCCCGTTGTTACCGTTATTGTTACCACCGGAATTATTGTTGTTGCCGCTGTTTCCAGAGTTATTGTTGCCATTGTTGTTGCCGCTATCACTCACCTTACCCGCACTGACCTGAGTCTCAGAACGGCCGCTGCGCGCAACGTTCAAATAGTTAACGTGATAGATCTGTGTTCGCAGCACATCTGGAAAGATCTGATAGACATCATTTTTCAAGACATAGTCATAGTTATAGACATCACGCATCACCTGCATCACCCCACTGACCGTTACATCCTTGAGAGAAAGCGTAACCAGACCGGTTACTTCCGGGTGCAACACAAGATTGTAGGGGGTGCCTGCAACAAGACTGCGGAAGAAATCTGCAACGTCAGCATTTTCAACCTGCAGATCAAACGTGGGCTCATCGTCACGTATTGCCAGCGGCAGTTCTTCGAGTCCTATCGGCACCACCTCAGCAGTCACACGTGGTTTCGGCGGCACCTTAGCACCTTCGTTCAGGGTAGCTACGGCCTCGTCCACGCTGTCTGTAGTTTTTGCCAGGCGCGGCCCTAAGGGTTGTTCCAGCGTCGCACAGCTTGTGCTGAGCAGAACCGCAATAAGCATTATCAGTCGAAAATTCACTTTAATTCCTTGTTTATCAGACCGGATCCCAGATGCAGAGTGACCTGCTCTTCAGAACCGATCTGCACCAGCACATTGTCCGGCAGAACCTCAACCAGGGCGACGTCACCTTTACTCTGGCCTTCGAGGAAAACCTGCCCATCAATGACAGCCAGGCGTCGCTGGTCGCTGTAAACAATTGAGCTGAGCACCGGTATATACGGCTCAGAAGCCGCTCTGGAAGGAAGCGTTATGTCTGCTGGCGGCCTGGTTGGATCTTCATACGCCCAGGCGGGATCAGTGACAAGCATAGCCAGACTGGCAATAGATAATATCCTATACACCTAACCACTCCTTTTCGCGGCTAAGAGTTTCTAATTCAATGCGCACCTGGGCATTCGGATACTCCTCCACGACATAGTCGAATCGTCGCCAGGAAAATTGCCATTCGGCAGCCTCCAGCGCATTTAGATAGGCAAGCACATCCATGTACCCACCAACAAATTCAATTTCTACGGGATGCCGATAGATGGTCACCTGCGGCGGCGGTATAGCGTCTGCATTTTCACCAGCATCGGCCTTATGGGAAGCCGCTTGCAGCACCACCGGCTCAGATGGTCGGCTGGCCAGTCGGACCAGCTGAAGGTCTGCAAAACCATCTAATACATCTTCCAACAGATCCGGCACCTGCTCCGGCGCAATAAACCGGTCCAGCAATCCGTCCAGCTCCGCCTGCTGTTCAACAATCACGCCCTGCAACTGATCCTGCTTGTGTTTCAGCGCAATTTTCGCCGGCCTTTTATCCTCCGCCAGCAAACGAATCTGCTCTGCCGTCTGGGCCTGCATATCACGGGTCAGGCGATCGATGCTTTTGACCACATCCACTTTCTTGTCGACAACCACGCCGCCAAGCAGGGTGAACCACAAGCCGCCGGTAAAAGTAAATAAAGTCACGCTGATCAGAAGACGCTCGCGCAAGCTGCAGCCTTCAAATTTTTCCAGCAGATGTTTCAAGTAATCTTTCATCCAGACACAGCTCCATCGGGACTGACAATGACAAATTCAGACAGGGACTTGCCCGGCAGTGTGGTGATCTCTACATGTTTGAAACGTTGCCCGCGAAACTGCTCCTGTTCCGACAGATTGCGCAACATGACCGGGACCAGCGCGGCATCTGAAGTCGCGCCTTTCAAATTTATTTCACGCTTAACACCGTGAGAGATAGAAATTTCACTCAGCCAGAGGTTATCTACACGCGCTTCGCCGAGCGCAGCCAGGTACGGTGAAAAACTCAAACTCTGCTGTTGTCGCAACAAAGCAACTAACAATGCCTGTTGCTCCTGCTGCATCAGCAGTTCAGCAACCTGCGCTTCTAAAGCAAGTGGCGAGACGGTATTTGCACGGTGTAACGAATTCGCCTCGCGGACCCGTTCAACTTCAGCCCGGGTGACCATCTCTTCATCCTGCAACCACCACAAAGATGCGCTTTGCCAGATGCTGATCAACACCAGAAACACGGTAAAGCCAACCCAAGCCAGAGCCACCTGACTGGCACCCAGCCGTTTTCTGACCGGGGCAAGGCTTGTATCAAGAAGATTGACCTGTTGCATTCAGGCCGCCTGCTCAACATTCTGAGCAATGTGATGACGCAAAACACCCCCCAGAGCCGGTAATCCGGCGGCGATGGCGTTTGCCTGCGCTGGCTGCAGGGCATGCCAATCTATTGTCTGGACATCGGGATTGTGCAACTGCAGAGCCATTTCCCCCGCCAACACCTCGGCTATGGAGCGCACTGGAATCGGTAACATTTCGGTCAGATACTCGGTGACCCGCTCCGACCAGTCGTGGGTACAGGCGACCACCAGCATGTTGCAGTGGGGCTGATTCATGGCGCTTTCGTAATAGTCAATTGAACGTTGGACCTGTAACACCATACGTTCGCGAAAATCTGCCCACTTTGGTTCAGAAAATTCATCCGGCAGGCCGGAAACCCGCCTCGCCAGATACAGTTCGTCGCCGCGAGAGATATTCACCAGGCCGCTGTTACTGGTGAGGCGCAACATCGCAATGCTCTGATCCGCATGGGGGAAGCATTGCCAGGCAAGGTTTCTCAAACACAGCTCTGAGGCATCGATGCTGGCCAGTTGCAAACCAGCAGCCTGCACCTGGGATCGCAAAGTCTTTAACAATTCAGTCTTCAACGACACCACAAAAACCATGGGCCGTTCGCGGGACGCGCTTCGTGGCAGCTCAAAAACATCCAGCGTTGCGGTTTCAACCGGATAGTCGACCTGCTCCTGAATGGCCCAACGAACGGCGTCTTTCAGCTCGGCATCGTCCACCTCGGGTCGATCGATCAATGAAACGTTGTACAGCTCCGGTGCCAACACAAGATTGACCCGCTTGCGGGCAGGACTGAGCTGCAATTCCAGCGATGCTATCTGCTGTGCAAGCATTGTGTGGATGTCACTCAACTGGTTAATCGGATCTGCGCGCAGGGCAACCGACATCTGGCCATTAATACTGCCAAACGCTGTTGCCACGCCGCGCCCGGATAGATAGACGGCAATCTGCTCCGTTTCAGACGCGGGCAGGGCAACCGCTTGCGAAAAGCGGGATTTAAGTTGTTGCATCCATGCAACTGCTGAATTCACAGACGTCTCCGGCAAAAAATGGAATGTCGTGAATTTAGTATAGAAAGGTTTTCACATTTCGCAGGCGTGCGGGGAGCGGCTCTCGTACAATGCCTTCATGCCTTTTGACGTTGTCCTTTTTGAACCCGAAATCCCGCCCAATACCGGCAATATCATCCGGCTTTGTGCAAATACAGGCGCACGGCTGCATCTGATAGAACCATTGGGCTTTGAGTGGGACGATCGGCGTCTACGCCGCGCAGGTCTCGATTACCACGAACTGACCAACGTATCGCTCCATAAAGACTACCCGGCATTTCTTGCAACGGTGAATCCCAAGCGCCTGTTCGGTTGCACAACCAAAGGTCAGACCCTGCATACCCAGCCGCATTATCAAACTGGCGATGCCTTGATGTTCGGCCCAGAAACCCGGGGGCTCCCGGACAGTGTGCTCAACACCCTGGCTGTAGAGCAGACAGTCCGCATTCCCATGCAGGCCCGATCACGTTCATTGAACCTTGCCAATGCGGTGTCGATTATTCTGTACGAAGCCTGGCGGCAGGTAGATTTCAGCGGCGGCGTCTGAGGGCGTCAGCCTCTGCACGCCTCAGTGTTGTACCGGGGCATCATCCTTCTTGTTGGCTTTCTGCATCGCCTGAGCGTACAGCGCTTCAAAATTCACCTGCGCCAGCTGCATGGCGGGGAAGCCACCGCGAACCACCAGGCTATCAAGATTCTCCCGCACGTAGGGAAACAACGTGTTAGGACAGGCGATACCAATGACCTGATGCAGCTGCTGTGCATCAAGACCATTAATGACAAATATGCCCGCGTAGTGCACTTCCGCCACAAACGCCACTCGATCACCATCGCGCTTTGAGGTGACGGTAACTGCCAGCACCACTTCGTGTCGGTTATCACCCAGGTTATTTACTGTTGTGTTGATGTCGACCTGGGTTTCAGGCCGCCATTGTTCGCTGAATATGCTCGGTGTGCCGGGTGACTCAAAAGAGGCGTCTTTCAAATACATGCGTTCAATGCGCAACTGCGGTTGTTGCGACTGCGGTTCAGCGCCTTCGTTGGTTGTTTCGCTCATTTTTTAACCACCGGTAAGTTCTGTGCACGCCAGTCGGCAATGCCACCGCGAAGACGGCTCACCTGTTCAAACCCAGCCTTACGCAATTGTGTACCGGCTGAACCGGCGTGTTGACCCATTTTGCAGACCAAAACCATCGGTTTGCCTTTGTGCGGGTTTAATTCATCCATCCGCGTCTCGATCGCGGCAAACGGGATATTGATCGCATCTACGATATGGCCGGCCTCAAACTCAGCTTTGTCACGCAGATCCACCACCACGGCGCCCTCGTTATTGACCAGTTGCACCAGTTCCTGGGCACTGACAGCGGCACCGCCGCGGCTCATTTCATTGCGTATAAACAACGCCAGCAGCACCGCAAAGGCGCCAACAAGAAAAGGATGGTTGCTGATAAACGCAAACAGCTGCTCCATGCGAGAATTCCAGGTATTAGCAATATTTTGACGGGCGCGATTATACACACCGTAGCAGGGGATATTTGTTAGAATTGCGCGTCAAAATTGACACCAGTTGAAATATGCGCCAAGTGAATTTACTCGTAGTTCTTGACGGATTTGGTTACAACGAAGCCACCGACCACAACGCCATCGCTCTGGCAGACACCCCCACCTGGGATGCTTTGTGGGCTAACCAGCCGCATACTCTGATTTCCGGCTCCGGCGAAGACGTCGGATTACCCGCCGGCCAGATGGGTAATTCAGAAGTTGGCCACATGAATCTTGGCGCTGGGCGCGTGGTTTATCAGGATTTCACCCGTATCAATCGAGCCATTGAACAAGGTGAGTTTGTAAATAATCGCAGTATTAATGCTGCGTTTAAAAAGCTCGATCAATCCGGCGGTGCCCTGCATGTCATGGGCCTTCTGTCTCCTGGCGGCGTGCACAGCCACGAAGATCAGATATTCGCTTTACTCAAAGGTGCTGCTGAACGCGGCATCACAAAAATATATCTGCACGCTTTTTTAGACGGTCGCGACACCCCTCCACGCAGTGCCGAGGCCTCTATCCGAGCAGCCCAGAAGCTGTTCAAGACCATGGGCGTAGGCCAGATCGCAAGTCTTGTCGGCCGCTACTACGCCATGGATCGCGACAATCGCTGGGATCGACAGGAGCAGGCGTACAATCTGATTGTCCGCGGCGAGGCGCCTTTTCATGCCAGCGATGCTTTGGACGGCCTCAAGCAGGCGTATAAAAGAAACGAGAACGACGAATTTGTCCAACCCACCGCCATTCACAACCCAGACGAAGTGCCGATCGCCTTAAAACCTGAAGATGCGGTTATTTTCATGAACTTCCGTTCAGATCGTGCAAGACAACTCACGCGAGCCATGACCGACCCGGAGTTTGATGGTTTCAAACGCCGCAGCTTTGTACCCGTCACTGAATTTGTCACGCTTACCCGCTATGCCGACGACATTACCGTGCCCTGCGCATTCGACCAGCAGCACTTCAGCAACACCCTGGGCGAGTATCTGGCGAAACTCGGTAAGACCCAGTTGCGCATTGCAGAAACTGAAAAATACGCCCATGTGACCTTTTTCTTTTCCGGTGGCATCGAACCCCCCTACGACGGAGAAGACCGTATCCTGATCCCCTCACCGGATGTGGCCACTTACGATCTGCAGCCTGAAATGAGCGCTGCCGAAGTCACCGACAAACTGGTAGCCGCAATAGAATCCGCGGCCTATGACGTCATTATCTGTAACTACGCCAACGGCGACATGGTTGGGCACACCGGCCAGCTGGAACCCGCAAAAAAGGCCGTGGAAACACTGGATGCCTGCCTGGCCAGACTCACCGACGCTATTACAGCCAGCGGCGGACAGATGCTGATTACCGCCGACCATGGCAATGTTGAACAGATGAAAGACACCACCACTGCGCAGGACCACACCGCCCACACGCAAAACGTGGTGCCGCTGGTCTATGTGGGCCCGCAGTCACTGGAATTCAGTGACAACGGCACGCTGTCCGATGTTGCGCCAACGTTACTGGACCTGATGCATATCGACATTCCGACGGAGATGACAGGCCACTCTCTGGCAAAAATCAAAACCCAACGCAGCGCATAGCTCTCCCTTTATCCATGCAGCGAGGGATCAAAAGATTAAGAGATTTCTGGCTGGTGGGCCTGATCTGCGCCGTCAGTCATGCCGGTTACGCCGCGGACACCGACTCGGCCACCACCGCAGCTGAGCTTAAATCTACCCTCGAGCGCCTTAACGCGCTGGATCAGTGGTTCAGTGACGCAGAACAGCAGCGCGCCATATGGCTGGTTGAGCTGCAGCGCCAGGACCGTGAAATAGCCGCCGTCAATCTTCAGGTGGCAGATATCCGCAACCGGGTACAGGTGACAACCACCGAGTTGCAGGACCTGCAGAACCATCAGGTGGAACTTAACGAACAACGGCGTACCCAGGCACAGCTGATCGCAGAACATGTCGGCGCGGCCTACCGCCTGACGGGACAGGACTTCCTGAAACAGCTCCTGAACCAGGAGTCGCCGGATACATTTGCACGCATGATCCGATACCACCGCCACTTCAGTGAATCCAGACTTGAAGTGATGGCGCAATACCAGGCGACCCTTGCCGAACTCGAAACCAACAGCCGCAAGCTGATTGAGCAACAGGCAACCCAAAGCAGCCAACAGAAGCAACTTGTTGGCGAGCAACAGGTTCTGGCCACGGAGCGCAGTAAACGTTCTGCTCTGATCGATCAGCTCGATGCGGAAACCGAATCCAAGACCCTTGACTACGAACAGCTTGAAAAAGACCGCAATCGGCTGGAACAATTGCTGGCTGAGCTGCGTCGTCGCGATACTGAATTAGACGGCAGCGCTTTCACCGCTGCAAAAGGCACCTTACCTATGCCCGCAAGAGGGCCTATCCGGCACGCGTTCGGCGCGTCTCGCGCAGATGGGCGGCTGCGCTGGCATGGTATTGATATTGCCGCTGAACAAGGTTCACCCGTTACCGCCGTATTTCGCGGCCGGATTATTTTTTCAGATTGGCTGCGCGGCTTTGGCCTCTTGACCATTGTTGACCACGGCAGCGACTATATGACGTTGTATGGGCACGCTGACGTCCTGTATAAGAAAGTGGGCGACTGGGTAGAAAGCGGCGAGGTCATTGCAGGCGCTGGCAACAGTGGCGGCACCCAGGACACTGGAATTTACTTTGAAGTGAGACACAAAGGTGATGCCAAAGATCCGATCAGCTGGGTGGCCCGCTAACATAACTGTCAGGCCAAGCGCCGCCAGTATTGCCCTGAGCACATTTCTGCTGCTCACACCTTTCATTCACGCACCGGTTAATGGCGAGCCAAACCCGCTTCCGGAGGCAGATGTACCTGTGGGGCAAACCCTCACCCAGGCGCAGCATGACAACGGTCAGTACATCAGCTGGCGTGAACATATTATTGACGACCCCGAGCTTGCCCAGATGGATCTGAGTGGCAGCGATGGGCTGGCGGTGGCAGATCTCGATCTTGATGGTTGGCCAGACATCGTTTCCGTGCATGAATCAGACACAGTCTATGACGGCAAACCCATTGGTCACGTGCGTATCGCCTGGGGCAGTCAAAGCCCGACGCAATGGACACTGACTACCTTAGCGTCGGGGCCCGAAGCCGCCGCCGCAGAAGACGTCTCCATTGCTGATGCCAACAGCGATGGCTATCCAGACATTGTGGTGGCCGCTGAACTGGCACACCTGATTTACTTCGAAAACCCCGGCAAACAGGCCCGCAACAAAATCTGGCCCCGCACGATTCCAGCCATTACGCAGAATCGAGGCTCTTTTATCCGTGTGTTCTTTGCAGATTTTGACAACGACGGACAGCCAGAGATTGTCGCGCCAAACAAAGGCGAACAAAACCCGGATGTCACACAGCAGCAGCGCCTTAACATCTCGATTTTTCATCTGCCGGACAACCCCCTGGACGGCGACCTCTGGCGGGAGCAGGTCATCGCCCAGGTACGCATTCCGATTAATTCTGAACCCGTGGATATTGATGCTGACGGCGACCTGGACGTGATTGCCGGGTCTCGCGGAGAAGGCCGCATCATGTGGCTGGAGAATCTGGGTGATTTCAGATTTGCCAACCACCCCATCAGGCCCACAGCTGAAAACAAGCCGGCTAACGCCGCTTTGACCGGGTTCAATATGGACTACGCGGACCTCAACGCGGATGGCCGCACCGACATTATTTCCACCGCCTGGCCCAGCTATCTTTTATGGCTGCAGCGTCCGGCTGATGCAGCAGGCGATTGGCCAACCACCCTGATCGGTAATTTTGCGCCCGACCAGCTGGTCTCCGTGCGCCTGGCAGACATCGACAATGACGGCGACCTGGACGCTTTCACAGGTTCCTATAGTCGCGGCCCCCGCAACCAGGATGGCAAAGAAGTCACCGTTACCGACGCCCTGGGTCGCATCGCCTGGTTCGAAAACCCGGGTCCTGGCGACAACGCACAGCCCTGGCCACAACACGATATTGTGCGACGCAAGCGCGGTATGTATGACAAATGGCTTGCCCTGGACCTGGATCGCGACGGCGACCTGGACTTTGTGGGTACCCGTGGCAACAGTGAACCTTATGATGGGGTAATCTGGCTGGAACAGGTGCATACCACTGAACCCGCCGTACGTTTTGTGCCATCACGCAGGATAGACAGCCAGCAAATGGCTAATCCATCTCCGGGACGCTAACTGCTTAACACTATTGTATTCGTCCGCTGTCAAAACCCATGGCAAACTGCGAAACTCCTTACATGGTTCTTCGCCCCCTAACACTCATCGGCATTATTCTGTCGATTGTCACCGGCATCGCACTGGGCGTTCTGACCCACCTGATGACCAGGGACAATGCGTCTGCAGACACTACTGTGACGCTATCTGCTGCGCTTAAGCAGGTCAGTGAGAATTACGTTGAAGAAATCAGCGAGGAAGAGCTGCTGAGCCACGCCATTGACGGCATGATGCGCCGCCTGGATGACCACTCAGATTATCTGGACCGAAGCGCGTTCTCTTACCTGAAAGAAAACACCGAAGGCCATTTTGGCGGTATTGGGATTGAGCTGGGGCTGCAGGACGGCTATTTCACAGTGATTGCGCCCATCGACAACACACCTGCCGCAGATGCGGGCATGCAGGCCGGCGACCGCATCACCCAACTCAACGGTGAATGGGTCAAAGGTAAGTTACTGACAGACATCGTTGATGCTTTGCGCGGCAAGCCCGGCACAACCGTGAAGCTGGGTGTGGAACGTGCAACCGACAACGCCGATGTGAAACAGAATCTGGAATTCAATCTGACACGCGCGGACATTGAATTTGCCAGCGTGCGTTCCCGTTTACTGGAACCGGGTATCGCCTATATACGTATTTCAGCTTTTCAGAATCGTACCGGAGATGACGTGTACGACGCTCTGGCAGAACTGGCGGAAGAAACCTCCACCCCGCTGGAGGGCCTGGTTGTCGATTTACGCAACAACCCCGGCGGCACCCTGCAGTCTTCTGTTGAAGTGGCGGATCACTTCCTCGACCAGGGGCTGATCGTTTACACCGAAGGGCGCCTCCAATCCAGCTATGCCAAGTATCGCGCCACCAAAGGCGATCTACTGGCAGGCTTGCCTATTGTTGTGCTGATCAACGGAGGCTCCGCTTCCGCTTCAGAGATTGTCGCCGGCGCGTTGCAGGACCACGGTCGTGCACAACTCATCGGCAGCACCAGCTACGGCAAAGGCTCAGTGCAATCGGTGTTACCTCTGGACCACGACCAGGCACTGAAAATCACCACGGCGTACTATTTCACCCCGAACGGGCGTTCTATTCACAAGAGCGGTATAGACCCTGATATCGAGTTTGACGGCGATGACGAAATGATCCTCGCTGAAGCCATCGAAGTGCTGAAGGCGCAGGAAAAAACCGGTCTGCGCGCGAGCCTCTAAGCCACTCATTCGTTTACTTCACCTCCGACGCAACTTACACTGACCGCTACTGACCACCAGAGTCAGACACACAAAAAAACAATAACAATTCTGATAAGGGAACAGCGCACTGAGACGGCTGCAGGTTTACCTTTCACTGTTGTTACCAGCAGTTATGTTGTTTTCGCCCGGGGGGGCAAACGCCGCTGAACTGGCAATAGTGATCGACGACGTCGGATATCATCAGATCAGAGGCATGCGCGCCATTGCACTGCCGGGTCCCGTGACCATTGCTGTCCTACCCCACGCACCACACACCGCTAACCTGGTCCACCAGGCGAGTCGCAGCGGCAAAGACATTATCGTGCACCAGCCCATGCAGGCACATCCATCAAAACACGCCTCCCGTGAACGCCGTACGCTGATGCTGGATATGCACGAAAAGGATTTTGCCAGCATGACCGCTGCGGCCCTGGATGCAGTACCGGGAAGAATCGGCTTATCCAATCATACCGGCAGCCTGCTAACCGCACATCGAGCGCCCATGCAGCAGCTGATGACTATGTTGCGCCAGCGTGACCTGTTTTTCTTAGACTCACGCACCACCGCAGCAACGGTGGCTTTGCAGGTTGCGCGCGAACAGGGTGTACCTGCAGTGAGACGTGATGTGTTTCTCGACCATGACCCATCACCTGCAGCCGTCCATCTTGCGTTTGAACGTGCCCTGCAGATTGCGCGACGCAACGGCCGCGCGATTTTAATCGGCCACCCCTACGACGTCAGTCTGGATTATCTGGAAGGCCGCCTGGCGGATCTGCCGGCGGATATAAAAATGGTTTCAGTGGCGCAGCTTGCGCAGCGGCAAACTCAATTCAGCCGTCCAGCAATGCTTGCCCAGCCGCCACGTCTAGTGTCCCCTCATATATCGCCCGGCCCGTAATCGCGCCAAACAATAACGTTTCGTGTCCGGCAAACGCCTGTTTCAAGGCCTCGAGGTCAGCCAGAGTGGTCACCCCACCGGACGCAACGACAGGCAGGTTGCTGGCCAGCGCCAGCGCGTGAGTCGCCTCGATGTTGAGGCCCGACATCATGCCGTCGCGTTCAATATCTGTATACACTACCCCGGCTACCGGCCACTGGGCCGCCTGCCGGGCAAGGTCCACCGCTTTGAGCGTAGAGGTCTGATCCCAACCTTCCGTGGCCACCAGGCCATCTCGCGCATCCAGCCCAAACCAGATTTTGTTCGGAAAAGCTTTAGCGGCTGCAGCCAGAAAGTCAGGCTCCTGTATGGCTTTTGTGCCAACAATCACGCCGCTGACACCGGCGGCGACATACGCCTCAATCACGTCCAGGCTGCGAATTCCGCCACCCACCTGCACCGGCACACCACCCATGACAGCCACCATTTGCTCTATCAACGTCCGATTGCGAGGCTCGCCGGCAAAGGCCCCATCGAGGTCAACAATGTGCAGACGTCGAGCCCCCTGCTCACGCCAGTGCGCAGCCATCGCCACCGGGTCTTTGGAGAACACAGTCGCATCGTCCATACGCCCCTGGCGCAAGCGCACACACTGACCTTCTTTCAGGTCAATCGCAGGAATCAGCAGCATGGGTCAGAGGCTACCTTTGGTAGACGGCACGATGCCACTCATGCGTGGGTCAGGTGTGACCGCCATGCGCAAAGCACGACCAAATGCTTTGAACAGGGTTTCTGCCTGGTGGTGAGCATTCAGACCTTTAAGATTGTCCAGATGCAGCGACACCATCGCATGGTTAACAAAGCCCTGGAAAAATTCGCGCAACAGATCAACGTCAAAATCACCAATACGCGCGCGGGTATAGTCAACGTTGTAGAACAGACCCGGCCGGCCGGATAAGTCGACAACAACTCGAGACAGCGCTTCATCAAGTGGCACATAGGCGTGTCCGTAGCGATAGATACCAGACTTATCAGACAGCGCCTGGGCAAACGCCTGACCCAGCACAATGCCCACGTCTTCCACCGTATGGTGGGCATCAATTTCCAGGTCGCCATTGGCTTCAATGTGCATATCAATCAGACCATGCCGTGCTATCTGCGTCAGCATGTGCTCAAAAAACGGCACGCCGGTCGCAAAGTGACTGGTACCCGTGCCATCTAAGTTGATGGTCACTTTTATCTGGGTTTCTGTGGTATCGCGGATGACCGAAGCGGTGCGCGCATCACTCATGACTGACTCTCGTGTGCATGGCTGTAAAAAGAGCGCGGATTCTACGCTGAACACACAAAATATGCAGCGTAATCAACGCACTGCACCGGCTTCAGAGCCGGTTAAGCAGATTGCCGTGGGGTAAAAACCGATTTGTTGTATGACTTTTAATCCACCGCGTCATATCTGGCGCATAAACGTCACGCTGCTTCAGCTGTTGCACCAGCGCAATGACGGGGGATTTATCACCCGCAGCCCAGGAGGCAAACTGCATCTCACCAAGGGTAAAAATACGGATCAATTGAGAAATCTGCTCATCTGTCAACTGCTCAGCCAGCACTGACCAGTCGCCATGAGACGCCATGGGGGCAAAGCGTTTCACATCCAGCTCCGACAGCGCCAGTTTGTTATCTGCGGAAATATCTGCAGCGGCACACAAAGCCGCAGCCATCTGAGCATCGATAGGTTGTGCCATTGCGGAAGGATCAAACGTATCAACTGTCATATTTGCTACCTAGAATGCCTAAAAACCGGGTGGGATATCCAAAATTAGTATATTTGCGCTATTTACCTGACGCATTTGCGCTTTAAAATAACGGTTACAAAGGCAATACACTGAATTTGCGCTTCTGTGATCCAATAATAATCACACAGAGCGTGTCAGCAGAACACCGTTGCCGATCAAGTAGTATCCGAAAATTTTGCATTTCGGAAGAGAAGGACTGGGGAAGTGGACGAACGCATTTACCAAACACAAGATGGTCAGTGGTACTACCGCGCACGCGGTCACCAGGACGCTGGCCCGTTCCCATCTGAAGAGTCGGCGGTCACTGCATTACGTAAACAGATCCGCAGCTGGCGCGGACGCAGCGCGCCACGAAAAACCCCACTTAGCGATCTGCCAACCTCACGTTTCTTTCGTCGTTCAGCTACCCGCCATCCATAAACCTCTATACTAGGCCCCCTTTTTATTGAGATGGACCCACGATGGGTGTGTTAGGCCGTATCTTTGGAATTTTACTGGCGCTAGTGGTGGCTTTGGCCATCGGCGCATATTTTTACCTGCAGGATGCCAATCGCCTGAAACCAGAGATTGAACGATTGATCTCTGAACAGAGCGGTTACACCACGCGCATCAACGGTGACGTGTCCTGGTCGCTGATTCCGCCGCTGAGTCTGAATGTAGCGGACGTGAACCTGAGCCGCACCGATGAAGACATTGCAGCAGGCATGTTACAGCTGAACATGGACCTTTCAGCTATGTGGAACGACATCAATCAGTGGCGCGTTAGCGAACTGACCCTGCTGGACACGACATACAACGCCGATGGCGCAAGCACACTGTTGAACAAGCTGGAAGTCAAAGATTTCCGACTGGGAGAGCCCGCCGAAGTATTCGCCGATGTTGTGCACACCAGCGAAGCTGGCGCAGAACCGCTGGCAGCCCGTTTAACAGGCTTTGTGACCTATACACCAGCAACTGCGAGCCAACCTCAGCGAATCCTCTTGAAAGATGGGCGTATTACTTCTGAAATGGCCACAGGTGTTTGCCAGGCAGAAGCCACCGACAATCCACTTGCGCCGGCGAAATTACCTGTTGAAGGCAAAGATGATCTGCTACCGATCGCCACGCTGTTGAGCTACAACTTCAGCGCGGACTGCAACCTATCGGAACTGGTTGTGGGCGAAGAAACGTTCACCAACAGCCGGGTGGACATCACCAATACAGCAGGACGTTTGAATGTCATGCTGAACATCGCCGATTTCCTGGGGGGCAGCCTGGCCAGCGATGTCGACATAGATGCCACTAAACCCGCGCCAATCTGGACCATACTGCCAGAGGTGAGCAACGTTGATAGCCAACGTCTGATCGATTGGGCTGATCAGCGCATGCAATGGATTGCGCCCCTGGCACTGAACTCAAAACTCACCATGCGCGGCAACACCGAACAACAACTGCTGGCTTCCGTTAAAGCCGCCACTGAATTCAACGGTGGCCAGGGGCAGCTGAATATTTCCAAAATCAAAGCGCAGCTGATGCAGATCGCCGCACTCACCCGGCAGACCGATCGCGCCTCTACCTGGCCGGACATATGGAACTATGAACAATTCACCGGTCGATGGAACATCGACGGCGCCCTGCACAGCCTGCAGTTTGCACTGGACCACATGAGCGTGGATGCCAACGGTAAGTATGACTACGCTGCCGACACCATTGACATGCTGGCCAACGTAACGGTCAACGCCGCGCCTGAAAACAACCCGTTTACAATCAATCCGCTGCTTGAGGGAACGCCTATACCCATTCGGTGCACAGGGGCTGCAGCAGACCCGACCTGTCAACTGGATAGAAACGCCGCACAAAACATAGTCGCCAAAGCACTGCAGAGCGGTGACGACTCGGGCTTACGAAAAAAACTTGAACAGAAAATCGACGAAGAAGTGCCAGAAGAATATCGGGATACCGCACGCGGGCTGTTAGATATTCTTGGTCGCGCGCTGGACAACAACAAGTAGAGACAACCGGCATATGGATTGGTTTGCGCAAGCGCTACTGAAGTGGTTTGACACGCATGGGCGCAAAGACCTGCCGTGGCAGCATGACATAAACCCCTACCGTGTCTGGGTGTCTGAAATCATGCTGCAGCAGACCCAGGTGGCGACCGTTATCGACTACTACCAGCGTTTTATGCAGCGCTTCCCTGACGTAGACGCCTTAGCTCGAGCCCCCCTTGATGACGTTTTACATCTGTGGACGGGGTTGGGCTACTACGCCCGCGCGCGCAACCTGCACAAAACAGCACAAGCCATTGTTGAACAACACAATGGCCA